AGGCTGTTTGTTCACACCATTTGTCATTGGAAGATGCGTAATGTTGAAACCGTAGCTGTCTCGAATACAGCAGGGTCGCAGTGGAAGCGATACGAAAATTGTGATGATTCAACATTATGAATCAATACAGTGCACTACTTCCCGCGGGAGGATACTGTGGGGGCTCATATCGTCTAAATGGCCTACATAGTAAAGGATCAAGTTTCGCAATACAAAAGCCGTGCTAGTCTCCGTTGCGCTTGGATCTGATCGAGCTCCCAGTAAACCGGGACCTGACTAGTCTACGGTATGCCACCGCAAGAGTTACTGTTTCGGTATCGGCCCATACTAAAGTTTTGACATCAAACGTCCTGTATGTACTAACTATGGTTCATCCCGTGGTGAGGAGCCGCTCAAGCCACAAACTTCAACGCCAGTTTCACATTTCACGAAAACATGTTCGCCGAGCAAAACAAAACAGTCTCGGGCACCTTGGCATTCACAGTTGTTCTGAAGATCAGTTCATATGGTTCGATAACATGCAGTGAATCGTTATAGCAGCGCTTTGCATGCACAAGCTGGACCATCTCGACGAAATTTGTTGAAACATGTTGAATAATGTTTGAACCTCGCCTCGTACCACCGCAAATCATGAGTTTTGCAAATTCGATGACCTCGCTAAAGCGATTCTAGGTTCGTTTAAGGTTAACAATAACAGGCTGCTCAGCGGTCAGCTTAATTTGGTGAAGCTATGATCACCAGCCAGGGGGCTTTCCCCCACTACTACTCCAAAAAGACATTGTTCCCAGACCCCTACCGCCAAGAGGTCTTGAGCCCCCTGACTGAAATGAGCGTTTCATGGTCTCGCCTTACTTGATTCAGCGCCGCGAGAATCGCCGTGAGGACAGACTCGGGCTGAATCTACGACGGCTTTGATGGGGCTACAGAACTATAATCGAAGAGTGCAAAGGAAGAGATAGTTCGTTTAACTACGTTTTAGTTAATCAGCCATAGCGCAGAGTCAATCTACCCGTCTTTGAAGCATATTTTTTAGGTTGTTTGGTAGCGGTTTGTGAACGAACCTAAACGAGCTGTCAAAACCTTAGTTAAATTAAACAGCGTTCGTGATTGGTGCAATAACATTATGTCCACTGAAACAACCCCTAGAAAATGCGGCTGCCGCCCGCCGCACTCTGTAACAACGAGTCTGATCGAGATACCGAAGCGAAGACCACCAACATGACCGGGTTCTTTTGCCTATGGAGAAGAATGTTTTTCCCATCTTGGCGTTTTGAATTGAATGAGCTGGGGGTCAGGCGCTCCAAGGACCAAGGATATTCTTCCACCGGATGCAGAACTGGCTCTGGTGTAAGGCCGAGTGCCGCGCCGTGCAGAATATCCCTGTGCGACGCCAAAGATCCAAGGTCGAGAGAGTCGAGATCCAGAATCTATAAAGATATCTCATGTCCTCTGTCCTTCTCGACTTTTTTCCTTCTCATCACCATCAACAGATCTTCATCTTCTTTCATTCACTTCAGTCTTTCTTTCGAAGAGCTAGTCTCTCGTTCCTTTCGTTCCAATTCAACCGAGCCAGTCTCCAGCACTACCAATCAATTTTACTATCCCTCAAGCCAACTCTTTTCAAAATGAAGTTCTCCGCTCTCGCCCTCGCTGCCCTCTCGCAGGTCGCCTCTGCCCACTACTTCTTCGACGTCAGCGCTCTCAACGGTGTCGAGTCTAAGTCCTTCCAGTACATCCGTGACTTCACTCGTCCCACCAAGTACAACCCCATCAAGTTCTCCTCCAACCCTTCCGCCGACATCCGCGACAACTCTTTCGCTGATGGTGAGGACATCATCTGCAACCAGGGTGCCACCGGAACCGGTGGTAACACTGAGGTCCTCGAGGTCAAGGGCGGCGATGTCATGACCTTCAAGCTTGCTGTCGGTGCCAAGATGGGTCACCCCGGACCTACTCTGGCCTACATGTCCGCCGCTGGTAGCGACGTCAAGTCCTACAAGGGAGACGGCGACTGGTTCAAGATCATGGAGGAGGGTGTCTGCAACGCCAGTGGTGACTTCACCAAGGACGCCTGGTGCAACTACGACGCCCCCTCTTTCGACGTCAAGATCCCCCAGGGTACCCCTAACGGCGAGTACCTCCTCCGAGTTGAGCACATCGGTATCCACCGATCCCACGTCAACCAGCCCGAGCACTACGTCTCTTGCGCTCAGGTCAAGGTTACCGGTGGCTCTGACGGCACTGTCGACGCCGAGATGGTTAAGTTCCCCGGTGCCTACAAGGACACCGATGAGTACGCCAACTTCTCCATCTACGGCGGTGCTAAGGCATTCCCCATGCCCGGCCCTAAGGTCTGGGACGGTGCCGCTTCCGCTGGTGGCTCTACCGGTGGCAACACCGAGGCCCCTGCCGCTGGCAACACTGAGGCTCCCGCTTCTACCCCCGCTCCCGAGGCCGGTAACGGTCAGCAGAACGGTGGTGAGCAGGCCGCTCCCTCTGCCACTCCTGAGGCTGGCAACAACAACGGCCAGGACGGTGGCTTCCCCGGTGCCGCCAACCAGCAGTTCCAGGGACAGACTGGTTCCAACGGCTCTCCCTGCTCCGCTTAAGCGAGCAACCTTTTTTCTTGGAGATGCTGTAGTGTTTTATTTTACTGAAGGGAGGAAACTGAAGCAAAGATGGAAGAGTTGAAGAGGTGGCTGGTCAACCTTCATGTATAAAAGAGTCCTGTTGATCGTTTCAAAACACCTAGATGAAGAGGGGATAGTCTGGTACTGTGCTCATAGTTTTTAGCTTTGTCTGTTTAATACGAAGCAGTCTTAGGACAAATCACCATTCTACTCATTCATAAGTGATTTATTCCCATGCTAATCATTCGCCAGTAAATTCTTAGACTCTGACTATCTTGCTGATTACCATACCTCTTTGATTGCTGCCTCTTCTTACTCTTCAGTTGCTTGCTTATGTTCTCATGGGTCCATAACTGGGATACAAGCTCCACTGCCAGGGACATGCTTGCCTTTGTTTCGTTTCGTGACCTGAACCTTGACAGCACTGTGCCCACTCGGTAGTTGATGTCGGAACTCTCCGTGCAGACTGTTATGACAGGGCTGTCAAGTCAGAACGAAGCGTGTCAGAAAATGAAGAAATAATAAAGCATATCATTAAACATTAAAAGTGAAAATCTTTATGTTAAGCATTTGCGGTTTATGTCCCAAAAGTCTTCGTCGCATTTCCTCACTAGCCAAGCTTATCGCCATCTCGACGTGATTAAGTCTGCGCCGTGAAGGAGCAGCCAATCATCCTCCTGTGATACATGACGCTGAGCATGCAATACTGAGCAATGCTGACCCGATTGAACGATAGTATTTATGTAGGTGAAAGAAATACCGATCCAGACTCCATCAAGAAGTGCCCGAGCCGCATGACGTCAGGCATAAGCAGGGTGAGATACTCAAAAATATGTTGGTACCAAAACCTCAACAACGTGAATTGTCCTGCATCATCACATCTATCGCAATGGCTCAACCAAACAAATATGATCGCGAGGCGATCCTAACAGACACTTCCCTTCCGGAGGTATACAACAAGCTTGTCGAATTGGCCGAAGAGTTCTGTGTACTCGGTGAAATCAATACCGCCAAAGGCTTAGTATCACTGCTCCTCCAGGATACTACCTCGGATTGGCAACGCAATCAGCTCCACCATTTTGAGCCATACTTCGCGGCTGCCGACAACTGGCCTGATGAAATCCCGGAGAAGGAAAGAAGTGAAGCAGCATCTGATAAGACTGCAACCAAGCATGCCCTTGACACCGACGATGTCGAGGAACAAGATGACAAAGGGAACTTCCAGGAGCAGATAAAGAAAGCCCATGAATATGGCGCGGACGCTTCAATCTTGGCTGATGCTCTATCCACTGCCTTTAGGTTGGCCTTAAAGCAGACCTCCGACCTGGAAGAAGTCCAGAACGACTCGAGAGTTCAAGAAGTTCTCGAACTCCTCGCCCAGAACTTATACAAGGAAGGGATCATCTCGCGCCTGGCTGGACGACATGAACTCAGTGGACTGCTAGCTACATGTGTATTGGCTAGAAAAGTCCCCGTTGATAAAAAGAAGATTGAGAATCTTGGGCAAATGGTTATTGAAACGTTCAGGGAGCGCTTTATCAATGGTCGAAGACCGTTGGACATGGAGTCCAAACCAATGAAAGATGTGCTCCTGGAGCTTGAACGGAACACGAAGCCCAGATCCCTCGGCTTCTGGGAAGAGATGGAACAAGAGCCCCCGGAAACACTCTTCAATCTGCCACCGGCTACAGATGAGCAGATCACATCGCTCGAGGAGAGACTCAAAGTCACACTACCAGATGACTACAAGGAGTTTCTGAAGATCACCAATGGTTTTGGAGGTACATGGAACGGTTTTCATCTTGACCCCCCTCTCCATGGCGTCGACGACGTCCAATGGTCTGATTCGTTACTTGAAATCTCTTTCCTTGAGTTCCACGAGAATATCAGCGGTGCAAGTGAGCTGAAACTATCAGAGAGTGACGAGTGGCCAAGTTCCGGTCCCACCATTGAAATTGGTCGTGAAGATGTTCTCGGAATTCTTTTAATCACGCCCGACTATACAAAGGGAGTTTTGGAGGCATATGACACAGCATTCAAGGGCTCGGATACTTCGGAAGATAACAAGAGACAGAATATGAAAGTCATTGAAGCACGACATGGAAGCTATGAGGAGATGAAGAAGTTGGAATGGGCTACTATTGAGTTTCATGATTCGGAGGACATTCCATGCGGGACGTTTCGGCAGTTTCTTGAGAACAGATTGCGCAGAACAACGACTGTGGGGTTCCCGGACGAAAACTCAAAGGAGGCTGGAAGTCTGGCTTATAGCTGCTTGGCTGATAATTCTTAAGCGAACAAGGAAGATATCAACATCCATGCCAGGCAACAGGGTTACAGAGATTTGTCACGACACGTGTCAGTTACGGATGCTCATAAGTAACAAGGTATCAATTCAATTCGCGAATGGTGTATTTTATCCTATGCTGCAAACAAGTTTCCGTCCCATGATATATGCAATTTGGCTCCAAAAGATACCGCCGTCCTTGTCCCAATTTTATCCGTGCCAGCGACTCCCTGAATCCATTTTTATCCCTAAGCAAAATCCGTGCCACCCATGTTTTCATTCCTTCATGATCCGTTGCTTCCATAAACCGTAAATATCCAAATTTTGTAAGTAGGACTAGCTACTGCTTCTCAATTAGATGTAGCCAGCTACATAACAGCACATCCACCAGAGGGTGAAGGCGAACGGCTTCTTTTCCCTCGCTGAGAATGGCTCTTTGACTGCTTGGGCCTCGACGATCGCTGATCAGTCTTCCCCGTGCGTGTAGAGTATTGATCATAAGGCTTGCTAGCGGTAGAGCGTTGGCCATATGTCTTGGTTGTGTGACTATGTGTCGTTGAGCGCTTATCATATGCCTTGGTTGGACGTTGAAGCCTGAGCCACCAGCAGACTTCTTCCTCGATACCGGACAATATAGCGGTGAGTCTTTGTTGCCATGGGGCGAATGTGAAAGATTTGCCAAGGCTGGGCTTCGATGTCTTGGCTTTCGACAGGGGATACAATAACTGACCCCGGATTTCGTCTCGGTAGAGCGGCAAGTTCTTTGCTGTGATAAGGTTAGATTGATTTGCTGATTGCAGGGGTCGGGATTGACTCACGGGCTGGGTCAGTGTACTTGGTCTGGCCCTTTGCCGAATTGAACAGGGCTGTCAACGTGTTTGCACCTCTGACAGCGGTGTCGCACATTCTCTTCTTATCGTTCTTCAACTTGGTACGATCTTTGTGCTGTTTGGGCAGCTTGATGTCTTCAATTGCATCGACAACATCAGCAAGGTAATTGATGATGGATATCAACACCGCCCTCCCCAGCAAATCGCTATATCCACTGACACCATCTGAGCGTCGTGGAATCCGATGAGCATGCTGAGGAAAATGAATATGATCGCTTGTTCGGTCTTTCATTATGGCTATTAAAAAGAGGTAAGTAGAGATGAATAGATAGATTAATTAAGCATTATACTAGTAAGAATAAGGATAGAATGAGATGATCCAAATGAGAACCGTTTGGTGAACAGGCAGCCGCCCGCTTTTATAGCCAGATCGACGTTGTTTACGGAGGACCATCCCGGGGCCTTGTCAAGTCTCTCGATGTGGTGGTTTATACATGGAGAAGCCCAGAGCAAGGATGCCAATTAGAGAGAGGTCATTTCTCAACATTGTACGGTTACTAACGTAGTGGAGGTCTGTAACACGTTCAATGGGGCTCATGCACCAAAATAGTGGTCTGCAGCCTCATGTAGCCAACAACGATGAACTGTTACGCGGCCAACATGCCATGAAGAACGGGTCCATCGACCAAACCAGACTTTTGCATGCCTTAGCATGTGGATTTTGGGTAAGATGGCATGCGAGTTCGAGCTGATTTGGCCATGCATGCAACGTAAAGCGGCTGTATAGTTTGCCAGGGGGTTTTGCACGATTACGCTTGTCTGTGATCAAGGCGATCCCATTGCTTTTGGCCCAAGTCAAAAAAGCTTGACATCGGAATCCACTATACGCCTAATAGTGGAGATGCCACTGGAGGGCCTCGATTTTGGGTCTCCATGTGCCGGGTTTAGCTCAGTGTCGTGCTGCGCTGGCAAAGCGTTCCGGTCGAATCAGATCATGAATACTTGCACAAATTGCCACAATTTGCATGACAATCGTTGTGCAGAAAAATTCTCATCAAAATTTCGCTGTTACACAAGTCACTAGCCACATGTTTTATATGGATCAGGTGACCTATTCGTTGCTGTGAGTGAGTCAAGCTGCCAAGAATAGGACAGCAAGTCATCCCAAGTCGAAAAATTTAAGGGATCCGAGCTCTACCAGCACATGTCAATTCGAATTAGCTAGCTCTGACTCAGAATTTGCGTTTCAGAAAAAACAGTTGTGTTGTCAATTTGTGCGTTGTGTGACTGTTGCACTCGCTAAAGCACTGCGGGCGCACTTATACCTGTCCTTCGGCCCTGACGGCAAGGAAACAATTGTCTGTTCTGTTCAAAATGGATTTCTGTGCATTTCTGTGCATAGCATATGCATAGCACATCATCCATGTTATACATGAGTTGTGCAGATCCCATCATGTCATGCTCCCTTGCATGGAACGGCATAACTGATCGCCGACATCGTTTTTGCCTAAATACATAAACTTCAGCTTACACGCTTCAGTACAAAGATCAACATTGGCAATAGAATTTCGGAGAGATTGCCGATGTCATTTCGCGGGGAAATACCTAAAGCTACGCACTGTCCCGTTTTATTGCCAGATGGATCTGCCATTGACAGAGCTTAATCTCTCGATGGTTATTATAGAGTTTAGACTAGATTATGGCAGCTTAGAAGTGCTCATCATAAATTATGGTAGCTTAGCTAATCTTAGATGAAGCTCTCCCAGGGCTTTACTGATGTTGTTTCCTTATATCCGCAATTCTCATGGTACGACCCTAGTCCACCTGAGTCCAAAAGATCAGCCAAGACCGGACGAACAGTGAAGCTCGGTCCATTTGCCCCGAAGTGAACCTGATTGCCGATTGATGGACTAACTAATACAGCATCATCGGCTGTCGATCTCAGCCGTAGCCATAATCCCAAGGCTAATTCAAATAGCCTGAATGAATTCACCAGTAATTACTCCGCATATCATCGTGAGACATGCTGCGATATAAGACGATGGCCTCGCTTCAATCAGACGGGACGTCACAGACTATTACAGTCGCAGTCATAGGTCACCATGTGGCTCTCGACTTTACTCTTCGCTTTGTTCACCTGCGTTATCGCAGAGGATGGCATTGATGGTTGGCTGAGATATGCTCGCTTGCCATCAAGCGTCTCCATTAATGCCAAGTCGCTTCCTCGAAAGATCCATATCATTGGTGGTTCCAAGAAGAGTCCCCTCGGCAGTGCTGGCTCGGAACTCCAAAAGGGCTTCAGCGGTATTCTCAACATCGACCTGAAGACTGAGGCCAATTCAAAGTCGTGCGACTTCTCACAGTCAATTGTCGTTACCACCGAGGAGAACCTCAAGAAGTCTTGCAAGGGCAAATTATCTCATCCCAAGCTTGAGGCTGATGGCTACTGGCTCAGCACTTCTGGCAACTCTGTCACGATCATTGGCCAGAATGAGCGCGGTGCTCTGTATGGCGCCTTTGAATATCTCTCCATGCTCGGTCAGGGCAACTTCGAGAAAGTCGAGTACGCATCGAACCCCAGTGCGCCCATTCGATGGGCCAACCAGTGGGACAACCTCAACGCAAGCTCAACCCATGGCTCCATCGAGAGAGGCTATGGAGGTCCTTCTATCTTTTTTGACGGCGTCAAAAACGTGCGAAAGGATCTCTCACGAGTTCCCCTCTTTGGGCGTCTTCTCGCCTCCATCGGTATCAACGCTGTCGTCATCAACAACGTCAACGCCGACGTGAGACTCTTTAACTCCGAGAACCGCAAGGGTCTTATCGAGATTGCCGACCTGCTTCGTCCCTGGGGTGTTCAAGTCGGTCTCTCTCTCAACTTTGCATCGCCCCAGTTGCTCGGAGGCCTGGATACCTTTGATCCTCTTGACGAGAAGGTTATCAAGTGGTGGCATGAATTGATTGATGGTCTTTATGATGGCATTCCTGACATGGCTGGCTATTTGGTCAAGGCGAACTCGGAGGGCCAGCCCGGACCTATCACGTATAACCGCACTTTGGCTGATGGCGCCAACATGTTTGCTAAAGCTCTTGAGCCCCACGGCGGTGTCGTTATGTTCAGAGCCTTTGTTTATGACAAGCTTGACTGGAATGACTGGAAGGCTGACCGCGCCAACGCCGCTGTCGAGTTCTTCAAGGAGCTGGACGGAAAGTTTGACGACAACGTAGTCGTTCAGATCAAATACGGCCCCATTGACTTTCAGATACGGGAGCCAGTCTCGCCTTTGTTTTCACATCTTAGAAAGACCAATAGTGCTATTGAACTGCAGATCAGTCAAGAGTACTTAGGACAGCAATGTCATCTGGTCTATCTGCCTCCGCTGTGGAAGACGATCCTGGATTTCGACATGCGAATCGACGGCAAAAAGTCCCAAGTCCGCGATATCGTATCCGGAAAAGTATTCAAGCGACGCCTAGGAGGATATGCTGGTGTCACAAATGTTGGTTTGGACAAGACGTGGCTTGGAAGTCATCTGTCGATGTCAAACCTGTACGCATTTGGACGTCTCGCTTGGGACCCCACGGCGGATTCACAGGAAATTCTCGAGGACTGGACGCGTCTGACCTTCGGACTCGACAACAAGGTCCGAAAAGCCATTACTGATATGTCTATGGCTTCTTGGCCAGCCTATGAGAACTATTCCGGCAACCTGGGCATTCAGACCTTGACCGATATTCTCTACGCCCATTACGGACCCAACCCAGCTTCGCAGGACAACAACGGCTGGGGACAATGGACCAGGGCAACCCGCGACCACATTGGTATGGATCGTACAGTCAAGAACGGAACTGGAAACGCTGGCCAGTATCCCTCTGAAGTTGCCAAGCGGTTCGAGAGCACCGAAACGACCCCCGATGACCTCATGCTCTGGTTCCACCATGTCCCCTACACTTTCAAGCTCCACTCTGGTAAGACTGTGATTCAGCACTTCTACGATGCTCATTACAAGGGTGCCGCTACAGCTCAGACTTTCCACAAGACCTGGGCGTCGCTGAAGGGCAAGATCGACGACGACAGACTGGACCACGATCTGTTTAGACTAAAGTACCAGGCTGGCCACTCGATCGTTTGGAGAGACGCCATCAACGAATTCTACCGCAACCTGTCTGGCATTCCTGACACACAGAACCGTGTTCGCAATCATCCTTACAGAATCGAGGCTGAGAAGATGGAGCTCGATGGCTATAAGCCTATCAACGTCACCCCTACTGAGACTGCTTCCAAGTATGTCGCTATCTATACAAACAGCACTGGAACAGCCAGCACCACTCTCAAGTCCCCCAAGGGCACATATAACCTTGCTGTCAACTACTATGATATCGTTGGTGGCAAGTCCACTTGGTCTGTATACCTCAACAAGCGATTGGTCGGCAAGTGGGTTGGAGACAATGAAGAGCGACTTGGTCATTGGCCAAGTGAGTTCCTTGACGGTCACTCTGCCACTCGTATCACCTTTGAAGGTGTCAAGATCCAACCAGGTGATAAGCTCGTGATCATTGGAAAGGCCGATGGCAAGGAAACAGCTGCGTTGGATTATGTTTCAGTTTTGCCTCAGGGCATTATTGACTAGTCAGTCATTCTTTCTTGTGCTTCTTATCTCATTTATGATTTAGCATTCCAAAAGAAGAAAAAGAAAAAGTATTGCTCCAATGTTCAAATGTCAATTTATATGTGCTCGTAACTAGCTACAATCCAGATAAAACATTCTAGGTCCAAGAATTTGACAAGTATTCTGATCTAACTTCAAACTTTTCACTTTGTTGAGATCAGCCATTCTTGTATAATTTACAGGAATGAGGGGTTGGCGTTGTCGAGGAGCTGCTCGAAGTAAGCCTGGAACCAGGTTCCGGCCTCAGGAGCGGGCCTGAAGATGAAATGTTAGCATGGGATGTAGTGAGAATATTGGATGGAGCAACTTACTTGAGAGCATCATCGAGACCACAGTGGTAGTCATAGCGAGCAGCAGAGGTATCAGAGGTACCATCAGACTCACCACCAGGCTTGACCCAGACAAAAGCGTCGGCGAGAGCATCACCAGTGTTGGTGGAAGGTCGAAGTCCGAAACCAGTACCCTTGGCGTTGCACCAATCGCCCTGAGCCTTCTGGCCAGTAGGCTGCTTACCAGATCGGCCCTGGTCGACGATGAACTTGACATTGGACCAGCCCTCCTGAGCGAGAAGAGGAGCGAAGGCGTTGATGTATCGCTGCTCATCGTAGTTGGGGTTGCTCTCGGTGTAGTCGGGTTTGGTGGAGAGCTTCCAGCCGTTGTAGTTGGCGACGTTGGTGACGAGACCGCGAACGCGAGAAGGCTTGCCAGCGTCCTTGTAGATCTGGGCGTAGAGCTTAGCAGCAGGGCCAATGTTGGCGGGCCAGCCGAGCCAGCCACCGTGACCGGCATCGAGGTACATGGAGACGTTGGGGAGGTTGAGTTCCTTGATAGCGTAAACGGTGAGTTCCTTGTAAGCACTCTCGGCCTTGGCACACTTGTCGACGTTCAGGTTTGTGACCAGGTTAGCAAGAGAGTCAGGCTCTGCAATGGAATTAGCTAATGCAATGTCAAGAGTGATGGTTTACTTACCAATGACAAGGATGACCTTGGTGTCGGAGTAGTCCTGGAGGATGCCTTTGATCTTGGCGATGTAGGCCTTGTACTTGTTGGCACCGTCCTTGTCGAGGGAGTACTCTCCATTGGAGGCAGCAGCAGCGCAGTCACGGTTGGGAAGATCGTAGACAACGAACTGACCAGCATACTTGCCACCAGCCTTGTTAGCCTTGCGGATATCAGCAAGGGTATCCTCCATGAGAGAAATGTGGTCGTAGGTATCCCTGAACCTTGTCAATATACGAATCAATATTGGATTTAAGCTTGACTTACATCCACTGGAAGGAGGGAACATCAGCGACCTTGGCGGCGGCAGTAGCCTTGGCACCGCTCAGCTTAGGAACAGCCAAGTTCATAACCTCAGAGCGGTAGTAGCTGTTGGCCCAGAGATCAACACCAGAGTAAGGGTTGCCACTGGCCGCAGGAGGGGCAGAAGTGACAGAGCCTCCAGCAGTAGTAGAGCTTCCACCCGTGGCGGTGGTCTTGGTGGCAGTGGTGGAGCTGGGTCCAGCAGCAGTCGAAGAAGGCTCAGCAGTGCCGGGCTGGCACTGGGAGTAGAAGTCGTTGAGCTTGACACACTTGTTTCCGCTGGTGCAGCAAGGAGTGCCGCTCCAGTTCTGGCCACCACACTGAGCCCTGTTTCATTGTAAGTAGATGTTGTTGTAGTTGAGACTCGTAGACATACCAAACTCCGTTGCTGCAGGACTGGCGCTCTTCAACAGGAGCAGCAAGAGCTGTAGCCGCAAAGGCGGCGAGGATAAGCTTGTATGCCATAGCTGTCGAAGTTGAAGATTGACTGATGATACTTGACTATTGACTGTGGATGGGTAGAGCAGAAACTTCAATTGAGGTCCGTGACAGACGTTATATACATTTTCAAAGCATGTAGTTGCATCGTTGAAGTTTAAACGTCCCGGAACGACGGGATCTCAAACGTTAGTGCAAGGCCACCGTCTCCATCGGCAAAGAGATCCGGACAAGAACCCACTGTCAGATAATTCCCGGATGAGATCCAAAAAACATCCGAAGAGCCTTTCACGATGTGGAAACTTTCGGAGCGTCTGTATCGAGGCCGACCCCTCACTCATCACGTTTATTCAGCCATTATTGAAGTGCCATCACCACAAACGACTATCCCGGAACAGACAGCCGATACGGTCATGTGTCCAAAATACCCTGAACTGGATATTAAAATGATGTAACACTGAAACTGCTCATCTCGGAGGGGTTCCTCCTTGCAGTTCCTATTTGGGAAGTCCGGAGGTTTGACGCTTATATATCGAGCCATGATCCACGGAAACGTCGTCCTGTGATCCGAAAAAGTTTATGGGATGGAGTCGTTGCTCAAAAATGCTCAGAGGATTACATGATTGATCATTGGAGCCCGGCTAGGTTGGGAAATGGCTGGGTTAGTGAACCATAGTCTTCGGGGATGTCGGCTTGGGACTAACGCACAGAAGACAAGGATTTCCTGAAAGGAACGCAAACTCAAATCACGACCAATAAAAAGCTCAGCCTTGTTGATGTTGAGTTTAGCCGCATCGTACTGGTAATTTACCCCTCGTTTCAACTATACTACTCTTCACAAGATACCTGGGGCGACTTTGCCGTAACCCCTTCAAGCTAGTCCTTCTCTAAACTCCTCCTCGTCCTAGAGGCCCTACAATGGATTCTAAAAGAAACGTGGCAGTTTTATGTAAGATGTTTTCGCTCTCGTCTATTTACCTCTCAGTACAAATATCTTTGGCTTGCTTCGACAACCCCCCAACCAGAAAGTCTTCTCAGTCCCCTCCAGGTTTGGTGTTCCATCATTTACCAACAACCTATTGTCTTCGGCTTCCTTCAACGCTTTTCATGTATTAGCAGAGCTGTAAATCGCTAGTCATAAATGACAAACACCCCTCTTAAGAGCTCCGCTTTGAGGACTCGCTTGACAGTGTTATGCTGCTGGCGCTGATCAACATGATTCGTCTCGTTCTGAGAAACAAAAATTCTGAATATGTCTCCGAGTTGAACAATTTTATAAACTCTAACTAAAAAGCTCGAACGGAAGAGAGCGTCTAGCTGGGCTAGTGGTAGGTAGTTTGGACTTTTTATGATGGCTTACTCCTTAAAGCATCAAACCTGCTCTGAATATACTCACAGCTTGCCATAAATTTAACAGCTAGTCATATCATTCTTCAGAAGTTAAGGGTATTATGTGATTAATTGTTGAGCTGCACGATGGCGCATTTCTTATAGCAACAGACGTGCGACTGGACCACGGAGAATGCCGTTCGCACTAACCCTAACTGCAGCCATCTTACTCTTGCATACCGGTCCTTCAGCTGTTGCTTATGCCTGCAAAAATATCTGAGCTTTACTGATGCGAGACGTGAGATGATACGTCCAAGCATCTCAGCCGTACAGTAGTCAAAGATTCGGCACATCAACAGCCCGAGCGGCAGTACGCCTCTTGAGATGGACCAACTGTTCACGCGCGGTGACATCGTGGCGGGCGGCGCCAGCCTATGAGATAGTGTTGTGGCGTTGAGATTACATTGATCAGTAACCTCTCTCCTCAAGCTTATATGAGTGGCTTGCATTGACTTCCAAATATTCGATTAGGTCGTAGTGTAAATGCATTTATACCAACTTCCCCGCCTTTCATGGCATGAATCCATGAATCACCATTCCAAAGTTTCTTGATATACGCAACGGTAGTCTTATTGTCATTTCACTTCATTCAAAATGGCAACTCAAGCAGGTATCATTATCGAAGGGGTCAATCAACCTCACAAAGTCGTCGACAACATCCCCCGCCCGTCCCCCGAAGGCAGGCAGGTTCTTGTGAAATGCCTCGCCGTAGGTCTCAATCCCATGTATGATACTGGATACCCAGTGTATGTAGAGCTCCAGACTAATGGCAACAATAAGTGAAGCTCTCCAGCATCACACTGGGATGATGGTAAACGAGTGGCCCGCAATCCTAGGCAGTGATGGCGCTGGTGTTGTCATTGAAGTTGGACCCGACGTTGCCAGGCTGAAGGTCGGCGACTACGTCTACAGCTGTGCCCCAGTCGGCCAGAATCGATTCACGCCATTTCAAGATGCTTACCTGGCTCGGGAAGATTTGCTGTTCAAAAGGGGCAACAACATCTCCCTTGAAGATAGCTGCACCATTGGAACATGTCTTCTGGTAACTATGAGACCTCGCAGACCAATAACCGAGAATGTGAAACTGACAGCTCAACAGACTTCAAGCCTGTGTCTCCTTGGTGGGGCAGGGCTCGAGCTTCCTGACGATGTGAACAAATCCCAGGAAAAAGATGAATGGATCGTCGTTTTGGGCGGCAGTGGTAACGTTGGGCAATTTGCAATACAGGTAGCAACCCGAGCCCGGCCAATCTTTTGTCTCTAACACTCTCAGCTGGGTAAAGTCTGCGGATACAAGGTCCTGGCATCTTGCTCTCCGTCTAAGCAATCTGTGAGTCCTTTCAACTAAGTGCTCATACCGTAGTGCTGATTTTGCCTAGGTTGCTGTCAGAAACGGAGCTTCAGCGACCTTTGACAGTCGTGAGACGATTGACGCGCAAGTCACGGAAATCAAGAAGATTACCGACGGAAGCTTTGGCAAAATGATGGATGCGAGCACTTATGGTTACAAACTCATGGTGAAAGCTCTCGAAACCGCTTCTAATGCGAAAGAGAAATACCTTGCGTCGGTTGACTCTTGGTAAGTTCTCTAAACCTATTATCAGGCTTGAAAACACCACTCATGTATGGTTAGGTCCCCATTCTCAACACCATCTTCTATCAACGAGTACAGAGCAGACCTTGGCCATCTCTGCCGTCCCAACGAGAGGGATGGAGCACAGATTACATCCAATATCGCCAACTGGATTCCGTTGCTTGAAAAGCATATTGCTGCTGGGACTCTGAAGCCACTCGAGCATCATGTTGCTGATGGGGTCGGATGGGAGAAGGTCATCCAGGGCATTCAAGACATGGAAGGAGGAAAAATTGGGAAGAAAATTGTTGTGAGAACCCAGGAAGAGTGAAGAAGGTTTTGTTATTTTTTCCACGTTGTATTTCGTGATTGCTGATCTGCGCTGTTTGGAACAAATATGGAATGGTTTGTTGCATAAGAAGCCAATCACGAGACCTGGGCGGCGCGTAAAATGTAACACAGCCCAGTGCGGCTGAGACGTCAGGCACTTCACAAGGCTTTCCTTTCTGTTCTACCTCAACAATTTTGCTGCCTTTAAACGAAAACATTGGCCACTTTTAGTATGTGACATATCTAGTTTCAAGAGTAGCATTTGCGGCCTCGGCATATCGAAACCACCATGGAAGCAATCGGCGCGGGTGCCAGCACTCTGGCCTTCGTCCTCTTAGCCCTTAAATCGGTCAAGATTGTCAATGAGTCACTCTCATCAATCAAAGATGCACCAAGGATAGTCTCCGAGTTATTGAAAGACATAGAGTCACTACAGTCCGTTCTCGGGCGCATATCTGGGAGCTTGCTGCGACACGCACCGACAAGCACAATTGAGTCATTAAATGACATTCTGCAGGCATGCACAACAGAGCTGTCGAGCATAGAATGTCGGCTCGCAAAATTCTCTACAAGCTCTGGCAGTAGTCGTTCGAGTCGCATGTACAAGGGTGTTCTCGCATACGTCAAGAAAGAAGACCTAGAGAATGCGCGAGGCAGGATACGAGACAAGTCAACGCAAATAAACCTATACCTTAGCCTTCTTCAAGCACAATCAATTTTGCAAGTGTCATCAAGGATAGATACTCACGCAAATGTGACGGCCACTATTCTGGAGCAGATACTTGGAGAGGTATCGAAACTTCATACAAGACTTGATCAGGATGCTGCAGCCGTCGAGGCTGAGGAGCTTCCGGCGACCGCATGCGATGAGGATATTATAGACGGCGCGATGGCGGGTCAGCTTGGTGCCATGGCACTTTGCTCTGAATTGGAATCTAGTATATCCCGCCTTTCTACCCTCATAGACCATGACGGCTTGACTTTGGACGCCGATGATGCTGAACAGATCATTGATGACCTGCGGAGATTTGTTGTCATTGCCAAGGAGAGGTCGATTGAAAAGTCTAGACTCAGTAGCAACTCCACCAGCTACAGTTCCGTCACAGAGGATGATGCAAAGGCGTTCGGTAGAGACCTGAAGCTGATAGAGGGACTGATTCTTTCCGCTCCTATTATTGCAATCAATCAGTCTGGTAACTATACAATCTTTTTGTTCCTCTGACGCATAACTGATCCTACGTATTAGTCTCTGGTTCTCGAAAACTCCGTTCTCACCTACCTCATGGCACGATCATTAAGCAAAAGCGGCTGAGAGAGGAAATCGATGTTGACCATGGCTATCTCACGATCTCAACCAACAAGAGAAGAAGGATATGTACCAGGGATATCGACGCGTCTGGAAATGTCGACACCTTTCGCGATGTCGTTGCTAACATCGTGTTCCGCCCCTCGAATTCTCCCTGGATGTTTTTGGTGTCACTTTCCCAAGGGCAACTTTTCGATCGGAGCATCCAAAGTATCCCGCGTATATCTATCTGTCGCATAGTCCCGAATGACTCGCTTGTCTTTACTCTGGTGAAACAGGGCTCCCTCAAGGAGTTCATGACCATGCTACAGGAGGGCAAAGCAAGTCTGCGTGATCATGACGAGCAGGGTATGCCACTTTTACATGTAAGAGTGTTATCTGTGGGTCCCTGAAACTTTTACTGACCCTTCTGAAGTATGCAGCTACGGCGAGCGTGGAGATGTGCAAATTCTTGATCGAGTCTGGAGCAGATGTGGATGAGATGGGAGAGCATACGGGCACGGCTCTGTCGCGTATAGCAGGGCTGGACAGACACGATACAACACTTGTACTACTCGAGAATATGGCTGACCCCACGTTGTCATACCCAGGGTGGGATAACCCACTGTCCACGGCTTGTAACCTAGATCTCGTAAGTATTCGAAAGATAGCAACCATGTGTACTGACACAGTCTAGCCCTCCGCAGAGCTCTTCCTCAAGCACGGGGGACACTTCACGATGCATGATCTAGAGAGCTTCGACCTGAATGGAAGGACAAGACTTCACCAAGTTTGTATGGCAGAAAGCAGGGCAACGAGCAAGAAGAAAGCAGTTGCTATGCTGGCGGCGGCTGGCGCCAACCTTAACGCTCGCGTAGCAAAGTCATGGTCTCCGGACGATCACCAGACGCTAGGGTTCACATGCTTGCATAGTCTTGTTTACAAAGCTCATCGAAGCAGGGATCGAGACGAGTTGGAAGCCGTAGTCTTCCTGATCCAACAAGGAGCAGACATCCTTGCGGTTGACCACCATCAGCATAGCGTTTCAATGCGTGCATATTTACCTAATGATGGCGATAACCAGTATTCGTCCAAAGGGTCGTACAGGGGCGATCTGTGGGATGCTGCTCTTACGATATGCGGCCACGATGTTAGCCAATACCGACATGCATACCCCAGAGTGCCCAGGTATAACAGAAATTACAGAAGGAAAGACTTCGAGAGATTATGGGAGGGGTATGAAGCCCTCTGCCCGTACTGGAACGATGAGCGATATCCGGAAACAGGCGGCGATGATGACTACTGGAAACAACCTGTGAGACGCTGCAAGCATATCGCATGTTCAGATTGTGAAGAGTTTACGCCACAGGCTGATGAGCATGATGCGGAGCCAAAAAGAGACGCTGACGTCCCAGGCTACGCTCAAGCTATATATCGTGAATGGTTCTTAGCTCGCAGCCCGGAGTCTAATCCTTCCCATATGACTTATATAGATCATATTTCGGAAGATTATGAAGATGATGACTACGCAGAAGAGGAGAGTCCATCCCCTGATATTTTTGAGGGGGGAGGGAGGGAATCGAGTGTCGATATAGAATCTGATGGTGGTGTTCGGTTTACCGATGAGATGAACAGTCTGTCACCACCGAGCAGTGAAGATGGTGAAGCAGCTTATGAGAGATTAGTCGCTCCGTATCAGCTTGAAGAAAGGGACGTTGAGGACTACCCTACTTTTGTCGATCGATGGTTAGAGCACTATATTCGAGCGGCTGAAGAAGAATATGGAGAAGAGGATGAGGAGATGGTGAATTGATCGAATCGATTACTAGTTTAGGTCAAGCCCCAATACTCAGCAGTGATCAACAACTAGATGATGTGAGATATCGGCTGAGCTCTGACTCCCGGGGTTTAATAAATGATCGCAATATTTAAAGTCGCATTTCATCAAGAATTAATAACATGCGGATCGAATTGTAACAAAACACATCATGAAAACGGCCTTTGCGGCACCGCTTTTGCCGATAATTGCTGACAGCTCTCAGCAAGCCGATCGAGGAGTGGCTGCTTACTGGCCCCCAACTTGCTTACCATACCAGCGATTTTCGAATAACCGAGCCGCGCGTGAGATAACCGTGTCATGCAGTGCCGCAGAGCCAAGCATCAGACTTCTGCTGTATCGGCGATCCATCATCCACCGAAACGCGCGGGTAGAAGTCGGGATTTGTAAGAAAGCAGAACAGCCCACATGCCTTGCGGGCATATGAAATTATTAATCTTGTAAGAAGAGCTAGGGTATCTATTAAACTAATCGCGTATAAATAGGTTGAATACTGGATAAAGTTTCAAGAATATCTCTTCACTCATCACATAAACTCCTCCCTTCAAAGTCCCTTTATCTCATTAAATCACAATTTTAGAAAGCGCAAACACAATATGGCTGCCATCAAGAACATCGCTCTAATCACAACAAGCACTCGCAAAAGTCGAGTTGGCCCTCAGGTTACGAGCGTCATCAACGACATCCTCACTGGCGATGCAGACGCCAGCAAGAACACCAAGATCTCTCTAGTAGATGTCGCAGACTTCAACCTCCCCGTGTTCGATGAAGAAATCATGCCCGCCATGGTACCCGACAAGGGATCCTTCAAGCATGCCCACTCTATTGCCTGGAGTAACGAGATCAAGAAGCACGACGGCTATGTCATTGTCATTCCCGAGTATAACTTTGGTCTTGCAGGCGGTACCAAGAACGCTATTGATTACTTGTATAACGAGTGGATTGGCAAGGGTGTTCTGATTATCAGCTATGGTATCTTTGGAGGAAAGGCTGCAAGCGAATCTCTGGATAAGACCCTGAAAGGCATGAAGCTCAATGTGGTTGATACACGACCTGCTCTCGGATTTCATGGTGGTGTCGGTGATGATCTCTGGCTTGCTGGTGCTGGAAAGCTGGGCGACGAGACCAAGAAGGATATCATTGCTGAGACGCCTACTATCCTCAAGGCTTTTGGTGAATTGAAGGATTTAATGGACAAGCAGGTGCCCAAGGACACAGCCACGAATGGCGCATAGATCGTGAGGGTCGGTCATTGTATCTTATTTATAGAGTTGGTATATAAATCTATGGATATTCTGTTCTTGTAACTCAAAGCTTTTGATAAGTCTATTCTAGGTTGATAAAGCTGACAGCTGATTGCATCGGGCGCCTTGACTCATATCTCTTGACGTGATAAGAGGTGTTGATATTTTGTTTGGATGTATAATATCCCAAGTCCACGTTCAAAAGGCTGCAAAGAAGTATTGCGCCTCCTTCCCAGAAACATGCCAACATGGATCCCCCGATCAGCAGAGACTGGGCTAGCGCCATAAGTCTTCGTCGTTGTGTCAGTTGACGTGACATCGGTCCGCTGAAGATTGGTGGCTGCCAGGTCAAATGGCTGAAACCTTTCAGGGGCGCGGGTATGCGGCGTCAAGTGTGGAGGGCTGGACCGTTCTCTCCGCAGATAAACTCGAGGTCTAGAAAACTGCAGATAGATCATCTCCGTAGAGATGCATTCACTGGATGAGAGTTCGAGAAACGCGTCGCCCACATGAATCCGGGGATATCGTCAGTGTTGAATTTGAACGCGTGGGATTGACATGATTATTACCGAAAGTCTTGACGGGAGCAGTGGTAGATGGTGTTCTGGACCAGAATGTGGCTTGACGAGTCTCAGATTAAACTTAGCAGATCACTCCAGTTTCTTCTGCCCTGTATCCGGGAGGAATGCAAACGCAAACTATCGCTGTTGCTTAGGTATGTGTGACTGCTACATTTGCAGACCTCCCTTTTCCTCTGGGGACCCCCTTCAACGTTCGTGTTGCATCATCTGTCCCCGAGTGGTAATGCTAGCGACTAGGACTTCATCATCAAGGCGCGGTCCTCATCTCGCCAGTTGATGTTGTACGAGACTCAGCAATCTCCAAGATGCCAATAGATCCAAGTGGCCCAACAGTCATCGTAGGATACGTCGTCTCTTACGACACGCGACATTACTGAACCATTCGCAGGCTACTGAATGGGCCCTTATCTCCATCGCGACCGCAGTAATTTTAGCGCGACTATACCTCCGACTCGTTCTACAACGGCGAAGTCTACTCGCGAGCGATGTGTTCATGTGCGCCGCATGGGTTTCGGCCGTGGCGACAGCAAGCTTCGATATCTACTTCTACCGCATAGGCATTTTCAAACCTGGTATCACATTCGATCTTGCTGGATTCGAAGGAACAGCTGAAGAGGCAGAAAGCTTCTACAAGGTATACACGCTTGAGATCACCAAGGCATGTTATCAGCTAAGATGTTGCGAACAGCTCTACTATTTTGCCAACTATCCATTTTATGTGACTTTCTACTTATCTAAGGCAGCTCTACTTGCTGTGTACTTACAGATTTTCCCCGTCTTTATGGTAAAGCGACGTCGATTCCTATGGGTGGTTATCGTCTACGTTGCCATGGGCTTCGTTATTACAATACTGCTACTCAGCCTCTCATGTCTACCAGTATGGAGAAATTGGTAAATATATCAATGGCAGCATATGCTCTATAGATTATACTAACACATCATCAAGGACATTATCGGAACAAAGATGCACCGTTAAAAGCATCAAAACCAACTTTGAAATTTCATGGGTTCTAAACATCAGTGGGGACATCCTGAGTATGTCATGTCCTCACATCTTGTCAATGATCTCTACTAATCGACATTGATGTACAGTTTTCATTCTGCCATGGCTCGTTATCCCCGAGCTCACATTGAGGAGAAGACTGAGATATAGTCTATACGCCACGTTTCTCCTTGGTCTTATCAATATCATCTTCTGCGTAGTCCGCTTTGCCCAGATTGAGCAATATGGTGGAGATTTGGTGATCACAATTAGCCTTGTCGGTAAGTATTTCTAAATGAAAAACTTACCTCTTGTGGAAGAAAGAAACTAATCAATGCCATCCATCTCGTAAACAGAATTATGGAGTTTCATCGATGCTTGCATTGGCCTGATTATCGCATGCCTCCCATCACTACGACCCTTCTTCAACTGGCGAGAAAAGATTCAGTACTACGGTCAGAGTAGCGGTCAAGATAGTAAGGGAGACTCAAGCCAAAACTCAAGGAGACCGATGATATCGTTAGACCCAGAAATGTTGAGTCAGCCATCCAACGTTCACTTGAGTGAAGATATGCAACGGAGGTTCTCAGTAGTATAAAGATGAGAGACGAGAAGGAAACTTGATCATTAACGAAGGAATATTTGTATGATTTACTATGATATACCCTTCTGTTAAATTGGCTTTGTATTCTACAAAGGTGTTGGAGGCTCAAGCGACTCAGAAATTGAATCTTGTTATTGGCTTCTATGGGAACTGGTCTGTGTATCATCAGGCCGCCAAGATCGCATGTCACTCTATATTGGCCACAAAAAAAAGTATGTACGTAAAAAAGCCGAGCAAGCCGGCTATCGTTGTATGTTCAGTTAGGTGCTAAGCTATGTACAATGAAGTAAAGACCGGTCCTGAGTGAAGTCCAGTCACAAGTCCGGACTCGTAAACACGTAATCCCATCTGAAGCTTCCGAAGATACAGAGAATGGCTATCTTCAAGAGACTACCATATCATCATGGCCCCCAGAACTTCTAGTCATAATGCCTCTTTACTGGGAGACAGTCATGCTGGCAGAGCCAGAGCTGTAGTAACCCTCAACAGCAAGGATCTGATAGTCGTGGGTGCCAAGGTTGAGGCCGACGTTCTTCCAGGCCTGGAAATGAGCACCAGTGTTGACGGATCCGCTGGAACGCTTGTTGCGTCGGACAGACCAGTACTGCTGAAAGGTCTTGTTACCGTCGATGGAGGGGGCGTTGACACGGGTGCTGACGTAGATATCGTAGACAGATCCGTCAACATTGACCTCACCCTTCTTCTGGCCACCGGAAGAGGGGTTGTAAGTGCCGAAGTTCTCAACGATATAGTACTCAATGAGAGGGTTGCGGGTCCAACCGTAAACAGCGAGGTAGCTGTTGCCGTTGGGGTTGTAAGAACCAGAGTACTTGATGGTGCTGCACATGAAGTTAGTATGAGGCTCAGAGAGGCAGCACAGGGGGAACTTACCGAGAAGTACCAGGCATCCAACCCTTTCCACCGACGTGGTTGCCGTTGCCGCTCCACTGCATGCTGAACTGGCCACCGTTGCCGTTGGTGTAGGTGACAGAGTTGGGTGTATCAGTCCAGAAAGAGAAGTAGTAACCACCGCTTGTGCCAGTAGTGGGCTGAGTGCGCTTGTCGAGGACGTTTGTGGGAGGGTCACGCTCGACAACGCTCATGCCGTCAACGGGCTGAGCGGAGGGAAGGGCCATGACGCCAGTGACAGCCGAGACGGCGGCGAGGAGGGAGGTGAAGGAAACCATTTTGATGATGTTGACTTGAAGAAGACTGTTGGAGGCTGAAGCTGTTGGTTGATGGGATGAAGAGACTGATTGACGAGGACTCTCGTCGTATTTATATTGCCAAATAGTAGCACTTAGGCGATCCTTAATTGCTTTACATCATCCGAGTCTGGCCCAAGTTCGCGAAACTTGTGGAGAAAAGGAATTGCCTAACATGGATGTGAAAGTGTCCGAGATCGATCCAAGTCTGTATGAAGTGTATACCCAATTTTGCCGGCGAGATAACCACTGGGAAAGTAAGGATCGATGAAAATGCTTGTTTGACCAGTTGACAGCAGTCATCCCAATGTGATTAGTGGGTCGATGATATCCCGGAAACTCAACCAAGTCGGTACTCATCTCCGTACTATGAAACATGCTAACCGTAGGGGTCTGGTTTATCCGGCCTTTGTGCAATTTCGGAGGAACAATGCCCGGATCGTCCGATTTAGGACAAGACATGATCTCGAATGGGAAAGCAAGAGTCGGCATTCGTAACATGGAGCCACATGGCATCGATGCAAGTCTTGCCATAGAGCCACCTCGAATGGGGCGGAGGTTGCATTGACTGCCGAAGACCCCAGACACGTCCGCGAACTAGGAACTGGGCCGAGAACTAAGGTCTTTGATTAGGAAGGGGAGGACGAGGATCGGTCATTCAGCCTAAAAACCAAGGTTGCGTTTCAGAAGATCAGCGTGAGGGTGCATGGTGTATAGCTGAGGTCTATTAAGATGTAAAACAAAGAACCCAGTCTAGAACTTGCTCATGACTCAGGGATAACACGAGAATGCACACTTGTTTAGCGATCCTTTGCCTTGGTAATTGGTGCATTTATTCGGGAATGATCCGTGCTCAGTGCACACACGGTTAAAACCGAACGATCATGGTGTCTTTGACAGAACAGATGCGACATTGGCTACGTAGGCATTGGATAGCGGTCTGACATACAATTTGGCCTCGGCTAAATTTAAGAATCCATAGTGACAAGAGGATCCGCCAAGCCGCGTTTTAGTGGCGATGTAACTCCAACACTTTAAATCCAAGGCACATATCAATGCATTGTGAGCTTGCGGGGAACGCCAAAATGATCGAAACAGGGTATCACATCGTAGCCTCTACCAAGGCATTGGAACTCTGCGCTGTCATGAAGACTTGGGCCCATTCAGGCAAAATTCCAATGCCGAACTTTCATCCAGCCAAGACTGTTGCTGCGCCGTGATTAACCGCCAAGATGAACCTTCAGCTCGGCAGAACAGCACCTCCATAGACCTTCACGACAGTGTCATCAGGCACATACGACCAAAGCTCGTAGAAAATACGGGATCCCGTCCGCTCTCCCATAGTCAAGCTGCGAAGCGCTGGATTAGTAGTTGGGTCGGTGACGACCAGCGAATCCCCGGTGTTGTATGTTATTTTTGCCCCGTAGACAAGTGGAGGAACTTGTCGGACCGGCTGCTTTTTTGCTCTGCGATGATACTCATGGGTTGCTTCGTATATTCGTGGTTGGGATGTGTAACCGCCAGCTGTGAGCCGCATTATCCAGAAGCCGGGGTAAATCCGTATTATGCAGACTTCGCAATCGCCGAAACTCTGTATATGATCATCCTAGCAATCTTGCCCTCATTTGCTGCAAATATTATATCAGGCTGTTGTAAAATTTGAAGACGCAGGCCGTGCTGAAACTATATTATCCAGAATATTGTGAACCGTATGTTGTTCGCGTTCGTTCCGAATGTCCCAAGTAGGAATTACTTGATGGCTTCCGAGCCATGGTCTATTCGAATTGAGCAATTTATGCTCTGCCTCTTCAGGTTCTCTGCATTTATTGATGATATTTCTGCAGCAATGTCACGCCATTTTCCTGTGCGAGAAGAGACAATTTGCAAGGTAAGCACAGAGATTGGACAGACTGTGAGTTGTAAGAACGTTTTAAGGGTGTCCTTATGTCTACCTCATCAGTTCGACGGCATTGTCCTCACTGACAAGGTGGTGCACTTCAAGAATTGCAAGCAATAGCAATGAATTAATCAGAATAGTTATATCAAGTAAAATTAGGTCATCCCCTTAAGTCTTTGGACGTGAGAACGGCATTAATGAAATAAGCCATATGAAAACTCCTGATTTCAATTCATAGCCTTGATTAGGGTTAAACGACTTTTATCTGACCAAGTTGGGTTTAAAAAAAGAGTTGATGCGATAGACAAAGATATGCTGTTCAAAATCTTACATTCGATAAATATAACAAGTTTAAACATCAACAAGTTCTCTTTAAGAATAACAGAAATAGCAACTCTGAGTTTTCCTATGAGGTATCGGGTAACTCGTCGTTGAGCCGCTGAAACCTGTTTGCGAGAGCGGAGGTGGGGTCGTTCTCGATTTTACGCTTGTCGAAAAATGAGCCCAAAAGTGTTATTACACTATCGACAGCTACAGTACAAGATGGTTAGTAAGATCAACCACGACAAAAATTAACTGACGAAATTTCTGTCTAGTATCAACTGATTGATCGGGGAGTTAATCCCGACAGTTTAAGAGACCTATTCATTGATTAGAGAACGTATATCTAAGTTGGTTAGATATATCTGCCGTAGATTACCAATAATTGCTGAAACCTAGAGTTGGAAATCCGCGGCTGGAACTCTGTGACAGTTTGAGGCAACATGTCTAACCGGGAGGACTATTCACTGGAAGAGCTCATGACAGGATGGTCACAGGCTGTTTAAAAATGGTGTTCCATATACGGATAATAACCTTATCATGAAGGTTCTGCCCAAAAAACTAAATATGAACATACTTCAATCAATTGGTTGTACTTTAGGCTTCAAGGATTATTCCCCATCCGAAGATCAAAGATGTTCACGTAGTTTGATGTCGAAGACAATGACGAACCTGAGTGTTGGACTAAAGAGTTCAGCGCACACGTGGAACACCCACCAAATGCCGATGAACATGCGATCATTGCTGGGAAGTGCGAGCGAACAGAAAAACAGGGCGCCTTCATTATAAGCCCGAGCAAACCATATTCTTATCTGACTTCCCCTCGTACCTGCTGTTCAGTCTTCACTTACCAACTCTAAAAGGCATAATTGGAAGTTTAATTTCCTGTCCTTAAATACGCATGCCTTCCCCTCCTGTCAAAGGTTTATTGAGTTTCTCCTCCCATCATCAGCCCCTCGCATACCGCGCGCATCAGAATATCTCCTAAGCAAAAGATTCATCATGGACGGCCTTCCATCGAGTCCGGCGAAGCTACTTGAACAAAAGCTGATGGGAAAGCAAAGACAGGATCCATCGCTGGCCATGAATAGTCCTTCGCCAATTCCAGCAAAAACCGCAATGCCCAAAAGTTATGCTGCGGCACTCAGGGGACCACGACCAGCACCCGGGCCAACACCGCTTACAGTTGGAGCTTTGTCCCGCCTCAATGGCAAAAACTTAGAAGAAGAGTTGCGAGTTTCAAAGTCTTGGAGCAGTAAAGGACCGGCCCCTCGAATCAAGGAATGGGTTTGCCGGATTAGAGCTATGCAGAATGGAAGGGAATTGCTTCGTCCCAAGAACTCACCCCGGTTGAAATAATGGGATTGGTTCAGAACTTGGCCTTGGTCGAGGGACTCGAAGAAAGCGAATTATATATTCAGCCTGGCACAACCTTCACGTTCGACAAGACAGTACGAGACACACGCGGAAATGAAGGAATTGACAAATGGACATTGTTGGGGATATTTTAACGACGAACTTCAATTTTTTATTCATTATAACGGATTATTGCTCAGGCTGTGAATGCCTCCTTTCCGACTCGATATATGACGGCAATGAACTGGAACATCTCGTGCTGCTTTCTGGAAGCCCGATATCCTCAGCGTCGGGCTGCACATCTCCTTTCTGCTCCTCCATTGTGAGCTGTACCGGCAATACCAGCTTCAGGGTTGTCGATGCAACATTAATCGTTAGATGTAATTGATATGTCCTGGCAATCAGGCAAGAATAAAAAGTGGGCAAAAACATTTTCTTATCGCTCGCAAAACTTGTAATGGGTATTTCGATATGGCTACTGAATGTCTCAGCAGTCTCGGTGACAATACTGTCTGTTTGTTTCGGTGAATTCTTCTCCCAACGTAAGCCGACCTCCGACTTCTTCACGAGAGTATCGGAGCCATTATAGCAGTCTCTCGCGTTGACGATATGAGGGAGCTGTTGCATGGGCTCATCTTGTGACCATGTCTCTGACTCAATCTTTGCAGAAACACTGCATGTTTGTGGTAAGCTAGTCTTTTGGTCGCACAGCTTTAGTCTCAGAGACGTTGTAATCGTTGTAGGATGGAAACTCTTTCCGCTGGAATCAAGAACGATCGCGTTGGGTTGATCAGTATATAACGTGATCTCGCCCGAAGAGCGACAAAAGACATTGGATTTGAGTTGCTTCGATGACCCGAACTTGAAAGTTCGGTTTGCTGTCGGGATCTTCAGAGGCGGATGTTCAACATGGCCTGGCAAGAACTGAACGGTTTCTTTGGCTTCCATCTTGGCATACTCTGGGCTTGCCGAGTCCCAAACCTGAGCAATGACACCGTAGTCAACGCGCACGCCTCTTGGGATCATGGCATCACTCTCCCAGCCGGTGATACTGGGAGGAAGATGTGAGTGCAACTGTCGTGTTTCTTGCCATATGACGTTATGCGAACAGGCCTCTGTACCGAGGCCATTGGGTAGTACAAAATAAAATGGAACCGTGTAAGTCTCATTCGCTTGTAGGATCTTAGTAGTTGGTAATGCCGCTTCCTCAATTGGCATGTCCAGATCAAGTAATCGATGCCATGTCTCAAATGACAAATTCGCATTGGGTCGCTCGACGCTTGAGTCGCAAACAAATTTTATTGAGACCTTGGTGAAAGGAATCTGCTTCTTAGGCTTGATGTTGACAGTGCCCATAACTATGGAGCCAGGGCGATAGCGCTTTGATGCATAATGATCATGGATATTAATGGTCAAGCCATTTTTCTTAGGGGGTAAAATAGAGTTAAGGCTCTGTAGGGCTGACGGATTGAATGGGCTAAGCACCGGGCGTGTCTGGAGAGGGACGCCGGATCTTTGCGTGTAAGGAGGCTCCATATTGACGATACTGATGAGAATTGATCCGACATCTTGGCGATATTTGGCCTTATTGTTATACAATTTCTGCCTGACTAGGCATCTGCACTTTTCTCGATGAGTCGTGTCAATTAACCATGGCAAGTGACTCACGAATTCTGCGTAATACATGTCATCGGCTTAATCTGACCCGACTGTTACGCCTGGGAATAAGATGCGCGTCGCTACAGACCGCGTAATTGAGTCACTGGGTGTCGCAAGCACAGTCATCAGCTAAATTGTTCATCCGTCAGCCAATCAGAAGCACAGTAGGATCGATTAAAATTCACGTTTTAAGGCTTTTCTTATGCACCCTGTTAGTGCAGCACGGCACGTATGATCCGAATTAAGGTAGTGCTCCGTCCGGGCTGATTAATACTCAACGACGACGCTAAACACCAGAGATGAATTGACGTGGTTGGAGGGAAAAGGCATCGCCAAGGGACTGTTAGCGTGAATGACAGAATCATCCACGAAGCGGAACTCATAAGTGCTCACGCAATCCTCTTGAATTACAAAGCCAATGGCCTGACGATTTGGAAGAAAATGCTCAATATCACTTACGAATCTCGGACTGGAGTCATTGCACCATCGATATCACCATTATACGGATGACAGCCTGCACGCAATGGACAACCTTTGATGCGGAGCGATACAGCGAACGACAGTCACAATTGGTTTAGGTTGGTGGTTCTGGTAAAGTCAAAGATGCAATTAGCCGTTATACGGAAGCCTGTATCTCAAATCTGGTAGTTCTGTGCTATTAGAGGGATAATCTCGGAGCCTGGCCTTGACCATATCCATAACTCGTCAGGCAGTATCTCTATCCTTCATCTGCCCACGCGTAATATGCAGGCCATACGCAAGAATTGATCCAGAAGAATACCACGCAGACGTCATGACAGCTACCCGCATACGTCGATGCCCATACTAATCCGAACCGAGCCGATAACAACGATGCAGCTCAAGCTTCAGACACTGTGAATATAAGCTGCAATCAAACTGATCTCAAACACATACGACCATACCTATCAGAGAACTCGGGATCCCGTCCGCTCTCCCATAGATAAGCTGATAAGGGGCGGATTAGTAGTTGGGTCGGTGACGACCAGCGAATCCCCGCTGTTGTATGTTTTTGCTGATCTTGATAAGAGATCGTCCTTTTTGGGGTTCAGTTTGTTGTCATGTTCAAGACGAAGCGGTAGTTGTGGAGGTTCAGGTCCCAGTAAAACGTCCTGAGACGTGATTAACTTTTTTGTCTTGATGGCTATTACTACCGAAGCTCTGTAGTAAGCTTTCACTGAGCAATCAGCTGCCGCCATATAACTTCAGGAAAAATCTTAGCTCACCTTTGCCCCCTTGTGTTAAATCGCTTGCAATTACTCACTCGGTTTCTTCTGCCAAGGAACGTTCGGCAAACACCAAGTTTTAACTTTCGCTTGGACAGGTATTTACTGCTACAATACCATTTCAGGATACATGCAGCCAGTAATTGCAGCAGATAATAACTTTCTACCGGGGCAAGGCATGCGATGCAAAAATCGGCTGTTAGCTATATCTGACTTCGTGGTTTGAATGTTTTGGGTTGACCCCACTGATAAAATCCGTACGTAGGCTGTGTAAGTTAGTGGTAGTTAAAGTGTATTTACAGTAGGTGTTAGCATAGGCGACCACCGAGGCTGAAGCCTCTTGGCGCCAGACCCGGGACTCAAAATCGAATTCTGCAGCTTTGTTGAAGAAAAAAATGATTAAATTCAGTTAAGAATAAAACACTGACAACCTTGAAATACAGTCTTGGTAAAATACAAGGCAGAATGCTGGGTTGAGCGTTGAGAAGTGAAGTCTGGCTAAGCCTGCCTCGAAGCTGAAAACCCCTGGTCGTTGCTCGTGAGAGCGTCCAATTGCTGATGTTGCTGGTGAAGCGCTTCAGACTTGGCAGCGCACTTTGAATGGTGCCCTTCCACGGAACAGTATCAGCCACCGGCGGCTATGCAACAGGGCGGATTAATTCCGTGGTGATCTTCAAACCTTGATAATGCCTGCCCCAACGTGAATCAGCCTTGGAATCACAAAACAATGTCAAGGTCTGCATGGCAATGCTATTGCCCATCCTGTTTCACCGATGACTATCTTTCATCATTTGAGTATTGTCCACAACCATCGTCAACATGTACAAGTCACACGTCCTCACAACGCCGACATCAATCCGTCTCTTGGATATCATTGAGTCCCGAGACGACATCATTCGTTGCTCCATGCGAGTAGTCGACCTAAGCGATGAGAACCTCGAGTTTGCCGCCGTCTCATACACTTGGGGGAACCCTACTACAGTCCAAGAAGAACCCATGCCCGATATCGATGGTTTGGAATTCGAAGAACACGCCGATAAATTTCCTTTCGCCTATCACAGTCCAGAACTGGGTCCCAATGGCGACAAGCTGGTAATGGTTGATCGGGCCAAGCTTCTGTACTACGATATGCATCGTTATGTCCCTCGTGAAGAGGTGCTTTGGCAAAAGCGCACGCATCATGAAATAGAAGTTGACGGGAGTCGAGTCCCAATCGAGGAAAACCTCTTATCGTTCTTCGAATCAGTGTTGACACTGAGAGCTGCAGTCGTTCCAAACCCAGGTGAAATGGAGAGTTCAACTTACCGCTCAATCAACCTGCCCATCTGGGCTGATGCACTCTGTATCAACCAGGCAGACCTCGACGAACGAGCTGCCCAAGTCAAGCTTATGGGGCGCCTATACAAGTCAGCGAGTATAGTACTTGCCTGGGTTGGCCAATATGACAGGCTTTCAGAACTGGCGATACAAGCAATGGGGAAGATTCTTGATTTCGACGCAACTCGGCTTCACACACAAGACTCGTCATACCTAGAACAAGAGGAAGTGACAATGTCCTCGGTCCCAGGGATGACAGTGGTGCACTGGTTCGCCCTCTTTTCCCTCTTCCAAAGACTCTGGTTCCGCAGGGCTTGGGTCGTCCAGGAGGCTGTTTTTGCTCGCGATATCTTAATGGTTTGTGGCGCAACACTGCAAAGTATGGATTTCATCTTGGCGGTTGCCGCATTTCTGGAACAGACGGGAATCGATATTGAGTTATGCCAGTTTGGCCACAAATTCCTCACCAATGGAGCTGTGTCAGACCAGGCTCAACACTGGGAGAAGCTGTCGCTGCTCTCTGGACAGCCAGCGAGGACGGTAAATGAGTTAAAGGTCACTCCGCGCGATGCTCTTTCTTTTATCCTCGGATATCACCATACTCGTTCGCGTCTTGGGTTCTGCAACGCTGGCCTGCCCATGGTCACCCTACTTCCAGATGAAGAAGGCCAAGACGAGGCAACTGAGAACAAATCATGTCGATGGGCCCTAGAGCTTCCTGAAGTTACTCACCTCACTGATAACGATGTAGTGGAATCTTTCAGCGAGGAGCTGGGTGTGACGGGTTTCAGATTCGAGCGCCGCAAGCTACACCTACTTTCCGTCCTGTCCGACTTTCGTGAGCTCGATGCTACTGATCCTCGAGACAAGATCTTTGCGTTTCTGAACCTTGCTGAGGACGGTCTCGGACTACAACCAGACTACAATGCCGACGTCAAAGAGGTCTTCACCCAAACAACGAAGGCCATGATTGAGAAACGCGTTGGTTCGCACCTTGCGGTTCTATCCCATGTGCAAGACCTTTCAGACACTAGGATTCAAGGCCTTCCAAGCTGGGTCCCCGACTTTAGCGCCAGGCTGGGGCGGGTTCCGTTCGACCAAGGTGGATATGATGATCGTTTCTGCGCCGGAACTCACCATGATGTCGGTTTTGACGACTGGATAATTCACATTGACCCCGAAAATAAGCTCAGTATCAAGGCCATTAAGGTGGATACTGTCACTATGTCCACAGAGCTCAATCGAGATCCAGTTATCCAGACTCTACGACTGGCATTACATAGTCCAGCTGAATATCCAGTTCAAACCAGAGCGTGGTGTGTCGAGGATACTTCAGATCATAGCTCAAGACGGTACATCCGCCCATCACAAGCGGTGACCCGGGTTGAAGCCCTATGGCGCACTCTGATCATTGATAAACTGACCGAGACGGAAAACGACTTCGGCAATATGGACTCAAGAGTGAACCTAGGGACGGGTTTTAGTAACTGGATATTGACAGATATACTAGATGCTCGCGACTTGCTCGTCGAATGGTCAGGGCTTAGCTCGGAATCGTGGGCGTGGATACTGATCCAGACGTCGTTCACTACCCGCTTGGCTCTTTGGTCAGCAATGTATGACGGACAGCAGCTGTCTGATGAACTACAGGCGCCAGATCTTGAGACAGCCCTAGATGATCTTACTGAAAAGACAAGAAAAGAAAAAGGCGAGCGAGGCGAAGGAGAAGAGGGGAAGGAAGCAAACCAGCAAAGCCAAAAGGTGGTACAAGAAGAGGATAAGCAGGAGGCGAGTAAAGATGAAGAGAGGGAAGATGAGCTATCTGAAACAGAAGGAAGTGACAGTGAAGGTCAGGATGGTGGCGATACAACGTGGGAAACAGGGTTTGTCCCTTCAGCACGGCGTGTTCGAGAGAGCTTTCCAGCTCCTGCAGTGGAAAAAGACAAACAGGACGAGGACCCGTTAGGGGGCAAACATAAGCGACCTTCGATGCAACGACTAACTCCACTGGGACGGAGAAAGCTCCGCAACTTCGAGAAACACATGCGCAATGCTACCCAGGGCCGGAAACTCTTCATGACAGAATCGGGGCTGCTTGGCCTGGGACCCAAGACTTTGGGTCAGGGTGGTAGCAAGGATGAAGTATGGATCTTGATGGGGGCCCGGGTACCCTTTATTCTACATCACATCGAGGGTTCCAAGTATCGTGTTGTTGGAGAAGCATATGTCCATGGTCTAATGTATGGGGAGGGGTACGATCGATATGCGGGCGGGCGTAGTGGCGTGGATACGATACTGTTGGTTTAGCGACAAGGAGGTCACAGAGCAAGACGCTCTAAATGGCTGAAAGGTATTGCCAGAGATAAAATACATCATTTACAGTTATGAATCATTAGAAGTATAGTTTTGAATCGAATGTTATGATCGTCGCAATACAACAACTCATGCTTCCTGGGCAATGACGTCGACAGGGGTATAGCCATTCGGGCTGCCACTGGATATAAACAAGTAGGTACCAGCGCCCGTCTGGGTCTTGTAGTAAAACTCATTATTCACCTGGCCATCCACAGTGGTGCAGCCTAGGGGCATGCCGTCGTCATCTGTTGGGCACGCAGCTTGGGGCGCAGTACAAGAGAGCTTGCCGCTGACGATTTGGCAGGTCATGTAATCGTAGGCCATGTTGGGCCCAGTGTTACCATTCTGGCAGAATGCAAAGTAGGCAGGGTCAGAGATCGTGTTTGCAGAGCCGTAGTATGCGCATATCTGAACTCCCGTATCTTTATCCCGCAGTCGGCCGGTGTCGGGGTCGAGGATGATCGTTCTGGTACGGCTGGTTCCAGTTTGAGGGTTGAATAGAAGGACGCTACCATCTTGGTCGACGCCTTTGAGGGGCGCGCCTTGTATAGCGCCACCGCCGCCAACAATGGTGAATGTTGGGGTTGCCACGGCGGTGGTGGTCGTGCTCTCAGCCTCGGCTGTCGTAGTGGTAGATTCCACAGCGGTTGTTGTCTCAGCTTCAGCCGTTGTAGTAGTAACTTGAACAGCAGTTGTTGTCTCGGCTTCCGAGGTTGCGGTTGTCTCAGGGGCGGTCGTGGTAATAGCACCAGTCTCGGTGGATGTTTCAGATGATGCGACTGTAGGTGTTTCCTCGACAGTCGAAGTGGGCTGCGTCGTAGAACCGACCGACGTTGAAATAGCAGTCTCCGAAGCTGGATGAAAAATCACGATTAGCCATTTTCCAGTCTTATTTTCAGCATGCTCTCTGTGTCGACATACTGGAGGACCTGGGCTTGCAAGGACTGGCAAGCGCAGAGTCGGCAACAAGAAGGCCAATGGCCAACAGTAAAACCTTGGATCGCATCCTCGGCACGATGAGAATTCGCAAACGATTGACTGAGGTGAGTGACGAATAAGAAAGCAGCAAGCGAAAGAAATGCAGAAAAGATCAAAGGGGATCGCTACTGTAATTATATTGTTACGTACCTTAGTGTTGATGGCGATCATCTCATCTCCCCTAAATCAATAGTTTGCTCTAGCGCGCCACAAGATCTGGAAAAACTTTATGCTCAACAATAATTGGCTGCCAACGTCCCATACCAAAATTCCCCGTCAATAGTGCCAGGCACCGCTCGGAAACAGGCCTAGTTTAGCCCCAATAATAAAAGCTTGTTGCGTACTGTATCCAAGTCGGCTAGGTCGGCAATCTTCAAACGATGGAGCATTACTGTAACGGTTGGTGATCTAATATTTCCAGGTCGTTATTATACGTTACCAGATGATGCGAAGAGATATTGCTCAATTCAAGTTCTCTATCATAGGAGGCTTAAAAAACTATCCCTCTGCTATCGCCCTGTCCTCATAAAATTCCCCAGTAGGTGTCAACAAATATGCAGATCTTCCTGCCTTCCTCCAGAGGATGGCAACATCCTTCAATAGATGACATAAAGTCACACCCTCTTCTCCGGGTGCAGGAGGATCGATACCGGCGGACTGACGCTTCGTAGCTAGAAGTTCCCCGACCTTTCAGGCTACCATAGAGCGCAAGGTTACATAATATCTAGTTCTAAACTCATAGCTCTTGCTCTTGGTCCTCCCCAATTGGCCAGTCGGGCTGATGCACCATCGCCATGACCAGCCCAGGCTTATCGGAAGTGATACCGAGATGTGTCTCCAGGCCCATACGCCAAGTAGCTGGGTAGAACTTGCGATTCTGAAACATGAACATAGATCCGATAAGATGGAACTTGTTAGGCTTCGGTCCATCATCTGTTGAAACCTCATGACGAACAACGTCATACCAATTATGGTCTACCAGCCTTTGGATGACAGCTGCGTCATCATGAGGTCGAAGAACATCTGGGCTTGCGAGCTTTTCTAGACGTTCGAGCCAGGCTTCTTGCGTAAGGTTCTTTCCCAGTTCTATACCGTGACCCATGCCATCACGGCAGGGCTTGTATATATAGTCATTCCTGACGTCCGAGTCGGATTTTGACTCGCGTAGCAGATTTTGAAGTCCTTCTGAACCCGGGTTGATCGTTTGGATGATCCCATCAGCAACGATGTCGGCCTCTTCGGCGGTCAGAACACCACGCGAAACCATCTTCGGAAGCTCTTCAGGTATGATACCAAGGAGTCGCTTGTCATGCACGATGAAAACAGTTCGAAGGTCATTGAGAGGAGTAAGGGACAATTGGCGAGCGACAGCTGGTTCCAGATTGGCATACTCTTCCTGTAGCATCTCAACAAACCACTGTTCCAGGAGCCTGTTCGTTGCCTTATCCCAGAGAGTGAATCCGGAGGGAGAATTTTCATCAGGGAGAACTTCCAGATCCTGGGGGCGAACTGCCTCGACTGGCGGCCTTCCACGTGCAACATTGACAGCTGAAAGGATCTTCGAGTCAGCACCAGGCCACTTATCTCTGATAGAGAAAAGCGGCTTATCGGGGTCGAATAGTGCCATAAGGTTGTTATAAGATGCCTAAATGGTTGGCAGAGCGTCAGCTTAGAGACTAGGGCGCGGAAGACAGTCGTATCACTCACATCCATGCTATTCACAGGCTCAAGTCCTCCTTTACTCGCACCAAGTTCCAGAAGCCCATTTTCGCCCAGAGCAATTCCCATGACCGCATTGAGAGGCAGCCTTCCGTTGATTTCGCAAACATACGGTGACTCATCCCGCAGACCATCCGGGCTGCGGCCAAACAACAAATCACTTCGCCAGCAACCGGCATGCTCGGCGTAGTCTGGAACACAACCACTAGACGCTACCCATCGGAGAAGCTCCTCTTCCGATGGATCCAACGGCATGCGTTCCGGAAAGCGTGCCTTCTCGTCTGTAAACCACCGATCCACGATATCGACAAAAACACGACCAAGAAGGACATGAAGCTGCTCAAGTCGTGAGAACAGAGGATCTGACACCGCAACAGCATGTGGTGAGATGCGCTCCATGATTCCAAAAGATAGTTCACCACCTTTGGCATCGGCGTAAAGATGCTTACGAAAAGTCTCAAGCTCTTTAGCGCGGCGGGCAAGGTTGCTGCAATATGCAGGAATCAACCGCTGCTCTTCGGCACTTCGGGAGACCGAAATTTGCATGAGGCCCGGCCGTTTGGCAATCATGGCGGGCATTTTTGTTTCACGATCCGATGTTCCTGTTAAGAATTACAGCGTATGACTAGGAGAAATTTCGAGCGTTGAAATGCCGTCCGCGACGCTTATAACTTATACAGACCCCTGTCAATCTTGATATGACAAGAAAGGGCGCGTGCGACACCACCTACCTATTCTAGTCTTATTCTGTCTCCACGATAAGCAGCGTATTACGCTGGGACAGGCTGTTCTGTGAAGGATGACTGTAGTCAGAATTTAGAGCGTAAGCGATTACGCTGCCCCAAACTCCTTCGGATTTGTCAAGGAGCCCGACTTAATACGGCAGTGACGACCAGCCTTTGTAGCATACATTATTTCTGGAATACTTTGATGGAGTCATCATTCTAGTTTTGGAGAAGATAATCAAGGTTGCAGTGGCTACTCTCGATCCCTCATATCTCATTGTCTTACCCAAGCTGCCAAGATCTGCTCAGTGTAAGCCCTAAAACCTCACGCCAAACTCAAATGCAGACTGTTTCTAGAGCCATTTTTCTTGGTCGCTTACACTTCTTCGTCATGTGATCGGACACGGTGAAGTGGTCTTTTGCTGAGCAGTAGATATAAGGATCTCAAAGACAAAGACCCTCACCAGGACATTGCCTTGTACCATCTTCATGTCTTCTCCATTCAATTTCAATAGTACATACTTTGTCAGGTAAATCTCAGCAGTCTCCAACCACAAGAGTCGACTTACAGGAGGTATATTGATGAAGTCAACTTGGACTAGACAACGACAACCTTGCGACCAGGAGTTTGGAATTTATACTTCCTAGAACATCTGCTTCCATATGCTTTTATATCTCTGTTTTTGCTTCTGTGGTTAGCCAAGTTCGATAAAGTTGTGTTCTTGATCCGAAGAACCACTGCTGAAGCCGGCGTACTCGTTCACCACGCCACGCAAAAATGCATATGTCTGCCTCCCAAAACATTCAATCCTATGTGATACAACAGCTTCGCCCGCTGATCCAGACATAAAGTGGCGATGCCAGACAGGATGTGTATACGTGAGGGGATTCTGAGCATCTCACATGGTGAGATATCCCACCAATCGGACCTTGCATTCCGTGACATACGACATCCGGTTAATGTATTTGAAGTGGAGGCATTTTGCCGCGAGCGAGACTAGATATAAATTAAGAATAATTCACTCTGATCTTGGGGGTTTGACCAATGCTTATTTGTATAACGATTGTCACTCTTGTTCCTTGAGATGAAGTTATTCGATCAATGCCTCCTTCTGGCAGCTGGCTTGTCTGAAGCTCTTGCTAGTCCAGTTGCCTCGATGGCTGCCCAGACTACGAAGAATCTTATTGTTTTGTACGTTATACCAACATGACGAATCGATTCAGTCTAACCAAGGGTAGTGGTGATTCATACTCAACCGTGGGATTCTGGCCTGGAGGTCAATTACCATCATCCTCCAACCCCATCGGGAACCCCGGACTGCCTGGGCAGACGACTTCTGCTGGTCTCAACTGGGTCGGCCATGTCACTTCAACTTTAAATACATCTTTGATCCTCACATACGACTTTGCTTACAGCGGAGCGACTGTCGACAAGAAAATCGTCAACTCATGGGCCCAGTACTCGATGTCGGAGCAGGTGGACCTCTATAAGCAATATGTTGCGCCTAAGATTACAAAAGCTGATACCCTCGTCGCATTCTGGATTGGTATCAACGACGTGGGTGAGGCGTTTTGGAGCAAGAAGAGTGCTCTTGTTACCGAATGCGTAAACAGATATTTTGAGCTCCTGCAGGTTCTTGTCACTGATGGCTACAGCAAGTTCGTCTTGCTGAGTATCCCTGGTAAGCCCCGACCATTTTAAAAAAGAAAAACCAGTTGTCTGACTCTTGATGAAGCATACGCAGATCAGTTCCCCAAGATGATAGGCCAGCCCGAAGTTGATCTGGCTCGCCTAAGATCAGACATCATTTCTTACAATAACGCTGTCAAAACCAAGGCAGCTAGCTTCACATCCTCTCACCCAAATGTCAAAATTCAGATATTCGATACCAAGCCCTCATTTGACCAGGTTGTCAATAATTATGCGGCATACGGAGCCAAAGATGCTACTTGCTTCGGCGCGAGTAATTGTCTTTGGGCAGATGACTACCATGCCAGTGGCGCCATTCATAAACTGCTAGCCCAGAACTTGGTGAAGGCGGTGAAGGGAATTTTTGTCTTCTAGACAAACATGATGGTGGGCTCTTTGTAGACTGTGCAGGATCATGTATTTGAATCTGACTCCCCTCTGTCACCTAGCATACATGTATTTTGATATGAGGGATACTCCGAAGTTCCTACAATGTTCTCGCGTATTTGCAATTTTTCTAACAGCGATGGCCTTTTGGTCTCCAGTGCTGCCATACCACATAATCTTTCTCAGTACGCTCATAGGTAGTGAGGATTTTAGGATTGTAGTCCGGAAAATGAGACAAACATAGCTGCGAAGTATGCTTTTTGAACTGTTTCTGCAATGCCGAGCAGAAATCCAGGGTCTGCTCTTCTGCGTTGTTTGTATCCTCCAGCACAGTTATTACTTCCATGAGGAGTGGCCAGAATCCAAATACCTGCATTACATCCTGTCTGAGTATGTTCTCGGCAGCCATCGCAGCCTTCCCGCATCTTTTGAAAGATCGATCAAAATTGAATTTCTTTTCCTCCATTTCATCCTCAACAAAAGCGATTGCATCCTCTCTGTCAATGATAACTGGATCACACTCTGAGTAGCTCATCATGATCTGGTAGAAAACTTCAGGGTCATTGTCCACTCCCCATCGTTTAAGATGTTTGAACTAATCGTCAACAACACCCCGTAGCTTTACCATGTGCTTGGGATTCACGCCATCAAGAAAGTCTCCCACAGCCCTGGGGTCCTGCTCCATAACCCCAAATACAGGGACATGTGTTTTGACAGGCATAGAAGGGCTGGGATATCACACAGGGCCCTTTCTATCCTGTCTTTGACGCGTGTCCCCGCATCTGCGGATTTCAGGATTATAAACACCACGAAATACGAAGATGACTCTTTTCAACCGCTTGATTGCCACCTTCAGTTTGTCCGGGTCCCTGTATTTCGGGTCCTTGTACCCAACGTGTCTCGTGTGGGTGTACCAGCTCTCATTGTTTCTCCTGTCCCAGTAGTCCTGATCGGTGTGCTGAGCCAAGTTGACAATGCCGACGTGAAGTGGAATAAGTTTTCCAGATACGATGTGCAAGTTCTGGGAAATACCACCATTCAAAAATATGTATAATGTCGAACTCCGGGTTAAAGTAAAGGATTCCATAGTAGGTGCAGGTCATATGTGCATATGTGCAGGGGATGTGAACGCGGTAGAATCTCTTGGCGGCGCTACGAGATTCGTGGTTGGTAACAAAGAGCTTGCTCATGACGATGCGCTCTCTAACTTTGACACGGTATCGCTCGCGAAGAATTCTAAGGATTCTTTCGCGGGTTAGGGAGCGTATCCAGATCCTTTCGCGAACCTCAGGAGGGAAACTTGCCGAATCGCGGGAAGCTGGAGGTGCTTAGAATTTCCAGATTGAGAATTTTAACCTCTTCATCAGAGCTGGACGAGACTGCATCTTCCGTATCTGTGCCTAGGGGAGTAGTCATCTTTCTTTGGCTATTCAGGCGGGGCTCCCACGAATAGTGTGGGCTTGACGTGAGAGGCCCGTGGGTGTCTTATATGTTAGTTACTATGAAAGCTGGCTTTTGTGGCTTCAAAGATCCAGCCAGTGAGGTTGGTAGAGCCAGGGTTGAAGAAAGCTATAAGTTCCAGGCCTCGAAGTCACGAATGCTTCGCGATTGGAACACGTTGACAAGATTTGCATAAACTGTAAAGTCAAAAGATGAATGATTAACAAGACAGGGACTGTGAATGATTATTGGATAATTAAACTATTCTATGTCATGTGAATAAAAGTTGGAAACCCTTCTATGTCCCCTTCTCTATAAGCTCAAACTTGCAAATCGTTATTCCTTTGTATGGCCCAATCTCCCGTTTATTACTGGCTGACAAAAGCACTTGTCTTAACCCACTGTTCCATCGTCTTAGCACCAGGGTTCAGCTGTCGAACCTTGGCCAAGTCAGCACCATAGCCTTCATCTCTGAACCAATTAACCATGATTCCGAGCTCTGCAACACCGTGCTTCAAAGCTTTTCCGAGTAAACCGAATGTCGTACCAGCAGGTCCGCCAGTGGCGTGCTCAAAAGCTTCGCTGAGTTGTGCGAATGTGATCTCATCGCCAGCTAAGCTGATAGCCTGCTTACCCCAGGCTTGTGGGTCTGTGAAAGCTTCAGCAGCGAAGAAGCCGATATCTTCTGTTGCCGTCCACTGAAGAGGCTTGTTCTTGAGAGTGTCGCGAATCATGGTGAGGAAGACCTTGGTGGCGAAACCAGGCTCTAGGTTTTCCATGAAAGCCGTTGGGCGCAAGATGGTCCAGTTCATTGAGCTCTTTCCGTTGGCGGTCGAGTCGCGAAGGTAATGCTCGATCTCGTGCTTGGTCTTGAAGTGAGGGACAACAGTGGCGTCCTTCCAAGACTTCTCGTCACCGCCCCGGTCAACGCTGGAGTAGACAAAGTGCTTGATGCCAGCCTTGATGGACTCATCGATGAGACCCTTTCCTTGTCGGACCTCGCCCTCAAGAGTAACACCCTTGCCCATGGACAGTTGGACTGAGTAGACGCCCCAGAGAGGCACAGTTCCGGCAGCTTGCTTAGCGGCACCGAAGAGGGCGGGGATGGAGTCGAGGTCACCCTCAATGAGCTTGATGTTGGAAGATTTGGAGGCTAGCTTCTTTGCGGAAGGTGATTCCTTATTGCGAGTGGCGGCGAGGAGAAGGAAGTCTGCGTTCTTCGCGATAAGAGCATTGATGACAGAGCTGCCTTGCTTGCCAGTGGCGCCGGTGATGAGAAGAGCACGAGACATTGCTGTGATGTTGGAGTGGTGAGAATGTCAAAGGAGGTTATGTTTAAATTGAAGTTGATTAGTCGTTAATGGTGGTTGGTGATTGATGAGTGTGATGTTGTTGATGAGATTGATTGAAGCAGGCCATGATGTGTTCTATATGTATTCAATTCTCTTCACTAGCCAAATCCAATCGCGAAACAAGAAACAAATATTCAACCAACTCCATCGACGATTTCTAACATGCTTGCTAAGAATGGACTATGTCGGATTTCCATGTCTTGACGAGCGAAGTGGATGGAAAAGGCAGTGGACATCTCGGAGATGCGACAGATGCCGATGCAGACTAGGCTAAACTGCCTTGGAGTTAGTAGCTTCGCATCACTCACTGAGCAATCACTGGACTTCGCGTAATCTGCGGGTGATCGTGAGCACCAAGAGCCTTTATTGCAAGATACACGTGCTTTCTACAATCTCTCGCGGAATCAGAAGTATCGTCAGTTAGTGGCACTGGCTACCCCGCTTTGTCAGGATTCTCAGTGCCCTTTCGCAAGGCCAATCAAACAGTCCCGGTCAATGCCAAGACACCGAGGAGCCAATGAAGGACAGAATGGAATTCCGCACGCTTTCGTTGTTGAGGCTGGTGATGTTGTATGTCAGCAACTGGACAGCTTGTCGTGAATCCTTCAGATTGTAAAGTAATTGCACCATAAACAGAGTCATGTTGATCGGATTCAGAATCGCCGTTGAGAAAAATGAGCTATTTAATAAACCAATGTCCCAACTATCTTGGACCTATCATTCCAGCATCTCACAGTCTATTCACACTTTGATATAAAACAACTCAAAAACCATCACAACTACTTATCCATCAATCGCCCAACACATAACTGGCCATACCAGTACTGAGGAACTTCCCAATCAATAATATTATTTACATCATGCCTCATCTCGCCGCTCAAGTCCCCGCCGCCAAGGCCCCTCTCGAGGTCCGAGAAATCGAAACTCCCCAGCCTGGACCCAATGAAATCCTCGTCAAGAACCAGATCATCGCCATCCAGCCAATCGACGCTAAGATCGCCAAGGTCGCTATGCTTCCACTTCCCTATCCGGCTGTCCTCGGCAGTTCTTTCGCCGGCACTGTCGAGAAGGTTGGCTCCGATGTTAAAGACTTCAAAGTCGGTGACAAGGTCGTTGGCATGAAGACTGCTGGAGCTAGTGATAGCAAGTACAGCGCTTTCCAAGAATACTCTATCTCATCGGAAGTCACTACTACAAAGGTTGATGATGATGAGACGATGGATCTTGCTGTCCGCCTTGTTGGTAACCTTCCTACCATCCCTGCCATCTTCAACTATACCCTCAAGCTGCAGCGACCGGTCCCTGGTCAGGAGCCCAAATCCCAGGGAAAGCGCATCTTGATCTACGGTGGAACCTCCAGTATCGGAAGCATGGCTGTGCAATATCTCACTCAAGCTGGATACGAAGTCATCACTACTACTTCTCCCAAGCACAAGGACTTTGTTTCCAAGCTTGGAAACAAGCTTGGTGCCTCCAAGATTATTGACCACTCTCAAGAATCTGAGGCTCTCACCAAGGACCTCATCGCCGCTGGCCCCTACGATATCGTTCTTGACACAATCTCAACTGGAGCTACAGTCAAGCTTCTCGCAGATGTCGTCGCAGCTCAGGGCGGCGACTCAGTCTATGCTCTCCAGCCACCCTTTGGTCCCGAGACTCTCCCCACTGGTGTCACGCGCAAGTTCGAGGGATGGTCTCTACTACTTGGTAAGGAGGAGAATGCAGAGCTGCTGAAGTGGATCTTTGGCACATATTTCCCCAAGGCTCTTGCTACCAAGAGTCTTATTTCTGTGCCTGCTAGAAAGGTTCCTGGTGGGCTCGGTGGAATCAATGATGCTTTGGATCTTTTGTTCCCCAAGGGTGTCAGCAGTGAGAAGGTTGTTGTTGACCTTCGGGGTTAATTTTCAGTCTGATTTTATGCCTCATTTAGCCGCAGAAGTTACATATAATAATAGTCTAGACAGCGATTGATCTAATGGAGAGAAGTTTGTTTCATCACTTGTGCCAAAAATACCTCTGTTCATTTGCTGGTTGCATGTTTATCTGAATGGAAACGGCACATTTTCGGAATATCATCCCGCTTTCCCGCCCTTTGAATGAACCTTTGCAGATCCTTCAGAGTGAGAAGCATACTAGATGCACATATTTACTGATCTAGCTAAGTCCATTGCTCTGATCACGGCTTCTACCATTCGTTTCCTGAATGACGCCACCCATGCAATGCAGAGAATACTACCCAACAGATCCCAAATTATCCATCCCTGTCGATGTAACATACTAGATACTTATATTGGCAAAGGTAAATCTCGTTCCATGTCCCGAGTTTGGCATATTCGGAGCGATTTGCCGAAGTTGCTACTTCAGGCCAAGGGTCCGAGCTTGGCATTGCCCGATACAATAGGGACTCTGTGTTTCCGATTCGCCTTTGTTATAAGTTCCCTGACTTGCACGCTATACCAAGTAGCTGTGATGTAGGTTTTGCCATTTTCCAAATATGAAATTTTCTTCGCTCTCTGCTTGGGCGACCTCTTTCACACCAGCACTTGCTGGCTTGGTCGGACACCCCCGCGCCACCACCTTCAACAATCCTATCATCTACTCTGATTTTCCAGATAACGATGTCTTTCTTGGCCCGGATAACTACTACTACTTCTCGGCTTCCAACTTTCATTTCAGCCCTGGAGCCCCTGTTTTAAAGTCCAAAGATCTGCTCAACTGGGATCTCATCGGCCATTCAATTCCCCGCCTGAACTTTGGCGACGGCTATGATCTTCCTCCCACCTCTCGATCCTACCGCGGTGGTACTTGGGCGTCATCACTCCGATACAGGAAGAGCAACGGACAGTGGTACTGGATCGGATGTATCAACTTCTGGCAAACCTGGGTATATACTGCCTCTTCGCCCGAAGGTCCTTGGTACAACAAGGGAAACTTTGGCGACAACAATTGCTACTACGACAACGGTATACTGATTGACGATGACGACACCATGTATGTCGTATACGGTTCTGGTGAGGTTAGAGTATCTCAACTGTCCCAGGATGGATTCAGCCAGGTCAAATCCCAGGTAGTTCTCAAGAACACTGATATCGGTGTGCAAGATTTGGAGGGCAACCGTATGTACAAGATCAATGGACTCTACTACATCCTTAACGATAGCCCAAGTGGTAGTCAGACCTGGATTTGGAAGTCAAAATCACCTTGGGGCCCTTACGAGTCAAAGATCCTTGCCGACAAGGTCACTCCACCTATATCAGGTGGTAATTCGCCTCATCAGGGTAGTCTCATCAAGACTCCCAGTGGCGACTGGTACTTTATGTCCTTTACTTGGGCTTACCCTGCCGGCCGTCTCCCGGTTCTTGCACCGATTAAGTGGGGTAGCGATGGTTTCCCAATTCTTGTCAAGGGTGCCAATGGCGGATGGGGATCATCTTACCCAACGCTTCCTGGCACGAACGGTGTGACAAAGAACTGGACAAGGACTGATACATTCCCCGGAAACTCACTTGCTCAGTCCTGGGAGTGGAATCATAACCCGGACGTCAACTCCTTCACTGTCAACAACGGCCTGACTCTTCGCACTGCCAGCGTCACGAAGGACATCTACCAGGCGAGGAACACGCTCTCTCACCGAACTCATGGCGATCATCCAACCGGCATAGTGAAGATTGATTTCTCCCAGATGAAAGACGGTGACCGGGCCGGACTTTCAGCGTTCCGCGACCAAAGTGCATACATTGGTGTTCATCGAGATAACGGAAAGTTCACAATCGCTACAAAGCATGGGATGAATATGGATGAATGGAACGGAGAGACGAAAGACTTGGGGCAAATAAAGGCCACTGCTGATGTGCCTTCTGGAAAGACCAAGATCTGGCTTAGGCTTCAGCTTGATACCAACCCTGCCGGAACTGGCAGCACGGTCTTTTCTTACAGCTGGGATGGTGTCAAGTATGAAACACTTGGTCCCAACTTCAAGCTCTACAATGGCTGGGCATTCTTTATTGCCTACCGATTCGGTATCTTTAACTATGCTGAGACAGCTTTGGGAGGTTCGATTAAAGTTGAGTCCTTCACAGCTGCATAGGAAAATTGGGATGATGTTGAGTGAGGATGTAGTCTTGGGGTATAACTAAGATAGTACAAACAGGGTTTTAGACTCATTAACTCCAAACAATGACATTGTACCAATGACAAGACAGTTTTCATCAACGACCCTTAGACAGCCAAAGAAGACAAGACTCAAGATGGCCCGGCCGCAACATGAAAGATGACTAAATGAACTTTGAGAACTCCAACTCCGCTGAGATGAGGCGATTGAAAGGAATTTCGAATGACAATGGGGTATATAAACAAATAGGAATCATTGAAGCTGGGAATGAAAACTTAGCCACATTCAACAGGATAAACGAAGAAATGCCAACCTTTTTTTATCCAGCTATCAGTGCTTCATCATGAGCTTTCTTCCCATCATCTATCTGCCTTGAGGCGGATTATTCTGTGAATAAACTGCCATGTATTGGGCCAACCGATCGGTGACAGGACGTGCTTGCGTATCGTAGACATATCGGTTGATGCTGTAGGAGCTTGGTTGATTCGCGCCGTCTCGTATCTGTGTTCTTGATCCGTTGTCAGGATTATAGGGATTGAGAAGGTCATGGATGATAACCTACGAGCTCAGAAAGCTACCAGCCACTGCGACGGTAGAGACGTTGGAGGCGGAAGCTCCAGGTGGAGTAGCTCCAGAAGCGGCGGACATTTTTGGAGATGTGATTGATGTTTTTTGAGCTTTCGCGTCAGATTCCAAAGTCGGATGAATTGAAAAGTTTGTTGCATATTGGTGCCGCATGGGATTAAATACACGCAGAACCAAGGGGGATCAGCGAGAGCGACATGATTCAGGAGTCCCGAAGCAGGACTTCTTTCAATCGGACGCACATACATAGCCGCACAACCGTACCAAAGCTCGCGAAAATGTGGTGGGGAGATTGATGCCTCATATTACTATAGGTCAACAATGCATTGTTTTCTTCGTAGTGTGCGTCGAGTGGTGCCTCAACAGACATAAAGGAGGTCTGGATTTCCAGGACTTTGTCACAATTGTGATGAGGGGGCAGCAGAGCCGCGTGGCAGTAGACACAAAATCACATCTGTGACAAGCTCAAAGATAGCAGAAGACTGTGCATTGCATGGGGTCTGCAGGTCTTGTGTCCAAGTGTAAAAACCCCGCTCTGAAATGTCAGGTTGCAGGCGTGAGATTGGTCGCCACGTCACCATTTTGAGGCCATCTTACAGGGATCAGTCTCACTTGAAATCACAAACGTGATATTTTCTGTCCAGTGATAAGTCTTGGTGTTATCACGCGACTGGTGGCTTTGTGATAGAGGGTTGGATTCGCTGGCAGTGTCATCATCGCACATTCATTTTCAACCATTGTCTCCCAGGCTCCCACCGCCTGCATTTCAACCCAACATCATACGTTTTGCGGCTCATCAATCAGAAACAATTTCGCCCATCATCTGGCTTTCAGTGATCATACGGTAACGCCCGTTTTCTGTTCCCTTCTTTCCTCCGACGTCATAGCGCCGTGAACGATTGGAGAGGCAACTGTCAAACTCGCGACAGTATCAGGCAATTAGCTGCCTTATCAAGCATCTTCTATTTTCGTCCGTTGTGACTTTGCTAAATTCGCAAACAAGGCTGTGTGACTCTTCAACCTCACTTAAAAGAGCCTCCAAGTACGGCGTTATTCACCGGCATAAGTCCAAGCGCATCATCATGGTCAGAAGTCTAAGTGATGAGAGTGAACACGACGGTATTGGAAGATGGTTTGACAATGACGACGAAACGGTTCAATCGCCGCAGCCAATTTCCATGGAAGAAGACCAAGAACTAAAGGAAATCCCCATCGACGTGGTTGGCTCACCGAAGGAGACGATAGCCTGGCTGACCGACCTCCGACAAAAAACTGAAGAGGTTCGACTGTTACACCCTGTCACAGATGTGCCATCAGTATCGTCCGTGCCTTCACTTAACCTATCAGACGAGACGATGAGCTGCAGCACGCGCTCTGTTCACAATGCTGCTGGCTTATCTACTGATGACGAGACAACAACTATGAGCCAACTCGGTCTCGCGACCATAGAGTATGGTTACGACGAAAATGCCCAAGATGTTGCTTCAGACTCTTCGTCAGACAGCTCTGGGAGTTTGTCTCCGGTCTCCTGCCTGTCACCAAGTAACACAAATATCACATCACCTGGCTCTGATGGGTCTGACCAGGACTCCATAGAATCGATAGATGACATACCTGAGAGTACCTACGAGTCCTATTCAGCCGAAACAGCTCGAATGGGCTTACAAGGGTCTTACTGGGCCTACGGGAGTGATCTGGAGACATCGTATTCGGATCAGCACCATCAAGCCTGTGATGCTGACGACGACGACAACAGTGAAGCGAACGAATCCACGCGCAGGGAGGAGCCTACAGCCGCTGAAGTTGGGTCTTGTACAGGGTCGACAGAAGCCAACGGTCTAGTGCAGCACAAGGATCAGCCACCTAAGCGTGCGGCTCAAGACGACGAGAACGAACACCAACAAGTCTCACGGGCGAAGAAGTCTAAAAAGCAAGAGGACTCCCACCTCAGGCTGGCTTGCCCTTTCTACAAGCACGACCCGATTCGATATCGCCGCTGCCACGCCCACGTTCTCAAGCGCAATAGCTACGTGAAACAACATCTCTTCCGCTGCCATATGCAGCCCATCCACTGCGATATATGCCTCAGCATATGGTCGAATGTCGAAGAGCTTCGAGAGCATCGCCGCGCTCAAATATGCGAGAAGAGAGAGTATATTGCCCCTGATGGCATTACCCCCGAACAAGAGCGCAAACTACGGTCGCGGCTTGGAAGTCAGAACAAGTCGGAGAGTGATCAGTGGTTTGAGCTCTATAGCATCCTTTTCCCATATGCTCAGAAACCGAAGTCTGCATATCTGAACGGTGAATTGTCCGAGGATGCGGAAAGTCTACGCGAGTTTATTGAGGGTCGCGGTACGAATGTGATGATGGAACAACTAAAACAGTCAGGCCTCATTTTGAATGGAGAGAACAATAGCCGGAGAATTGATATAGAGTTACAGAACAGTCTACAGAACGCTCTAAGTACTATGTTTGAGGGATGGCAGAATCAGCGAAGGGGGGTTCATGAAGATGATGGTGGTCGGCAGACCAAGAGGCTTAAACCAACTCCTGGAGAGTTTCCATCCAACAAGGCTCAGATGCCTGTGAGGACTGACACTGGAAGTACGAATACTACTGCGACAATGATGGATGATCAAATTGAGGGGGAACAGACCAGGCCAACTACTTCATCCTCTCAACAGAAAGGAGAGATTGTCCTCGGACTTTGGAAGCCACCTTCCTAGCATTTACCCTACCTTGAATCTATGCTTTTCTTTCTTTTCATTTTATGATCTTGGAATATTTCTTTCTTACTTATTTCTCTGTCAAAATTGCACTATTCAACTATCTATCACAGAACCCCATTTTCTCTACTTTTGTGTATGCCCCCCATAGACCTTCAAGTCTTGGGACAAGGCGCCCACCTTCCTCAGCTCTTCGACAGGCCTCTTGACAGCCGAGGTTATAAGATTGACATGATTTCCTGTGGTCTTTAGCTCATAGTTACCTTTTCCATAAATCTTGTCGAGGGCTTCCGAGAGCTTTAAAATATTCGGAATTTCGGTCTTGGAAAACCGGTGTACGTGGTTCGTTTTGTTGATTTTGCTGGACGATGTCATTGCGTAGAACTTAAGTGGTGGATCGTATCTGTAAATGGATGGATAGGTTGAATTAGCAGAAGGTCGAGATGTGTTGAGACTTAAATTTGGGTAGCAGATGTCCAAGGTGGGCTACAATGAGAATTTATATTGAAATCTTACACTTAACAAATGAGTGTACAACATTGCACATGCTGGGCCCCTCCTTGAGTGAAGCTTCTATAGGTCACATCAAGCCGTCCGCGAATTCCGATATATGCCGCAATCTAAGCTCTAGCTGTGAACTTGGAGCATCACCAGGTTCATTTTCTTGGGTTACCAGCTCTAGAAAAGCAAACATTACACATCACCCACAGTTCAAAGCCTATTGATCTGGTGAATCACTGAGAATAGCGTCAATATATCTCGGGACCGGATGCAAATATTGAGACGATCAGTGATATCTTATTAGTGCTGCAAGCAAAGCGACGAGAAGATGCAGGACAAAATCAGATTATTCCGGCTTCCGTCCAATAGTCCACCGAACCTCAAATCCCATCACCGAAACGCCGTCGTCTACCTCTTGTTGTAGCTTGTCGCAATGTTTCTCCACATCTTCATGAGAGTGAATCCACTCAAACTCTCCCCGGGAAGCAATACCATTCAAGGCCTGTCGTGCGTAGTTGACAAGTGTATCCCCAGCTCTCTTTCGGACTTCGGGTCCCTCACTGAAGCTGCTAAAGTCGATGTGTGAGCAATCGACGTAACCAGCCTTTCTGAAGTGCCCCTCGAGTGGCATTGGGCTTCTGTTAGAGGTCAGCGGATCCTTGATGACGACTGGAGGGAATGCTTACGTGACATCGCGTCCGACTGATAGTCCGTACCGGACATCCGTACTGATCCATTTCTGGTATGCTTCAGTTATTGGAGTAGCATTGAACTTGGTGAATCCTGTTTCGTCCCACAAGATGTAACCTCCTGGTCGTAGAAGTGATTGAAGGTTCTTTGCTACTGGCACCCAATCCCCGGCTTTGAGAGCGACCATCAAAAGTCGAACGTGCACCAAGTCATATTTTCCCACAAGATTCTCGGGGATTGGCTCGAAGACATCCCCGAGTGACAACTTGACATTTGATGGAAGCTCGCCAGGGGGGAAGAACTTTGAATCATCTATGTCAAACCCATCAAGACGAGCGTCTTGGTGGACTTCCGGTGCGAAATCTCGTAGCCAGACCCCAGTGCCAGTTCCAACATCGGCTACTGCAGGTGGACGGCCAAGAGAGTTGAGATATGACTTGATGTTATCGGGGATCAAGGTCTTCGTAAGATGTAACCAAGTGATGTGCTGGTAGTCGAGGCGATGTTCCTCAACGCCCTTCTTGCCGCTGTTAAGAGTATAAATCTGGGGTCCAGTCATGTTGATATATATGCTTGAATCACTGCGATTAATTTGAGGGTAGGATGTAGCACTTGAAGGTGAACGGGGATACCCGTTCCAACTTATAGTGAGAAACATAACAAGACTGGCATTTCAGCACTCAAAATATCTGGCTATACCCGTGAAGTGGTGCCGTTAGCCGATTGATGATGTTGGGCCATCGATATGATTGGTTCATCCCATCTACTAAGGATTCTGATGATAAACCAGACGTGACAGCATGAACGAATCTTACTCAGCGCCACGATCAGACACGGTAAAGCGCCCATGATATAGCGTATTTCTTTCATCCTAAGACAAAAGTGCTCGGAGGGGCTTTTGCGGGACTCATTATCCTGGTGCAGTCAGTATTCGATTGACATGATCGCCAAACTCTTGCTGGATTGGGGTGTGTCGGGGCGGTGACTAATGGCCGGCTTACGCGAGCTTCGGGGCTTCAGTGAAGAATGGCTCGGATGGAAGTGCTTTGCACAAAAGGTCGAAACTATGGATCACATGAATTGAGTCTTATAAGATCTACCCGTCTAAAGGGTATGTCAAAAAAGGCATCTCGTGATATTGTTGTGAGGGAAGGACGTCTTTTATGTAGAGTAAGACTTGAAACATCGTCTCTGTAGGATGCGACAGCACTGCTTTATCGTAAAAGCCAGAGCGCCAGGCTGAGAAGGTGACGAATGATTTTGATCTTGTCCAATTTTGGAAGATTAAGGCTGAAAGCATGCTTCGTATAGAAGTCGGGGGTTTATAGCTTAGTTTTACTAGCCTTGGTTGAGAGTGAGATTGCTAATTCCTGTAAAGCTTCCTGTGTCACTCAGAGGACCATGATAAATCGTATAAATAGTTTCTATTGGAGTATTTATGTCCGCATTTACGTTTAGTGATGTAGAAGGTGGATCTCAGCACGAATAATGGGTTGGCTAGAGCGAGCGCCATATTGTAAACTCCAAACCGAGTGTCAAAACTACTTGTTGCATACAATTACCGCTAGAGCGTATATGAATTCTTTGCCAAGTATAGTGGAATTTGTCAATGATCTAGAGCTGCCCCAGCATATGCACCACGCCGCGTAACTGTCTGGTTAAGGCTATGTCGTTGCTAAGGTGCCAAGCTGGGCTGGACACCGTGACATTAGAGTCTTAAGGTTGGGTGCTGAGATAAGATAACAATACTGACATCCTAGGTATTTCCCATTCTAAAATTAATTAATTTTGGAGAATAGCGCATCATTTCTACATAAGTAATGAGGCTGAGTGGTCAGCTAGCGCTGCTATTCGTCCAGCTACTAACAGAGGCAAGGATGGTAAGCTGCCAAGACAACAGGATCGATACTAAGCCCACGTCACGACAGCTCCAAGCCTTCTTTGCTCTGAATATGGAAATAATCTCATTCGAAATAGCTTCAGAGACGTCGCTATGATAGTGACGCGCCGCTAACAACCTGGTTCGCCGACACTTCATCATTGCATCAAATATTGCGCCTCGTGATTCATCTCAAAATATTCTTTAGGTGAGGGGAAGACTTTCTATAAGACAATGGTTATGCACCCTCAAAGCAACAGTTCCGAAGCATCTTCACACCAAGACACTCATAACCAACACCTGCAAGCTCTACCGGGCGCTCACAACTCTTCCCCCACCGACCTCCACTTCATAATATTTGCACTCCAAACTCAAACCGCAACAATGCCTTCCATTACCAACATGGTCACAGCGCTGGTGTATCTCGCTTCTGCTGCGAGTGCCCTTCCCGCTAATGTCGCTCGCCAACAGACCAGTGAATGCGCGACTGGTACGTGGTACTACTCTTGTGACACCAACGTCGGCTGTTTCGACCACGATCCTTGTGCCAACCCTACTCCCGTTTCTGGCAAAACACCCGACAAGGCGAAGGACAAACCCACTTCCACAACATCATCATCTTCGATCAAGACCATCGTCCCTGCTACGTTGTACGACATCTACCCTGAGCATCCCGATGAATCTAGTGGTCCGGTCAACGGCGTTCATCTCGAGACTTGGAAGGACAAGTCTCAGGTTGAGCAAGTGATCATTTTCAAGGACATCCCCGCAGACGCAAAGGACTGCGATCTGTCTTGGCGTCAGGGCCCTCGCTACTCTCGAAGATTCCTCGTCAAGAACAGCGATGCACAAGCTGATGCACGACCTCTATCTGGTCTTCCCGAGAACGTTGTAACATACAACTCCATCAAGCCCTTCGACGATCAGAAATCGATTGGCGGCCCCAACTTTTCTTTCTGGGATGATCGTGAGGAAGACACCCATGTTGTCGGGGGTGTCGACTGCGCTGAGACTATTTCTCTCATCGTTGGACTCCGAAATCCCAAGGGCGATTCACAGGTCTACCTTGAGCAAGATGAACATGAGAACGGCTGGGCACTGACATATCACTGATTGCTTCATGTGGTATTTGAGGAATTAGTAGATAACGATGCATCTGAATGCTATTCGGTTTTGTTATTCTTTAGGAAGGTCGTTTTAATGTTGGTTGGGTCAAAGTTAGCTTAGTGCGATTCGATTCATGAATTTTCTTAGTTTACATACTTTAATCACTCTTTCCTTGCATAATTACCAACAGGCGGTCGTCATGTCGTTTCTGTCGTCGGGAGTTGAATGACTAGCCATTTAGTCGCAATGAGCTCGTCATTCACCTCGACCTTTACCTCAGTCACCAATACCACCTGTCGTTGGTCATTACTGTGCCACTACGTATGCAAGGAACCATTGTTCGGAGCTATTATCATCAAGACCTCGGTTGTACGATTCTAATGCCGCAATGATTACCAAAAATGGGTGTTCCGGCGTCCTTGATGTGAGATCAGTGATCTGTCGATCTTAAAAGGTCGAGCATAACTCAATCGATGGCTCATCTTTGTCGCCAGTCTCAGTTTACCTATGTTGCTTCCCCGTTTATGCACTCTACCTACCACCGCTTTATTCCAGCCAGGCCTGTAGCCTCTTGTTTTGTGTTCACGCCAATATCTGCCGCCAACATCTGTCACCAACGTTCGCCACTATGACTACAGGATTCGAGATTGTCGGCACAGTTTGCGCGCCGTACTAGCTCATCCATGCCTCAACTGGGTTCATATCTGAGTGTAAGACAGTATACGATGGGGAACCCACCACTCATCACGACATGAAAGAGCACGCCGAAAACCTGGCGCAAGCCTGTGACTTGACTTGGGCTCGCTACGAGACAATGAGCTCATCCGAAAGGCTGTCTGATGCCGAAAGACGGGTTCAGAAAACTGCAAGAAAATGCCACACTTCTGCTCAAGCACTCCTGGAAGAACTACGCTATGTGACAGACAAGCAAAAATTTAACGACTGCATGGGAGCCGTCGCTTATGTGGTCAAATCCAAGTTGCACCGCAAGAAGATCGAACGGATAGAGGCGGGGTCCAAAAACGACCAGCAGGAGTTGCAGACAATTCTGCAATCTGAGATTTTGTATGCACGGTGGTCTTCGTACGATTCATGGCTAGCGATGGTTCTAGGTCACAAAATAAGGCTAAGAAGTATCTCGAGATGGAGGGATTCCAGAATGTGGATATGGGCATCCAAATTTTGAGAATGAGCTTCGTTGTATGCCAAGACCCATGACAACCATACCCAAAACGTCTCTGATGAGGCGTTGAATTGTTACATACGATTCCTGACGCTAAACGTGATCTTCAAAGAACGGTCTAACTAAGCATTTACATCTATTCTTGCTTAAGCTACTTCCTTAGTTTATCCCAACAGTGAGGAATCTACACCACGAATCTAATAAGCCTCTCTTCTCTTCCGGAAATCTTCTTCTTGCTTCCGCAAAGACATCGTATTCCAAGGTCCAACTACAAGCTTTACGAAAGCTGTTTTCATGAGTTCCGCAGCGATATCCAAATCGTCTTGTCTTCAGATCGTTGCACTTATGATACCCAAAGGCGTTCGAAGAGAGCTTTACCAGCTTCAGCCATCTTTGGCCAGACCCAGTACCACAGTCAGGCTGATTGCACTACAACACGTGTTTCGTCCCGTCCGTGAAAACAGGATTCTCGGCATCACCATATTGTATACTCCGAAGCCATTCGAAACTCAATGGGCTCCAGTATCTCCATCGGCGACTTATGTGTAATCGAAAGTAGTTCCCATTTAAGAAAACTATCTTCTTCCAACACCTCTTGGACGTGCTACGTGGGCGTTCCCAGACGTAGGTTATGTTGCACTCTGGGCATATGTAGCAAGGACTGACACAGCCATCGTCTCTCCCTGAAATTGGCTTTGGAACATAGGCGCAGCAAAGAGTGTACTCCAAACTGTTCAGCAAGCTTTCCATAGCGGCTGAGGAATGTGGACAGAGGTGACTACAATCTCGGAGTACACCTCTCATGATATCTCGGATCGTTGATTTCCTTCCACCTGGTCCGCTGATTTCAAATCTTAAGGAAGCCGTGGCGACGATCATGCCCGGATACTTTTGGGCATCAACTTTGATAGTATGGATGCATTGCTGTGAAATGAGGTCAGGATTCGCATCGCTCCTTTCGAAAGAAGCATGTGATTTGTCCATGCAGCGGTCGTGGATGGGGTATCGGGCCCAGGGTTTGGGGAGCCTCCATTGAAACCCGGGTCTCCGGTGAGAGCATACATCGAAATGGCCGAGCAATCCAACACACTTGTTTCTCTTTCCGCCGTTTACAGGAAAGAAGATCCCGGGATGGTCCTTCTTGCAGCCGCTGCACCTCCTCGGTTCACATAAAAATATCAGCCTTTCTCATAGTTCCTCTGTGCTTATGGCCCGGCACTCATTGCATAGAGTTTGGCGGCGAAACGAAGCATATATCTCGCGACTATCCCGAACAGCCACTGGCGCTGTTCTATGCCAGCGGCTGGTATGTTGAAATTTGAGAAAGACGGGATCGTTGTCTATATATTGGCGGAAACCTCGTGACGTTTGGCGGAGTATATACAGTGAGCTGTGAGGAAGAAATCTGAGGATAATTTCGAGTATTTCATTGGGTATTTTGACCGTATTGACTTTTGTTGGTGGAATAACCATCTCTCGCGGTGTGCCCTCGCTTTCTAGTGCCGCATTCGAAGATGAACTGATAACAGCACGATTCCCGGATCCTGGACAGCCCTTTTTGTAGTAGCGAAAATAGTGAGCAATGTTGGCGAATGTCTCCATAACGCATCGAAGGCGAAAAGTGTTCTCCTTTCATATCAAACTATGATGGGTATCTCTTCCGCTGAACCCTAGGGTTCAAAGTTTATATGGTGCAAGGTTTTTAAATCTGAGTCTAATATCACACAACCTATCATGTTGGTTTTCTTCTAACTCTAACAGAGACATCATTATGATCTGTGATAAGGTTGAGAGGTTGAAAGAGGCTTCAGCCCCAATGGTGTAACACTTGCACTGACTTCAATGTAGGGAGCTGCAGCTGCAGTAATCTTTCATCTTCCATCAAAGTCATATTAAACCTTCGGCCTTCTACTGGCCAAGAGAATACACTATACACTGGTTATGTCTTCCAAACCGCATTGGCCAGCCTCCTTTGTTTCCAAAGCTTCAAAGTGCAAGAGCCCCGAGTGACACGTATGTTGTTATCAACCTTTTCCTTATTGCTCAGTGTTAAGTTCGTTCACAGGCAAGAGTATTGAGACATCCGCTTATGAAATCACCTCATAGTGTTGAAGGACCACATAACATCTAGGCTGATACTTAAAGATGGAACGCACTACAGATTTCAGTAATTAAACATTTAAATATAGGTGTCACTGGCAAATCTTTACGAGTAGCCTCAGAGTGTAGTATCGATATAGCCTGACCTAGATTTAACCTATTAATCGTGTAAGACGACTCAGCATGTCTAAGTAGAGTGCTATGTCTCTCTGAACTCATATTGTGTTTTACTAAGCGAATGATTGTTTCAAGAGTGCCAAAGCTAAAGACCAACAAGCGAGTGCCGTGTGGGGAGTTCTTCGAAACCAACAATTCAGCCTATACTATTGGACGGCAGGAGAACCGCAAGGCCTCACTTTGAGACCGTCTATTGGAACTTTTGAAGCATGTCACTAATACTCGTAGCAACAAGTCCAACAATCATCACTCTGGGATTCAAGGTCAGTTATTGTCAAATTTGGGCCAAGGAGGTGATCTAACCTTCTTAGAGCGGTACTGTCTCTTGGTTAGGGCAAATAGATACATGAAATATGGAGTAGATATAGCTTACCAATCCTTCTGGGCAGTTAATGTCCTTGTCAGCACATAGCAGCCAGCAGATCTCAGACTTCACTGCCTGATGTTCCTCCCTCTGCATCGGTACCTGCGAGAACTTGATAGAAAGGCTATGAATCGGTGTCAGCAAAGGAACATTTCCTATGCAGGCCGCAGTGAACTGTGGGTTGTAGTAGTGGAGCCCATGGGATACCTTGCAGAGAGGCCGCTTACGATATATCCTGATCAGTTGACAGAGCCTTTGGCTTACTGCCCTTGATCTTCTCCAAGAAGGACGGCGCAGCGACGATGCCTTGGGCAAGGGAAAGAATAGCGACGGCTGAGTATTTCATGATGGAATAAGAGCCGTAGGTAAGATGTATTGGTTATTCGACTTTGTTCGATGCGATTTGGTTTGGAAGGGCTGGAGAAGAAGAGATGGCTCTTGCCTTTATAGCCGATGAGATCTTTCATTTCAAGAGAAGATACAAGGATGAGCGTACCTCCAGATACGAGGCTCTTCCCGCGGCACCGGACATGACAGCATACCGATGGAAGTCGGTCCGAGACATGCGGTGAGAAATACTCTGTGCAGCAAGTTCAGAGTAATGCCGGCGTACGACGGTATCACGAAAGCCTGAAGATAACGCGTTTATCGCCATGTGAGACGTCGTGCTTCCATCGTCTGTGGTCATTGACGCCCCCCAGGAATGCTGGTAGAACGATGGGTCTGAGACATGTCAATCACTCATTCGATGGATCTTCCGGTATGCAACGAGCGACAGCCCCGGGCTTCTGCTTTGACTCCGCTTGGTTATACGTCAGCAGGTCGCCATCGGAACATTGTTCCTGGAACTTGGAGGTCAATACGATCAATTCGTTTACTCAAGTAATGATTGAAGTCGCCATCGGCTATTATTACTGTTACTAAATCTAGGGCTCTTGTGACTCCACCTAAGCAAGTTCAACCTGGTCGACCTTTCTATCCTTCTTGCCATCCTGATCCAATCGCCCATTCTCAATGTCATCCAGCTTACCAGCATGAAGAGCTCCGTGAGAGGTCCCCTCAAAGATGGCCTGGATTTCCTCCAGAGTATGACCCTTGGTCTCGGGGAAAAGGAACCAGATAACAACGATGAGACAGGCGAGAATGCAGCAGAAGACAATGTAGTACTTCCAGCCGATGTTCTTCATGGCAATTGGGTTGACCTGGTTCCCAACGACAAGACCAACGAATGTGCTGACGTACATGACGGAGACACCGCGGCTGCGAAGGGTATACGGGAAGATCTCAACGGTATACGCTTGAAGGAGAGGGGCCCAAGCAATAGCGTAGAAGAAGAATGTGATAAACACAAAGCCGACAATAGCCTTTCCGGTAGTTTGGCTTCGAGTACTGTCGAACGAAGCACTAAGAGCGGTCCAGATAATGTACGACACGAACATGCCACAAGTCGAAAGAAGGAACAGAGTGCGACGTCCAAGTCTGTCGACTAACATAGCACCAACGAAGATCGCGGCAAGCCAGTTTGAGATCTGCAAAAGACCGTTGATGAGAGTCTGTTCCTTAGCAGCTGTGATACCAATTGTGTTGAGGACGAGAACAAGGTAGTAGCTACAGGTGACGTTAGACAGATACACAAACGTGGGGCCGTGGTTAGACAACATACCTGACGAGGTTGATGCCGTTCCACTGAGCAAACCAACCCACGATAACGGCAATGAGTGTTCTCTTTCTGTTCGCGGGAGTTCTGACGAGTTCGAGCCAAGAGTTCTGTGACATGGCATCGGCTTCGTGCGTCAAAGCACCCTCAATCTCTGCCATCTCGAAGTTGACAAGTGGAGCGTTTGCGTCGCCGCCGGCGTGATACGTGGCGAGGATCTTGCGGGCTTCTTCGCGTCGACCGTGGGCGACGAGCCATCGGGGAGATTCGGGAAGGAAGTAAACGGCGAGGAGCTGGATGAAGGGGAGGGCTCCCTGGAGAAGAGAGGGGATTCTCCAGCTCCATGTTGAGTCGATCTTGAAGGTTCCGTATGTGCACCAGGCGGCAATAATACCTCCGAGGTACTGTCAAGTCAGTGGGTGCCCTCGACTATGAGGAGCTGGTACTTACGAAGGATGTGTTGTACAGTGCGGTAAGCTTTCCTCGATGTGTAGGATAGGCAAGCTCAGTGATCAGGATAGGACTCGGCTGAGCCAAGAAACTTGTGAAGAAACCGAGGATAGCTCTCGCCGCAATGAAAGTCTCCAAGCTCTGTGACACAGCTTGCATGATTGCGAAAGCGACACAAGTCAAGGCTCCGACCATCATGGCTGTCTTTCTACCGAATCGATCGCATACGTAGGTGACGAAGAATAGGGCGATGACCTTTCCAGCTGGGTATACGGAGTTGAGAGCACCGAGCATGGCGCCTTCGGGCTGTCCAAAGTAGCCTCTCCATTGAGGGAGGGTCTGAAGACCGTTCATCATCGACCCTGTGCATGTTAGTAAGAGGATGAAGTTGTCGCGTGCGGAACATACCATCATAACCAATTGCGCCGGATGACACGAGAGGAATAAGAAGGAGAAGGTTGAGCTTCAGGAGATGCGGTACGCGATACCAAGGTCGAGCATCATCGGGAAGTACCTGGCCAGAATGTTAGCATCCAATGCCACCATTTGCATCTCAGGAGTAAACTCACTGCTGCAAGGTCATTGCCGGCAGCCGCGGCAGCACCTTTCTTCTCTGTTGGTGAGGAACCCATGACTCTTGGAGATGATCGATGTCTTGTCAGATGTCCCAACGTCAATCAGCGACTGATGATGAATGTTCAGAAACCCAAAACCCCAGGGTCATTGAGGTTAATTATATCTGAGCCAACGAAAACAGAAAAATATTATGCAGATCCAATGCTACCCCACGCGGTGGTAAACTGACACCCCATGGGGAAACTTGGGGCGTTCTTTGTCGCTTGAAGAGATTGACAACTTGTTTGATGGGGTCTTGGCCTGACGCGTTTGGTCTGGATCCGACGCTATTCCCAGCTGTTCCGAGACTTCGGACCAGGCTACCATTGGTCCACTGTCATGTCTTCCGAAGCAGCGTTCAGCTGATTGGCCTCAATCTCGCTCATGACTCGAGCCTTGACCAGTTTTCTAGTCTCCGTTGTCGTTTTGCCGAAGCTCGTTAAAGTCCGGTGGATGCTTCATTGCCAATTGAACCAGTCCTAAGCTGAAGATATCCCCCCTCAGGACCTTCACAAAATTAGCGATCCAGTTCCCCGAAGTTGACCCGCACGCAAGTCAGAGAGAGGAGATCCGGGCTTGCTTATTACTCGCGAGTATCAGCATCCGTCTCTACCCCAGTAGTTTCGAGGCATACAACGGCAAAATGGCAAACACTGATATTGATGCGATCATACAGTCACTGACGCTGGAGGAGAAGGTACGTTACACCATCAACCGTCTGAAGACGGATTCAGCTAATTCTTATCAGGTTTCCCTCTTAGCAGGTCGGAACTTCTCAGAAACAGTGGGTTATCCAGAAAAGGGAGTTCCTTCGATCAAGGTGAGTTTGATCTCTTGACTCCTCCAGCTATTTACTAACAGAATCAAGACCGCCGACGGTCCAAATGGAATTCGCTCAGCAGCAACAGATCTCGACATCAAGTCGGCGTGTTTCCCAGCAGCATGCAATCTCGCAGCGACATTCGACCTAGACCTTGCCGAGAAATTTGGCAAGGCTCTAGGTGCTGAAGCGAGAGGCAAGCGAGTCAACTGTATGCTCGGCCCAACAGTCTGCATGCATCGCCATCCTCTCGGTGGTCGTAATTTTGAGAGCTACAGTGAAGACCCATTTCTTACCGGTAAAATGTCCTCAAAAGTCATACAAGGACTTCAAAGCCTTGGTATATCAGCTACGATAAAGCATTTTGTGGCCAATGAGCAAGAAACAGCTCGTACGACTGTTGATGAAATCATTGATGAACGTGCATTGCGCGAGATTTACCTCAGGCCGTTTGAGATTGCTGTGAAGGAAGCGAATCCTTGGGCGATTATGACAGCTTATAATCATGTCAACGGTGTTCATTGCGATGAGCATAAGTGGCTCCTGCAAGAGGTCTTGCGTGGTGAATGGGGCTGGAAGGGCCTTGTCATGAGTGATTGGGGCGGTACAAATTCCGTCGCTGCAGCACTCAATGCTGGTTTGGACCTGGAGATGCCTGGTCCTCCCCGTCTAAGGAAGGAAGATGCTGTCAAGGAGGCACTTGAGCGGGGAGATTTGACAGAAAGCACCATCAACGAGCGCGCCAAGTCTGTTGTTGAGTGGGCGTTGAAGCTCAAGGCGCGTGAAGCAGAGCCACACTCTGTCGCTCTTGGTCAAGACACTAATACCCCCGAACTGCGAAGCATGATTCGCGAGGCTGGAGCGCGGGGCATCGTCTTGCTGAAGAATCAGGGAGACCTCCTTCCGCTGACCAGGGAAAAAGTTCAGAAGAAGAAGATTGCTCTTATCGGATTTGCTAAAGACGCCATGGCCCACGGAGGAGGTAGTGCGGCTGTCAACGCGTACCGCAAGATCACTCCCTGGCAAGGGTTGCACGAGGCCCTTGGCGATGACGTCGAGTTCACATACGCGCGAGGCGCTCATCGCGAGCGTCTGCTTCCTGCTATTCATCCCGATGGTCTCTGCGGTAAAGTCGTGGGTCTTGATGGGAAGCCCGGCTTCAGTCGGCAGCTGTTCAAGGAGGGTGAAGCTGAGCCCGTATCTACTGTTGGACAGCCAACGTCTGCATACTCGCCTCTGGGATCACAAGAGTCACTGTGGAGGAGACTTGAAATTGTCGGTGACTTTACGCCGGCTGAGACAGGAGAGCACTACATCGCCTGCTCTGGATTGGGGCCTACAAGGGTCTATGTTGATGGCGAGATTATTTACGAGCAGACTGCCAACTGCACTGACCCCATGGGCTCTCTGTTCCTCGCTGCTCCAGAGCCTGAGTTCCGTCACAAATTCGAAGGCGGCAAGACTTATCGATTACGTATCTGCAGTGATCCACCTACCAAGATCGGCCTGACCATTCTTGAAGGTCGCAGTGGCGTTCGTGTCGGCTTCTCACTTGAATCCGACCACGATGCAGATCTCGTCGGAGAAGCTGCTGACGTTGCCAAGGCTGCAGATTATGCGATCGTATTTACCGGACATGATCCTCAATGGGAGACTGAAGGTCGAGATCAAGATGGGTTCAATCTTCCTCGAAAGGGCACGCAAGACGCTCTTGTGTCTACAGTGGCATCGGTCAACCCCAACACCGTGGTTGTCAACTCTACCGGCGTTGCTATCGCCATGCCTTGGCTCGAACAAGTCCCCGCTGTCGTGCAAGCTTGGTTCCCCGGCCAAGAATGCGGTTACTCTATCGCGGATGTCCTTACAGGAGCTGTCAATCCTGAAGGTCGACTACCAGTGAGCTTCCCTAAGAGCGTTGAGGACTGCCCCGCGCACGGAAATTTCCCTGGCGAATATGTAGATGGACAGCTCAAGGTTACTTACGCCGAGGGTGTTTTCGTCGGATATCGTCACTTTGATCGACTTCCTCGGGAGAAGGTCAACTTTCCATTCGGTCACGGCCTGTCTTACACGACTTTTACATATGACCTAGGCAATGTGTATCGCGAGGGTGATGATTGGTATGTTTCTGCTCAAGTATCCAATACTGGAAAGCAAGCTGGTGGTGCATTATTACAGATCTATGCTGGTCCAGCTGAGCAGTCTCCTGATCATCCGATCAAGGCTCTCGTGGCTTTCCAGAAGGTCCGATTGGAGCCCAGTGAGACGAAGTTGGTTAAGCTTCTGGTGAAACAGAGAGACTTGGCACATTTTGATACTGGACTGAAGAAGTGGGTGATTGATGAGGGCGAGTATCGCTTCTCCTTGGGAGTTTCTTCAGCCGATATTGTTGGAGATACTGTGGTGAAGGTGCAAAAGGCTGTTTTCGATCCATAGATGTAGTGAGGTCAATTCTACTATAATCACGATAGTCACTTTCTTTGTCCTGACACATTCCATGGTGTGAGAGCCGAAAATCGCTGCTTGTCTTACCTAGAGTTCACGGAATGATCCAAGTATCGGTCGCCAATAGGCTCAATCACTGAATGGACTAATAGGCCAAATCCTCCAAAAATGCTATGCGAGTCTCGACTCTGCCTCCATTCATCATGCACCTATCACTTCCAGAGCTCTCCTCTACTAACTCGGAGGCGCTACTTTCTGCTGCTGGATCTGGGTCTGGGTATTGGTCCGGGACCGAACGTTACCAACACGCCGGTACACTAGAGACCCGGAACCCAACGCGTACGTAATTAGGCAATAGTCTGCTGTTCCTCGGATCGGGTCCGAGACTTTGATCAAAGCCGTCTGACTCGGAGGGAATCCGGAAGGGGTCACGAAACCATCTCTTCCGGAGCTCCTGTGTAAGTGAGTATGGCAACACCACTTTCAGACACCAGGATGGTATAATAGAGTTGAAGTGATGAAAGGGTATGCCTGAGACAGATGAGGTGTTCTTCACACAGCCTATTTACGGAGCTCAACATCACCCGAAAACATGCCAGCACCTTATTCGGGGCAGTGCCTCTGTGGCAACGTGAAGTTCACAATTTCATCGGAACCAGTCACAGTACTGTCATGCTTCTGTGAACATTGCTGTATAGGGGCTGGTGGCACTCATCAACTGGTAAAGAATCTCATTTAATGAGTTGTTGACGAGCTAACCTATACCTGGCAGATTGGAAAATTCACGACGCAAGATGTCAAAGTCTCCACTACCGCAGAAGATGCTATTACGAAGTACTCACTCTCCGACACATCGAGCGGAAGTTCCAAAGAGAAAGCATTTTGCCGTACATGTGGATGCACGCTCTGGACTATTCCGGCAGCAGCAAAGGGAAAATTCTACATGATCCGGCTCCCATTGCTGGATGGAGGGTAAGTAAAGTAACTACCCTATGCTCATTGCGCTCAAGCCTAAAATGTGGTTTAGGCTCAAGTTCCATCCAGCGAATGAGATTTTTGTTAAAAATCGGCCAACTTGGGTGGAGCCAGTCAAAGACGCGGGTCAATGGGAGGAGATGCGAAAGTGACGCGCAGAGGAGACGAGACAAGAGTGAGGGTGCGGAGAAAGAGGGGAACCTTGCTTGTTGGTGGATTAGAACAAGGGCCGCCGATTGGTCTGGAGAGGTCAGGCTCCATCATCCACGGACCTCGGCTGGAGTTATTGAGCCAAAAGGAGATACAGGCAATATTGCAATTCAGTCACCAGAACAGTAAAACACCTCTAACGGTCAATTTTCTTGTCAATAATGTCACTTCAGCTCAGTCAGTATATCCGGCATGCCACGCCACGACTTACCGACGAGCTCCAAGTGAAGCTAATGCAGAGATTCTGTATCCCCCGCTAATGCTCCCCGGATTTTAGCCGTATGCGATCCCAGCCTCCAGCTTCATAATCTTATCTCTTAATTCTGGGGATCCCCCGTTCCGAACCAATTCATGTCCATTCCGAAAATCCATCCTCTCCCGACCCAACAACGAACGACATTCCCTTCGGATACGGAACTGGACTACACATGGAGCCTCCACGACGAGATGACGGTGTCTCTGCTAATCGCCAGAGTGGGGCCAAACGCCTCAAGATTGATGTCGCTTGCGACAACTGCAGAGCCAAGAAGGTCAAGTGCGACGGTGTGCGACCAGGTGAGACAAACGCTCAGCCCCAGGAGGGCACAAAGGCTAAGAGGCTGTAGTCTGTGGCTCCTGTAGTAGGAAGTTGGCTTTGAGGGACAAGTGCAACTTTAGCGCTAGTTCGACTGCCTTCATACAGCATCGCCCGCCAATAGCAGCGCCTTTCACTGCAGCTCAGAATGGACGTCCTGTTGCTCCTCCAGCACCAGCATTGCCGGTGCAAAGGCAGGGTAGTTCTCCTTCTATGGCAAGCCCACCTGTTCCGATCTTACCAGCGGTGAACACATACGAGCCTCAACCGCGAAGGTCTATGCCTCTGTCCCTGCCGCCACCACCGCCAAATCATCACTCCCCAGTGACATCTACCCCCGGCAGCGGTGCCAGGCCGGACTCACACAGTGGCCAACGCAATGTCGGAGCTTCAGTTTGTTCAAACAGTCCTTCTGCTGTTGACTCCATGACGGCGGTCATTGATGAGGGTACCAGTACTGAGGAATTCTTCGGTAAAAGCAGTGCTGGGTCGTTTACAGCTCAGATCAAGAAAGCTATAGACGTGAGGCTGGGTAAACCCCCTAGCTCGAGTGATAATGCATCAAGTACATCTAGGTCAGCTGGTGTTATGGGCCCTGCCTCAGTCACATCACCAGACTTCTCATACGTTCTACCTCCTCGGAGGCAGGCGGATCATCTAATAGAGCTGTACTGGTTCTATGTTGACCCGTTGTATCCGTTTCTGGATAGAAACCGATGGACTCGTGCTTATAATGCGATATTCTCTGGGACGACGATGGACTTAAATGAGCGTGTCTTTGTCGCTACACTGAACGTCATCTTGGCTCTGTCTACACAACTTGTGGAATCGCATTCGTTAGAACAGCGAGAACAGTCGAGTGAGACATACTTCCAGAGGGCCCAGGAGCTGTTGCCTATGAGTCCCTGGGAGCCTGGATCTCTCGAGCTGGTGCAGTGCCTACTAGTAACGAGCCAGTATCTTCAGAGTACATATAATCCTCATCAGACATGGATGGTTATTGGCTCCGCCATCAGGATGGCTCAAGGGTTAGGACTTCACCTGCCCGAGACCTCGGCGAATCGCTCGAATCCTGGTGAGCGAGAGCTGTTGCGCAGGATATGGTATGGATGTGTTCTGATGGATCGGTACGTGAACTTGACTGCATCTCGACACCCAGTGAACTAACTCAGCCAGCATGGTGTCTGTGACCCATGGTCGCCCTGCTATGATCTCCCAGCATCCTGCAAAGGATGTACCGTTGCCAGCTGAAACTTCAAACGCCCAGAATGGAATGCAAGGCTTGGAATATTACAGCTTCTTCGTGAGATCAGTGCGACTTTACGAGATTATCCACAAGACCATGATTGCCTTCTACGACGGCTCACAGGGCAATCGGCCAAAAGAGAAGGAATCCCACTTTGACCTTGAGGGCTTGGACGTTGAGGATGAAGACCTCGATAGAGTGGTGCAATTGGATCGCTGTATCAGCAGATGGCAGTCAAAGCTACCAGATCATCTAAGATGGGAGTTGTTGGAGTTAAATAAGGACGAGATAGCACGTCGACAAGCCGTGATCCTTCGCATGAGGTACGCGTCTTCTACTTTCACCGCTGTCCATGGCGACTAACTCACGAACAGATTCCTCCACGCACGTATCCTGTTGCTAAGGCCAGTCCTATCTAGATTCTGTCTCACCCAGTCTCCCCAAGATAAGAAGCCCATGGACGACAACTTGCAAGCTCGGGTTGTTCAACAGGGCGCGATGTTCTGCGTCACGACAGCTCAGAACATGATCAACACTCTGGTGAAGCACCAAACACTAGATAGCACTGTTGGTCTGCTTCCGGCATGGTGGTATCGAGTATACTATATCTACTCCGCTGCTACAGTGCTGATCGCCGCCAAACTTCGACCAGATGTTTTCTCGGCCGCGGAAATCGGAAGATCTTGGGGTCAAGCTATCTCAGTGCTCAAGGCTCATGAGCAATTCGGCCAGTCTCCCCGTAGATGCGTGGCGGCTTTACATATTCTTTCATCAAAGATCTTGCAAGCGACGCCTCGTGGCTCACCAGGACGTGAGACGGGGAACAACAGCAGACCCGGAGAAGGGAATAACACAAGCCTCCCTCAGCAACCGATGGCAAACATGGAGGTTCCTGATCTGGTTCAGCAACTTGCTGAAGAGTTCCAAACCCCGATACCGGACTTCAATCCTCAGGAACTTGCGGCTTTCAATTTGGATGTAAATGATATGTCATGGCTGAACGATATCCAAGGAGTTTGGGAGCTTTTGAACGAATAACACAATGGAAAAGTTGCTTCTATGTCTATTACCCAAATACCATGTTTTAATCTACCTATTACTCGAACACCATCTTGTTCTTGACACTTCCCAACTCGGTGATGCTAACCTCCACAACATCACCGTCATTAAGATACTTAGGCTCCTTCATTCCCATGGCGACGCCACACGGTGTTCCTGTGAGAACAACAGTTCCAGCCTCAAGTGTTGTGCCTTGGCTGATGAAGCTGACAATTTCCTCAACCCCGAAAAGAAGATCATTCGTACCCTCGCTTTGTCTCTCCTCACCGTTGACAGTTGTTCTCAAGTGCAGCTTGGAAGCGTTGCCAACAACAGCAGGAGAGACGAGAAGAGGCCCAATGGGGGCGAACTTGTCGAAACCCTTGCTGAAGCACCACTGGGGAACACCGCCGGCCTTCTTGGGGTCTCGTTGCCATGCTCGAGCGGAGACGTCGTTGGAGACGACGTAGCCTGCTACGTAGGAGAGAGCGTCTTCTTTAGTGATGTTCTTGCCAGACTTGCCAATCACAATGCCCTGAAATATTGATTAGATCTGTGTGTAGATGGAAAAGCCTGTAAAACCTACCAACTCTCCCTCGTAGTCTATTGTGCCATCTTGGGCGATCTTAGGAATGGGAACATCCTCATTGAAGCCAGCAATGGAGGTTGAGGGCTTGATGAACAATGAGGGATAAGGCGGCGGTGTTCGACCACCTTCCTTGACTAATCATTCAAGTTAGTATACCCCCATACAATGGGTAATGCATCACTTACTGTGCTTGATGTAGTTAAGGCCAATGCATCGGATAATAGGCACATCAGCCGGTCGCAGAAGCTCCTTTACAGCCTTGACATGCACCTTGTCACCCTTGGTGAGTTGCGCCACAGGACTCTGACCCTTGTACTCAACAGCCCATAGGTCATTCTTGGCTAACTTCTCAGAAAAGTCCTTGTCATTCTCAACGACAGGGTCTCCAAAGGTCTCATTTCCGTTGTCATCGACAAAGCGGATGAGGCGGTTCCAAGTTGTTGAAGACATTGTGCGAGAAAATGACGATGTGAAATTTCTGCGATACAATGATGATGCGATACTGGCTATTCTCATTGTCGTATCATCGTAAAGGTTGTGTCCTACCTGTTATAGTTGTTTCTTAAAGGTGTGATGATTGTCGGAGAGCGTTGGTGTTGAGATCCACTGCTGTGGCCAGTCATAGCGCGGTCCGGTCGGAAGGCCAAAGCCCGGATCCCACCGGAGTGAGCCCGGAGGACGGATATTGACTTCGGCTGTTGTGGATGATTGATTAGACGCGGCGCAATGTGACCGTTGTAGCAATTCTGTTGCCTATCGGTGCTATTCCCCCAGCTTTGCTCGTATTTGGGGATTTTACGATTGTTATCCACTCGAAAGCCATATCAATCGTTATTTATCCCCAGAAGACTCACGACACTCGCGAGTCACAAACCAGGTCAAAGATAATCTCAACCTCATTTTATACTCTTTGCAGAAGTCACAGAAATAATGGGAAACTATACTAGCACAGTGGATTCGGGCCCCTCGGATGGCGACTCGCCAGAGATGAAGCAGTATCTCAGCGAACTACCATCAAAGAACTTGGAGCCCCTTTGGTCACAGATGAGCATGATGGTGCCGCCAACACCAAACCCCACAGCGAAACCACATATGTGGACATACAGAGAAGCCTTGCCTCATCTAGAGACAGCGGCCAAGTTGGTGCCAGAGGAGAAAGCTGAGCGACGAGTTCTGATGCTAGTGAACCCCAGCATGCGTGAGTACATCAGTCGTACTACTGAACTTATCTGACTGACATTTCTAGAATCACCATACACAACAGACACTATTTATGGAGGTCTTCAGATCGTCAATCCTGGCGAGACAGCGCCAGCACACAGACATCTTGCCTTCGCAGCTCGCTTCATCATCGATGGCGAAGGTTTCACCGCAGTCGAGGGCAAGAAGATGCCTCTCGTTAGAGGCGATGTTGTCATCACACCGATCTGGCACTGGCATGACCATGGCAACGAGAGTGATAAGCCAGTAGTCTGGTTGGATATGTTGAACCTGCCTTTGTTCCGCTTTGCTCCAGTTCACTTTGCTGAGGGCTACTCTGACCCACGATATCCCAGCGAGTGAGTATCCTCATACCTTACATAATTAATTTCATCTTTGCTAACGGGATCAGGCATTGTGACCCTTGCGAGTTCCGATTCCCATGGGCTCCCGTTGAGAAAGAACTCAACTCTGACAAGAGCGACTACTCCATCTATCACTATAAGCTCTCTAGCGGAAAGCCTCTGTCAACATTCCTCGGTGTTCAAGCCGAGAGATTGGGCCCTGGTGCCACGGTAGAGTCACAAGAAAGCCAGTCATATCTCTACCACTGCTATGAAGGAAAGGGTCGGACTGAGCTTGTGACGCCGACAGGAGAGACGATGACGTTCAAGTGGGAGGCGCGTGATACTTTTGCTGTACCTTCCTGGTGCAAGATCAAGCATATTAATGAGTCTACCACAGAGCAAGCTTACCTGGTAGCCTGCCATGATGGACCATTTCTTGAATGTCTGGGCATTCAACGAAGGAATGAATAGGCTATGGTAGCCGACATATAGCATAATGGTATCTTTCTTGGGCATATTTATCACAAGCTAGCTTTGAATTCAGCACATGATCATAATGAAATCTTTCAGAGACCAGTAACGAATCAAAATTCTCTTATCCATCAAGAACATATCCCGAACCTCATAGAGGGAAACCGGCTTTACGTGGAGGAGGCAAGTTGGAGATTAAGATGATGGATTGGTAGATACGAAGCTGAGATAGGTTCTATCTGATGTAATGGATGGGTACGAAAATGAAGGCGTAAGAGCGTTACAAAAGCTTCATACTAGGCGGCAACCAAACCTAACGGCGGTCAGGTAGCTGAGCACTGGTGCGCTGTCTCTCAATGGTAATGAAGAAGATACTGGTATCAGCACCGCCACCACCAGAGTTCTCAACGACAAAACCGCCGCTCACCGCATCATGGTCCCACTTGTCTTCGAACAGATCCTCCTCAGGAACGGTCTCAGCAGCCTCAGTGTAGTGGTGATCCTCGGGCTCTCTTCCAATAAGGTCTGTGAGAAACTTCTTGTACTCGTTGTACAGGTTTCCGTCAACAAGCTCCCCATTCTCATAGTAGACGGCAGAGTAAAGATGAGCAGAAGCACCCCCAACCTTGTCGTTGTGCTTGCTGTAAAGATCGGGGATCTCCTTCTTGGCGTTGTCCAAGCCAGCCTGGTCAAGGTTGTAGTGACCAACAATGGTACCTTGCTTGGTCGCGAGGATGACACCGAAGCAGCCAGCAAAAGATGAGCTTCCAACAACGTGATCCCCAGCAGCAGTGAAATCTACAAACTTAGTATCATCTTGGCCAACGTATGTTCCGGCAGCTTGGCTGGCGTCGAGCTTGCGTTTATAGGCATCTAGCTCAGGGGTTATGACTCTAGAGTAGAGATGCTGATCATCGCGAACAGCGAGCCTTGGGGTATCAGCCTCATCGAACGATGATTATAGGTAACGGACTCACTGAGTGGTGTAGGGTGCAGCGATGCAGAGCTGAGAAGCAGCAAGGAGGAAGAACAGCGAGGCCAACAGCTTAGCCCAGCCGTTCTGGAAACTCTTGGAGCCCAACATGATGATGAGCCAGATAATTCTAAAAGATTGACGGTTTAAACGAGTGTATAAAAATGAAAGACGGTTGAAAAAGACTGTATTGCTCGATGCAGTGAGATGGGTGATGAGGGACGACTTCAGAGTCTCTGTCCTACATATATGCTGGATGGAGTTGGGAAATCAGTGTAAGCTAACAAGAGTAATGCAACACTGGGATCTCTCAGCGTCAACCGTCGAGGCTTGAATCAGGACGAAATCACAGTACATGAGTTCCATAGAAAGGATCGCGGAAAAGCGGGTTTGTTGTTCATTCTTGGCAAGATCTGTCTGTGCGCGATGGGACTTGGAAGGCGGGACAAAGTTACGATCGTCAGCCAAGACATGATTTCTCCAAAAGTACTGTCCTTTCCGTCTTACCCGTCAGTCACTGACAGATTGCCGGCCGAAGGTAGTAGGAGAGGCCTTCTGAAGGTTCGTGGAGTTGACCGAGACTTCAACTTTATCGTCTAAGTTAGTCCATTGTTGATCAATCCTAAAATTGGATCGAAGTCGCATCTGCTTATTCTCATGTCATGGAAATCTATTGAGAAATCAATCTTTTATCGGCGCCAGGTATCGCTCGGCGCTTATGGATGTTCATCATAATCTCGTGTTCCTGCATAGCCTCGAATATTCGCGATGCCGAGAGCCTTGCCATGAAAGGGATGGTTAGATTGCGACCCATAGATAAGCGTGAAGGATTCGCTTGATGTGACAGTCAGCCACCATTGCAAGGCTGAGAAATGTCACGGTCCCGAAGGATCGAGCGTTGTAACCATGTTTGGCCCAGTAGGGCTATCTGCTATGGTGATCTTTCACGGATGGAGCATACGTTGGTCCAAGGGTCCAACTTTCATCGTGTGATTATCCACTTGTTCGGTTTGACTGTTATCCTATAGGCCAATTCTACGAACGCGGACCGAACGGCTGCAACGGCAATTGATGGGATGACGCGTAACAACATCTTTAAGATTAAGCATGTTTCTTGACTATCGCTTTGGTGGAAGTCGATAATGAACAAACCTGAGAATGAGATGATGGTCTTGTAGTGGAAGGCTGAGTCAACCTGGTGATTCACATTGAGCTACTGCTTCAACATGGAACATGTAATTAACACTCAAGCTTTGATATATTGCGTATTTGTTGTTAATCGGATGCTCCATCTTGTACTGAAGGATGTGAGGCCAAAGAAGTGATAGACGGCTTTTTCGGTGCTAGGTCGAACTGTGACAGCGACAGACGTAAATGGAAATGCCCGAACCAGGGCGAAGCCAGAAAAAAATGATTCATGTCGAGCAAAGGAAAGAGATTGAAACTGGAGATTCATCAATCATGCGCATCCTTCAGTGGTCTTTACAAGGCTGTCCAACGTCATCAATGCAACCTTACAAGTTCAGCTCCGCATCGAAAAGGAAGCGATCCACAGGGGTAAACGAGGATCCAAGAAACATTTATCAGACGGAAAAGGGAACCCGACGAGATGTGGCTTGGAACGGCACGGGCCGATATCATAACATGGCGATGAACCTACAATGTAACTAGGATTCGATCCTTCTGAACCGTTTCAGTTGCATGCCCATTCTGTGGAACTAGCAAGATTAGGTTGGCCATAGCGTCTTGTCACCAACGGCTAGCCTACGACTTGTGAAACTTTAGGTCAGATGTAAGCCTGAGTTGGTATCTGGGTTATATACCTATCTATCGTGTCTCTGCAGTCTGGCGCGTAGGCCTAGCCCGACATACTCACACTGAGTTCTTTCATTCTTTATACACCAACTAAGTCATTCTTTTTACTTTGAGGCCTAGACAATCACTCGTTATGCGTCTGGCCGGTCTTGTTGTGGCTCTCGCCGCTTTGGCGGAGGCTCAACTCCCAGAGACTCCTGGAGCGAATGGTGCATCCACCACCACGACTCATCACCCTCTCCCCTTTGAGACGACTTCATCTGAGATTCCTGCACTTGATAAGACAACTTCTGCAGATGTTACACTTCTAGAGACCAGCACAGGCATTCAGGTTCCTGATTCTGCATTTACTTCCACCGATGTGTTGCCTGAGCTACCTGAGTCCAAGAGCACCGACATTGCGGTTGGAGGTACTACTACTGCCAATGGCGAGTCACCTCTCGACCCGACATCTTCAGATGAGGTCCCTGCTGAACAGCCCACTGCTGGGACGGGACAGCCCACTGGTCCCGAGACTACGGTTCAACAGCCTCCAGCTATCGACACTACAACATCACAAGAGCCTCCCGTAGCAGAGACAACTACTCAGCAACCTCCTGCCCTTGATACTGCCACAACTGGTCAGACACCTGGTGTTGAGACTACTAGCCAACAACCTCCTGCACCTCAGTCAACTACTGAGCAAGGCCCTGCTGTTGACACAGCCACTACACAGCAAGGTCCTCTCCCTGACACAACCACCCAGCAGCCTCCTACTCAGGACTCCACAACTGAGGAACTGGCACCTCAGGATACCACTTCCCAGCCTTTTGTTGGAGAAGAGACTACCAGTACCCAGGCTCCCGCCGTAGACACCACTTCCTCAGAACAGCCTGTTGATGAGGTGCCATCGACGACTGAGAAGCCTGAGGGCCCCAAGCCTACTAATACCAAGCAGGGGGAAGCTGAGCCTACTAGCAAGGACGAAGAGTCTGATCCTAAGTCCAAAGACTCAGACAATGAGGACCCCAAGACCAAGGATGAGACTGACCCTGAGCCCACCACCAAGAAAGACGAGGCTCCTGTCACAGTCCCTCCTGCTGCTGTCACTGCTGAGCCTCAAGAGACTATCTTTGGTGTCAGCGATAATACTCTGCATAGCACCAAGGACAGCGATGGCAATGATGTTGTTGTCCCTGTTCTCTTTGGTCCCTCCTGCCTGATCTTTTGTGAGCATGCTGGCAAAGACAATGGCCCTGGTGGTATCGTTCTTTGGGGTATTGGTAAGTTCGCTGATTTCTTCCCCCTAAGGTTTGTACTGACATGAGACTTAGGACCTGCACCTGGAAGCTACGTCCTCCCTCCTCTCCCTGGTATCACACCTGCTCCTTCAGCCGTTGTCATCAATGGAGGTGTACCAACACCCGTTGGAACTCAGACACCTGAGGATCCTGATGATCAGGACGATGATGACGATGATGACGACGACAAGAGTACTGCTGAGGAGGAGACCAAGACTGAAGCTAAGACTACCGAAGCCAAGTCCACTGCTGAGTCTTCCGCAGCTTCCACTACTGAGGCTAGCACCACTGAGTTACCTCAACTAACAATGGGCGTTGAGACGGTCGTAGTGGACGTTGATGCTACTCCTACCACCGGTGCTACTTCCAGTGAAGCGACGACGGAGGCCACCAGCACTGAAGCATCTACTCAGACCATGGACCTTCCTCAACTGACTATGGGCGTGGAAACGGTAGTCGTAGACGTCGATGCCACTCCGACAACCGGAGGAACTACTGAGACTTCTGCTGCTATATCTACCGAGACCACTGAGGTTACTACTCAGACGACGGAGCTTCCTCAGCTGACCATGGGAGTCGATACAGTCGTTGTGGATGTTGATGCTACCCCTACTACAGGAGGCACCACTGAGACCTCCGCTGAGTCGGCCACTACTGAAGAGTCGAGCACTGAGGTTTCCGAGACCACGAAGACTAAGGATACCACTACCGCCGAGACAACTTCAACCGAGGCCACGACTGTCCAGTCTACGACTGAGCAGTCAAGAACAGCAAGACCTACATCTACTGAGACTTCTGTTCAGTCTACTACTTTCGCCACTACCACCACTACTAAAGGCCCCGAACGCGAGTATCCTTGCATCATTCATGCCAATCCCGGCATCGATCCTTACTGCGCCTGTGAGACTACAGTCAGCGGCAAGGGCTTCTATGTTTCCACCGATTTGATCTCATCGTCTTGCGCCGACTACACGACCTTCCCTTCCTCTATCCCTACTAATGCTCCAGAGCCCAAGGTCACCGAGAAGCCAGATCCTGAGCCTTTCGTCAAGACCGATGATGGCACAGTCGTCTCTTATCCTGACCGTACAGTCAAGGTTGGAAACTACCCTGGTGGAAAGTATACTTACACCGAAGGTGTCGGAGACGCCGTTACGCTCGAGACTCCTTTACCCACGCAGACCGATGCGAACAACAAGGGCTCTAGCCAGTGTGGCAGCATCGATGATGCATGTGACCGTGCTCTGAACGATGGTTTTGATGATGAGACTATCTATAAGGACTATGTCTCGCGATATGCTAGGATTCAGAGCGGTATGGTCATGGTCGCGACATTTGGTCAAGCTGGTTGCACGGCTCAGTTCAAGTGCGATGATTATGGTCTTGGAATGAAGGGCAAGGATATCAAGGATGCGTAAGTCAACCCTTATACGACCGAGGATGAGTTTATGCTAACTATTTCGCAGTGTCCAGCACATGAAGGATAACGATGGAGTGAGCAAGTGCGGAACAGCGTACCTATCCAACACGTGTCAGATCACGTTAAACTATTGTACCAATTGTCACCATGATGGTTGATTACTTTATAAGTCTGAGACCGTGGACACTTAGAAGGCTTTGGGCGATATAGGAATACAGCTTTATATCTGGAATATTGATACAGACCTGTTGCTGACGTGCTGCTAAGCAACTCACGAAACTGACGCGTCCAGCGTGTTGATTATCGCCAAGACCAATTAAATTCAAGTCTTGAACGCGCATGTTTCATTCACGTGCTAAACACTGCAATAACACACCAATGAGCAGCCTGTTTTTGGCTCCAGAGTACTTCGTGGCTTGTGTAGGAATGGGTCTTCTTTTTTCCAGTTCCAGTGGGACAAGGGAGCGTAGTTGTTTGTCCCGTCGCATCCTGAAATACAACCTTTCGACATCATCAATTGAACAATAGTTATTCTGAATTACCGCCTTTATCCCTTGCGTCACAATTCGTTCTGACTATGATCTCTCTAACATCATGCAGGGGGCCTGTTGCAGTGCTTCACTGGCTTGGTCGAGGTTGGCCTCTTCGTTGGCCATCATTAGGCCAGAAAGCACTTGGTCGTATTTCTTGGAGAGTTTGTTCCCGTTGGGTCCGTCAACAATGCTAGATAGCTCCAGCATGCCATCTGTGAGACCAAACTCGGTGTCAGCCACGGAAGACAGCTTAGTCCTCTGTGCAAAGTCCGAATCGCTCCCGTCGTAATGGAAAGCACTTCTGTCCAGGAGTTGAGCAGGAACCTGCATCTGGAAGAGAGCCTTATCTTCAGGATCGAACTTCTTGCGAAGCGTATCATAGATATTCACCAATAGAGGGTTAGCCCGGAAACTCATGGTCGCCGAGAAGTACATGCAATGTGTCGCTGTTGAAGAAATTGTCAAGAGAACCTGACCTGGGGATCGAAGTCGATCCGTGGAGAACAGTCAGAGCTGACTGAAGAGGGGGGTGTTGAAGCTAACTCATGGCCCTGGTCTGGCCAAGTATGGATTGCTTGACGATACTACCAGCGTTAGTTTAAACAGCCGACCACAAAGCCGAAAACAAGAGAGCAATATGATATAAGACTGAGGTTCTCACTAATCTCGTATCATCTTGTTACTTGCGGAACTTCAGTAAGCGCGATGGCTACCACGATCTCAAAATAGAAATTCCAAGACTCAGCTTGCGAACTGCACAGCCCCTCACACTAGCACGCTGAAATCGCCATAAATAGTTATCTGTTGCTTGGCTTTAGACCTTTTTAAGCTAGGTCAAATTTCCAGATCCATCAAAAGGCACAAGGATACAGCGACCAACAGACAGCGTACAGTAAATGTGAAATAACCATCGCAGTCTCGCAGACGACGGCTGTTTGTTAAAGCAAAGTCATTCAACAATCGACACTGAATCAGGATGTAAAGTATACAACAATCCAAAACTGTAACTAACCCCATTGCCAGATGATGCACCTACCAGATCCTTTGTCCCTTTGTGCACGATGCTGTTAGGCTGCCACGATTCGAGTGTACTTTGTGTTCCTCCATATGCATGTTGGTTGTTGTTGTCACACAAAACCCTGTTCTTTGGCAGAACCAACAGAAACATGCCCCTGTATTAACTGAAACTTTACAGCGTGTGATTGCTGCAGGTAACAAATTAGATTGCTGTTGAAGCGAGCATTTGCCCCCTTTTTTACCATTCCAAACCTAGGACTTTCGCGCAGGATCAGTACATAAAGAAGGCCTCGGTGAGTTTCGAGTTTGCAATGAATTGAATAAACAGTATTTTCTACTATCTGCGTACATAACAATTAACCCTTTTGACCTTGACAATGGATGTTTCTCTGGACGCCAACATTCTCGACCAGCTCAATACCACTGAGACTAAAGCCCTCCACGATATAAGCGACAGCCTGAGTGCTTGTGGCGTTGGTCGTATCGTCAATCTTCCGCAAATCATCGTCGTTGGTGATCAATCCGCTGGCAAGTCATCCGTTCTTGAGGCAATTTCCCATGTTCGCTTTCCAGTCCAAGGAAATCTTTGCACAAGGTTTGCAACTGAGCTCATTTTCAGGAGAGCTAATGAGACTCGAATCGATGTGAGCGTCAGATTTGAAGACAGATCGAAACCAGCAAAGAGATTCCAGAGGGCTGGGTTTCGTGAGGATGACTTGGGCGACATCATCACGGAAGCCAAAGAGTGCATGGGCTTTGGCAAGGCCGGGATGGAGTTCTCCAAGGACGTGCTCCGTCTTGAAATCGAGGGGCCAAAAATGTACCCACTGAGTCTCGTTGACCTTCCAGGATTCTTTCAAGTGGCTACCGAAAACCAGTCAATCAGTGGTAAAGAAACGGTCGATCAACTTGTCGAGAGCTACATGCGACAGAAGAACAGCATTATCCTGGTGGTTATCACTGCGAATAACAACCTTGCCAATCACTTAGCCCTCCAGAAAGCTAAGAACATCGATCCGGAACGACGACGAACCATCGGTGTCATCACGAAGCCTGATTTGACTCGCCCTGGTTATGATGCTGAGAAGGAATACATCAAGCTGGCCAAGAACCAGGAAGCCGCGCATAAGCTGCAGCTCGGGTGGCATGTCCTGCGTAACAGGGCTGAAGATGAGGACAGCTTGGAAGGTCGAGACCAGGTCGAAGACGCATTCTTCCAGAAGGGCGCTTGGGCGACTATTCCCTCCGAAAATCGTGGCATTGTGAGTTTGCGAAAGAAGCTCAGTCATGTGCTCTATAGTCACATTCGCAACAGTCTGCCTGGAGTCATTACAGACATCGAAACGACGCTTAGAGAGCGACAAGAGGAACTTGATCGTCTTGGAAAATCTCGATCCACTCAAGAGGACCTCAGGTCTTTTCTCCTTGGCATTGCCAGTGACTTTCAGCGGCTCGCCAGAGATGGCATATACGGCCGATACAATGACGAATTTTTCGGAGGTTTACAAGACGATCACCGAAAGTTGCGGGCACAGCTGCGGAACTTCAGCCGAGCTTTTGATCATATCCTTCAAACTAAGGGGTCGACTCATGTCACCGTCTCAGATGATGACAGTGATTATTCGGATGGTGACGACATCCCCGGGTATCTAGAAGAGTTTCTGGAACGTTATCCATACAACCCTCCCGAGCCGAAGAAAATCACGAGACGCGAGCTCGCTGAGCAGCTTGAGAAACAAGCCGCTGCCAATCAAGGGCTGGAGTTCCCAGGAACTCCAAACAAGGATCTTGCCATGCAACTCTTCAAGCAACAAGCAGCACCATGGAGAGGTATTGCCGAGTCACATGTCAAGCTTGTAACGACCGTTGCAAAGGCTTTTGTTGATCAGGTCTTTGAGTATGTTGTTGGATCCCCACGGACGAATCGAACTACTGAGGCGATCCTGTCAACGTGCGTCGACCCATTCTTCGATGAAAAGGAAAAGGTGCTTCAGGAGAAGATCAACGAGCTCCTGAGACCTTATATTCAAGGTTACGCACTTCCTCTTGACTTGTTATTCTACGACATGCTATCAAAAACCTCAGACGAAAAGCTAGAGAGACGCATTTCAGCTATTCTACAGCAGAAGTATCCGCATTTATACGAGAGTAACGTAGCTAAGACAGGCGAGACGAGCAAGAAAGCTGACTCTAAAACAATTGCTCAAGACATCAATGAGGAAGATGACCTTGAAGATAGTGAGTTTGGAATCAACAAAGTCATAGACATGATGTTGACATATTATACGGTAAGATAACGCCAGCCCTCATAATCGCTTGATACTAACTTTTGAAGATATCTCTGCGCACCTTCACCGACAATGTCATCAACTTGGCGGTTGAAAGTTGCCTCGTGTATGATATACCAGATATCCTCACACCCACAACGGTAGATCGGATGAGTAAGGAAAGACTTGAGGAGTTGGCCGGTGAATCGGACGATACATCGTCTCGAAGAAAGAGCCTGCAGGAAGAGGTCAAGATCCTCAGACAAGGGTTGGCTCAATGCCGGCGATATAAGCCAAGAGCAGTAACACGTAGGTCACACGGCTCAGAAACTGAATCGTTATGATGCTAACGGGCAAGCGCTTCCTTCTGCAGCAAATGAGTCTCTAGGCAGTGTCCCGAATACATCTACCATAGCTCCTTCGGTGAATGACAAGAAGACGAGCCCACCAAGTGTGATCAACGCTCCTAAAGCTCAATTCAATGGCTGGACGACAATTCCCGACTTGCCCAAGGCTGAGAATCCCTTCAGCAAGTTCTTGGAGACTCCAGCGAAGCCATCAGGTCCAGCGCCATCAGCGGCAAAGCCTGCCTCAACCTTGGGAAGCGGCGCTGGGTTTGGCTCAGGAGTCGCACCTTCGAAGCAGCCGGCCTCTTTTCAGTTCAACGGTTTCGGCGACGCCAAGAAGTAAACTCTTTAGCGACTTTGGTGTTATCTTGTGCTTTGTAGCTGTAAGCGAATTTGTACATCAAGAGAAGGAGGGCGGGAGTGCGGGAGCGTTGAGCGGGATTGATAGCCTTGGATGAGATCATAGCGTCAGGGTCATGCCTCAGTGCAGCGATAATACCGTGTTAGTTCGAAGTAAAATAACATTTTGAATAATGCATTTCTCAATTTGAACGATATTGAACGTGTGAAGCAGACACTTCCCCACGAAGCTCGGCATTTCTCGGCAACAAGGCAAACCCACATCGCAAGCTCCAGGCCCCGTATAGACTGGAAGCAGAACAACTCCGGCCAACCAATGGGGCGCTGGCGCAACTGGTAGCGCGTCAGATTCCAGTTAATTTCGAGGGTTCCCTTGAAGATATGCTTGATTCCTGAAGGTTATCCGTTCGAGTCGGGTGTGCCTCATACTTTTTGTCTGTTTCTAAGAGCAATCTCATGTCCGCAGGAAGGGTTGTCACCTTTTACAGTGTTGCTTGTTCATACACCGATGAGCGATTTAACTGAACACAAAGATTCATTGATGAACAACCCGCCGGCAGTAGCCAATGTTGAAACGCCTTTTTCATTGACAAGCATCTTCATCCTCTATATTCCTTGGTATCTCCGCGCTTCGTTTGACCATAACGGCGATGATGGAGTGATTTTGGTCAGCCCCTCTTGAGCCGTGGCGATCTCGTCTTCATCCACTGGCTTCCCCTCCAACCGATCATGCATCGCATTGATGAGGTATAAATCATCCTTGAATTCGGGCCAGTCAATGGAGTTGAGAACACAGGGCTTCCCTTTACTGGAACTGATTTTCCGCTCAAATCTATCGCGATAGATATTGTAGTGCGCCATTGCCTCCCAAGGATCCCATCGCCAACGGTTCTGCGATGTCGCTAGAATAGGAAACGGATGGGCCGAGGCTGTATCATGACTCTCACTTTCATCAAGAAGGAAGTGAATCATTTGTTCGAATTGCTGGTCTATTGGAGGGTATATCGTTCGTGGTCCCTTTCGGCGACATCCATGGAAGTATATTTGACGACTCTACGGTTTTATTAACGATAGGTCCCTTCCAACTGACAGTATTCCTTACCTCGGTGCCATCTTCGCCTCTATCAAACACAACGACGCCACCAAATATTCTGGCTTCAGCCCAGTATCCTACACTATCTGCAGCCCCATTCGGATATTGGGCAACTGCAATGTAAGGTCCATGCGAAAAGGCCGTTGGGTCTCGGAATGAATCCCATTTCGTCATATCTCTCGGAGAATGTCTCCAGATATCGTAGATATTATGTCTCTCGGCAACGTCATCAAGCTGGAAGATCTGAACTGCGATCTGATGGCAGCTCACAGCCAAAAGCTCAAGAAGTCTCAAGTGAAATTCTTTAGACTGGGCTGATGCTTTACTGAATTCTTGAAGCAGCTTGGATCATGTCAGTCACAATATCTCTAGGGTGATCTCGCGTTACCTACGGAAGTCTCAAACCAGAGAGATGAGAGATCAAACTTTGATCGGAAGTCAAAGACTCTTTCCCTGACACCTTCCGAAAGATTCACATGTTTAAGTGCAGGATGCCCATCTTGCGGGAACTGGAGATCCAGGTACGAATCTCTCAAAGGTATACCGTCAAAGACTTCTGAGTATGCTCGCTCTGCTACATCGGTGCCCAACATACGTCGCAGAGAACGCTCGAATGCAGTGTAGTGTTCGATGTCTAGGTCTTTTAAGCTGCAACCCTCGCCTTCATTCCGGGACAGCATAGCAATGCCTATGAAAAGAAACAAGAGTATAAAACAAGTTGAAGGAAATAGCCACCAAAAGTAGCTGCTGAGGTCAATGAATCTTTTAGGTGTTAGGCAGGGTGAGATAGTGAAGTGACAAATCAATTTTGCTTCAACTTACGGCCTAACAGTCTAGCGGCTGCACGTGAGCATGGCTGATATCCAATAGTGTTCCTCAGACTCTTGCAGTGAGGTAATCTCGAGGGCCGCGGGATAGAGCTGCAACTAGTCGTGAGTGGTCAGTACCACTATATAAATTATCACCTAGGACCTCGACCAGATTCCTTTCAGCTCGCCAAATACGGCCTCAGCAATAGGTGAAATCTTATATATATACGAGTGAGACCCCAAATTAGTTTTGGTTTGCACCAGAATGCGGTCTTATCATTGCTAAAAGCTATTTTTGTTTGCCTGCAGCCTATTCATATGCCATCCAATCATCCTATAAAACCCCCTAAGGATGTCTTGCAGATTCTGTTTTGATGAAATCGCAATGCTTTACCAAGCTCATGCTTGAGCCCCATCTACTTCTTCTTCTTGGGCTTCGTCTTGTCCACAACATCCACCCACTTCGCATCAATACCCTTCCTTGCCAAAATATCCTTTGCGAGGATCTTCCTTTGATCACCCTGAACAACAACTTCCATCGATCCAGGCTTCGCACCAGCAACTTGACCTACGCTCGCAGAACCTGCACACTTCTTCTGTAATTCCGGTGCAAGGACCTGCGGATCGATGAAGAAAGGCTCGAGGTTGGAAATCTTGGTGACAACCTTTGTACCGGTTCGCTTCTCGATTGTTATCAAGATCCGAGGTGGTAGGCCAGATTTTGGCTTTTGGTCGGGTGAAGGAGCGCCGTGTGAGATGATGTGGAAGGGTTGGCAGAGATGGGTATCTTCGATCACTCGCTTTTGGAGAGTACTTCGAGGGATTCTTCCTGCGGCAAGGAAGCTGACGTCTTCATCAGATGGTTTGTTACCTAGGATGTCGTTGGCGAGAAATGTGTCGAGTTTGACGCTGGAGTTTCCTTGGCCGCCTAATTCGGGATGTTGGTCGATGTACGACTTGATAGCTGCTGAGATCTCCTGCGAGGTGTAGAAGTCCATCTTGGAGGGGACAAGTGTCGGTACGAGCTTTGAAGATACGCGATAGACCATCTGGATATTGACCTTCTGCCCTGCAGATGAGCCCGACCCTGAGGCTTGCCCGGCATCTGACGTTGAAACATCTCCACCGGTAGCCTTCGGTGTCGGCAATCGATATGGCCGGAAGCCCAACACCTGCCGATCATCAAAGTCAATATCCAGGATGACGGTCTCTCCACCATTTCTGTCCTTGGACTTTACGATCTGTTCTTTATCAAGATGCTTGATGAACTTTTTGGCGTTCTTCCATGACGTCTTCTTGATGTTGTAGTACTTTGGGTTCTGGTATCGGAGATTGGGCTGCACCATATTTGCGATGATGAAAGATGGCTGAAGAGGGAACTGTAAGCCGAAATGTGGCGGGCTGCCGGATTCTTTGGCTTTGTGGACTGCAAAGAGGAAGGCTTGATGAAAAGCATCGTTGATTTCTTTTGTCGTCGGTTCGTGCTCCTCCTCTACCTCATCACCTTCTTGGACCTCGTCGACTTGTGAGTCTTGAGCAGCTGGTGCCGACTCTGCTGGTTGAGTCTCTTCCTCCAGCGACAGTTTGTTAGCTTGAGTAGCCAGCCCTGCTGCTAGTCCTGCCCATCCCTCCAAGCTTGAAGGCGGGTCGATTCCGCCACTGCCAAGTTGCTTCCAACTCCAGCACTCATCACCAACCCAGTGAAGGGCCTTAATAGCCGCGCCCTTCTGCCCCCGCACATCATCTGGCAGATTTCGCACATCTATTTGACATGTTCCAACCCAGGCTGGCACTGTGTCATTCTGCATCCCCGCGACAGCCACAACAGCGCCGGTGCTCGCTCGTGTGTCCCAGCTGGCGCCTCTGGCTTTCACCAGCCCAGGAACCATCAAATCAGCACCATGCTTCAACTTCTCCTCAACCACAAAATCGGGCGTATGCAGAAGTGGAATGAGGTTAGGGTTACGCCACAAAGTGTACACTGTTGGTATCAAGCGGGGGTTCTTTCCGGTCTGGAACCAGAGGACTCTCTCATCTTGATCTGGATGTGCACCTATGTACACCGTTCCTTGTTCAGTTGGTGTGATGAAACGAGCTGATGAAGTTGACTCTGGTAGAAGTGAGTTACGCAGTGCCGTTTGTGATTGTGTCCCTGATGACGCATCGTCGCCGGACACTTGGATAGAAACTTGATAGTCGCGGATGATTTGATCGGCGAGCTTTCGCCGATCTGAGGAGCGCAAAGGCGCCAGGTTTCTGATGTCGGGTTTTCGCTTGAACATGATGACGAGATGTGGCTCGGTCTCGGGGAGTGGTGATTGTTGGAGTAAGTTCGTGGTTGCTTGTCGAGGTGAGATAGGTGAGTATTTTAGTAGAGCGGGGCAGAAGATAAAATCGCTGAGTAATCATAAGCTTTCGTCATATCCAATCACCCCGCCACCAAATATGAAGCCTTCATGAGTCACCCACTGAAATGATTCAATTCGACTCATGTAACACAACTCTATGCGGCCTGTTGCCTACCTTGACTTTTGCGGATCCTCAATTGAGTTCGCGTTTTAAACTTTGTCGTTCTGACTACAGTCATTGGGTTTGGCATTAAATATTCATCCTTCACGGCCAGTGATTTTCTTTTATGACTGCTCTCGTGGTTTGAATCGAAGTAATTCCCAAACCGAATTCCGATCATCAAATCTTCTTGCCTTCAGAGGCTAGATTTTTATCGATCTTAAGTGGTCTCTTTGTAAAAGCTACGTGTTCGATATCAGCACTCCCTGGCCAGTTCCTCTAGGCAACCATTTGAGAACTCATATAAGCCTCTTGCATCGTGAGTCATATTTGGACAAACTCAAGCCCTTTATTTGCTACAATCATGTCAAACCTAATCACATACGCTCGTGACTTTCTCGCTTCAATTGGTCTCATGAGACCATCCTCAGGCACACCAATCACAAGCTTATTCAGTACTCTTCCAGGCCACCACCGCATCCTCCTTAGCGGCCTTGGCGAGGCTGGCAAGTCAACTCTCTTGCGCTCTCATTTGGTTACCAATGAAAAAGATATATCTGTTGTCGTAGGCATGATTGCCCATCAGGTTGAAGTCTATAGATGCGGCAATGTCACTTTCCAAACCATTGATCTCAGTGGTGGCAGGCCTGAGCCATACTGGAGGATGGAGAGGTCGTTCATCAAGCATTGCGATGCGCTTATATGGGTCGACGACTCGGCCGATCACGACCGTCTCATAGAAGCAAGAGAAGAGCTTTTCCGAGCTGTGCGCCACCAAGATGGATTGCGCAATGACATCCCTGTGTTGATTTTAGCAAACAAGCAAGATAATAGCGTATGTGGCTTGATCTCACAACAGAACCTTATACTGACATCGCCCACAGACCGCTCGTACAGCAGAGCAGATAAAAGGGTTTTATGTCGACGATTCTTCATCACCTTTAGTAAATATACCACATGTGAGTGACTCAAAGGACTGGTGCTGCATGAACTAACGATGCTGCGGGCGGTGTCTGGATCGAGCATCAAGACTGGCGAAGGGTTGTTCGAGGCTTTCAGGTGGCTCAGTGAGACTGTTGAGAGCAGGATGAAATATGACACTGGCATCAACGAGAAGGTTCCGCTATACGACAATGAGGAGGAAGCGACTAGAATCATTATGGAAGGACTACAGCCAGGCCACAAGGAGGAGATTAGTGAGAAAAGAGAGTAGCAGGCCCATTAACTTTAGCCTTCATCATTGACTAATATGAGAAAACTCTGAATCTTTGACTCCACAACCTTGAGCAGGCCTTGTTTGGATCCATCGAATCTTTTTCTGTTCATGACGTGACCTAGACCTTTGGCTACCTATATAGATATAACTGCGGGCCACAAGGTTAAGCTTTTGGTATACTCACATATCTTCACGAAATCCTCAGTGAACTTTCCAAATCATATTTCATTTCACGTCATGAGGCTTCTCTATTTCGCGTGTGCGCTATTCGCTTCGATATTCCATGCTACCGCTGAACCTGTTCCCCCAGTCTATCCAGACAGACCGGAATGGCATCCGATGTTCCAAAACAATCTCTTGCCATATCCACAGCTGTGGTGGCACGACAATAATCCATGGAAAGCCGTCAGCAGGGGCGCAGAGATTGTGTACCATGAGGACAACTACGATCGCGGGGTGCTAGTCGGACCTTATACAGCGTACCTGTCCTCGATAATGATTCGTTGCATGATAGCTGACGATCTTGCAGTGGTTTCTTTCTATTTCAACGTGGCCTTAGACCGACTTTCCGTATCAACCAGCTCAATTTGACAGCCGACACGCCGTACTTTATAGCTGGCCAATATCGGCTTACCATGGGTAAGATCCTCCGAAAGTTCGATTGCAGAATACGCTTCACGTTCCCTGGTGGAACTTATGCACTTTCGGTCGTTCAAAAGAAGCGAAGCATAAGAAGCTTCATGATTTTAGGGTGGATATTCCAGGGTTGACAGAAGACAGTCATGAGCTGAGAGTGAAGTTATGGTGCAAGAAAGCATTCACTTCTAAGACCAAGGTTCAAATCAAAATGAATGGGCTCCATATTGGGGCGGTTCCGTGACATTGAAAATGGTAGGGAACTGCTGATGCCTTTTCTCAGCAACATCCTTGGCTCAATTGAAACTAATCAGATTGCACAGTCAAAGTTCGCACCTCCTGATAGGGTCTTTTCTTTCGTCTAAGTTGTGAGTGGGACGTAGCTTTTCATCAAGTTCATCCTGTTACTTATCCCAAGTCTCGAAAAAGTGCAGACCGTTAGATTTTTCTATAATCCTATAATTTAATGCGCTATTCTACAGTCCGGTCTTCTTCAAGTCTATAACGCTCAGGCTAACCTGGTTGGTGCTGCTAGGAGGCAACCACCCGCCTCCAATAATAGCCAAGAAGTTATCATTCTCCTTGAACACCATAAGCCCACGGGTATACGCATTAGGCTGAGGAGTAGCAAACTCGACCCAAGAGTTCTCAGCACCAAGGTTCTTGTTGACGAAGATTTGAGACTGGCTTCCGGCACTGACGATGATACTTCCGTTGGCCCCTCCAACTGAACTCCAGACGACGGTAGGAGAGCTGACGGGGCGGGTACCCTTGTTGCTGACCAGAGCATATTCCTTAGCTGCCAGGATGTTGAGAGGGTTGGAGGTCAGGCGGTAGAAGATTCTGCAGCCTTGGGTGCCGCAGGTCTCGTAGACAAAGATGTACTGGCCGTTGGGGAGGAGGGTGATTCCTGGCATACCAGGTCGAGCGTTGTAGTTGCTATCAGCGACGTCGTTGACGAGAGAAGACCAGCTGACGAGATCGGTGGTAGTCTGGTGGGAGAGCTTCTGGCCGTGCTTGGGATCACGCTGATCGGCGTAGTAGCAAACAAGCTTGTCCTGATAAACCCTGGTTTTTAGTTAGTTAAGGTTTCTTGGGAGGTTGCGGAAGGAGTTCGTACATCATGTGAGGCTCCCAGACTGGTGTGAGGCCGTTGTTAGGGCGAGCTTCGCCGCCTGAAGCAATGCTGCTAGCAAATTTCCATGTCTTGCCACCATCAGTGCTAGCATAGACGTCGATCTTGGTCTTGCTCAGATCGGTAGGAATGCTGTTTCCTGTGCATAGGATAGTTCCCTTAGGGTATTTTCCAATAGCTCTTGGCAGTTCATAAAGGTCTGGCTGATATCTCAATCCCCAGTTGTTAACTGTATCCTGGACCTTTCCAATCTGAGTCCACTTCACACCACCATCTGTAGAACGGTAGATGGGGAAGTAAACCAGCGGAGGCTCCGGGGAGTAGTTCTCCCAGGTTGCCAGCAGAGAACCGTCTGAGAGCTGGATGGAGCGGGCGTAGAGAACCCGAGGGTCTGTCCAGCCAGCATTGGAAGGAGGAGAAAAGATGACGTTGTTGGAGAACGTGGAAGTAGGGACAGCACGCTTGGCGGGCGTAGGAGGCTCTTGGTTGGCAGTTGGAGCAGCGAGGACTGCAGAGAGACTCAAGAGCCCTCCCCAGAGAAGAGATTGGAAGCGCATGATTACTGTGAGATGCAGGCGAGGATGCCACAGTCTCTTCTCTCGTTCCTAGCGATCCTCAGCACTTCTTATAGCGACTGACATATTCACATTCCTGCCTCGGCAGCTCCCTCAGCTCGTCACCCATAGTCTTGGCGATCAACTTCGGGATATCTACCGACCATGCAGGCCGCGATGTCACGAAGTTTTCTCTCCAGCGGCGGCATCTCAATGGCGCGGTAAGTCTTGCATGGTGTCATGACCTCCTTTTCTAGGATAATAAGCCGTTGATCCCCCTGCTCGTCGCGGTTTGTGGGGTCCCCGCGTGAACATGTTTTTGTGCGGGGAAGATGTTGACGCGCTTTGGCTTGATTGGGTCGACGGAGAGGGAAGCTCCGAAAATGGCTTAGATCTTGCTTTGTGAGAGAGGAATACGGACTTTGAGGTGATCTTTTGCCTGTTTGTGACGTAGCTTCAGGTATATCAGGTTCGCGGAATGATTTCGTGGAAATGGTGAAGTTATCCCATTGGGTTGGCCCCTGGCAGGCTTAATTGTAAGCTTAAAACTTGATGCGCTCCAATCATGAGGCTTCACGCAGCATTTTGAGCGTGACTCGAACTTGGTCACCAAGCTGAACGCCGAGAAATCACAGTTTAGCGAAGAAGCATCGCAAGGTAAAAGACAAAACATGTTGGCGCATCTAAGAATTGTAACAAAGACCTGCTGGAGAGATTTTACTATATAACTACTAAGTGCCTAGATGGTGTCAAAATTCAAAAGCTTACCCGGTAGCGCGGGGATATAAAAAATCGAAAAGCGAGCGATAAACCATATAATCTCAATCGCACGACATACTTCTCGGGCAAGACACCAGCTTTAAAAAGAAACCTCCTCTTATCCCAAGATAGCTTATGATTGTCAATTGACAAAACGCAAAAAGAAGCGGATAACAGTGGGATTAAACCACCTATCTTGGACGAACAGGGAATCGAACCCTGGACCACTCCCAGATTATTCTAATGAATTATGCTAAGGGAGTATTATACCACTAAACCATTCGCCCGCAACGACTTATGATTGGTAGGTAGAGTTTCAGTGATTATGCTCTATATTACCGAAATCATTCTGAGTACCTGGATTCTAATGCATTACCTTACTAAACCTCAACTGCCATGCATGGGGAAACTGCAGTCTACAATCATATAGCCTCTATTACCTACAGTCACTCAGCCTGTAGTACCAGCCTCTCAAATCTCGGAACCCCGTATTCTCTATCATATAGAATGTTAGAAAAGATCCAACAGGGCTGCGATGTCTCAAAGTTGCAAAACATGCATCAAGTCTACCTGAATGGATAGGTAAAGCCGTCAAGCCACTTCAGTAAGGCCGATCCAGCCAACAGCAGAATCACGACAGGGACTAAGCCCCGGCTCAGACCCGAGCCCGGGTGAGATGGAAGTCTGCATCCGTGTCCGTGAGCAAGCCATCTTTCATGCAAGTCACTGCTGAAGCCAATAGGCACAGATGATTCCCCAGCTGCCCACATGCCGCCGATACTTAGCTCATGTAGGCGTCTTGCTAGCTGGGCTTCCCCCATCTTGCTGAAGATATGAATGACGGTGCTGTTGGGTCAACAGAGCACTCTTCATCTCAGGAAATTGATGACAGCTGAGTTGCACTCAGCAGCTTTTGTGTTGACGACGGATATAGAGCATGTAGCTTGTGTTAGATGGAATAAACTACCATCTGTGTAAGCCAGCAGGTCATGCGACTTCTGTGAAACTTCAGCGCGCATTCATCAATCTCTTGGTACTACAGCTATCAGTCTCAGTCGCGGAGGTTCCGAAGATCGGCATCAATTCAACCCCTGAGTGAGTAGCTACATTGAGATCATTAGCTACTGATAACTATTTGTCAAGAAGGCAGATTACAGGGACGATTTCGTCTTGCCAGAGTAGCACAAATCTGCAAAAACACGAGTTAGTACGGGTCTGCTCGTCATGGTCTCACGCGCGAAACGTGTCGGCCACGTGGAAATTGGAACTAACAACTAGCTAGCCCTGTTATCCGGCCAGAGACTGTCAGGGGTTCATGAGTCAGTGCCAATGAGCAGTCTTATGAATGTTCTAGCAACTGCCGATTTGTGACTTGTTTAGCTTGCATAATCAATGCAGACTGTGGGTTGCTGGCGGCGTTACGGTTTCGTGTTCGCTGCTGTCTCATTGGTGGTGTTTGTGCTAGGCTGGGGAATACGCGGCTGGCATCTACCCGGGACTCATGATCATGCAACTCATGCGATCAAAGAGATTACAGCCTGAGCCGTATTATGCATGGGTTCACGGTGATCATGTTGGACTGTCGGTAATCGGGAATTTTAGGAGCCGCAATTGCACCCTTGGGGAGATAACAGGATAGAGTGTAACTATCGCGACATTCTGAAAAGGTAAATGCCATTCCAAGAGCCCAACGGAAGCCGTCACGGACTTTCGGGTTCCCACGTGGATGATTTCTCCTGAACAAGATTACCAGGGTATTTTCAGCCCTGAGCACAGACAAGCGGAACCTAAACCCACTACATCTCATCTCCCGCCCACTGATCATTTGTGATAGTGACACTGTAGCGCAAAATGGTGTATCGGGGTTGAGGCCGTTGTCCCGCCGTTCTAAACTATTGAAGCGGATATCTGGGGTATCCACAGAGGATCGACATGCATTTGATTCAGAGAACGAAAGATCATGAGCTCTAGTGCGAACAAAAGTGCAAAATGACCCGGACTGTTGGTTTCTGGAACTAGTCTAAGGATCCATTGTCTGTGGACATTCGTCTACTGAAGCTCATAAGCATAAGCGAGACAACACAGAAAGGGAACGATCGGCGATGATGTATTGGAGGTGAAACGGGCAATGCAACCACCACGTCAAAAGCCAAGTCAAGGGTCTTTCTAGAAACAGTCGATTCTTCGGCATCAGCAAGCTTTCATTCAATTCATCCATGTCTCATGGAGAATCGGTCGAAGGGAGATCTCGGAATTCCCGCGAGCTGTTCTCCCAGATTGACGAATCATCTCGACCCCCGTTGGCTCTTCAACCCAAGTGGAACCACTTTTTGGCGCCATGGAATCGTAATTTGCGTTATCTCGTTTAGCGTCTCCTTGAGCCTCAAATGGTTCACTGAGTCGTTGGGTGAGGGGGGCGCATCTCACGGCCGAGTCGGTTGGCGCCACAGTAGATCTGGTCCGTTGATGTTCGGATCATGTCCATGTCCATATTTCCATTGGGGCTTGATCATGTCACGCAGCGGAACCGCAGGCGCAATTTGCTTCAATGCCAGCCCAAGTGGGTGAGCGGAGCCGGCGGTGTCGCTTCAATGTTGCATGTCGATCATCGGTGAAGATCACCAACAACATTTCAATACAATTGACAAGGGGATTTTCAGCTAGCAAAAAAGAGAACAGCAAGAGAGCAAGGTCGAATTGCCGGGCGGTTTTGTTCCATATTTAACCTGACTGCAAGGGTAACCTTTCCCGTGTCTCGAGAATTTTCCTAGATTGATGGAGCTGCTTTAGGCTCCAAAAAGTACGTGATTGGTGGAAAAGATGCTCCCAAGACTCTAGACAGATGATGCTAGACTGGACTTGTCCTAGATGCAAACCTTGGTTCCTTCGGTGAAAGGGGCCATGGCCACAAAGGTTGGTCCCTCACAAAGCAGAATCGAAGCTCAAGCGGCTTATGCCTTGCAGTAAACAAAACAATAACATGCGAGGCTGGGCTGTTTTGAGCTGAGTTATCAGGGCACACCAGACAGGAGGAGTGCTTGGCAGGTGGTCACTGCTCCACGGACTAAAGGAAACGCCAGCCTCTGGTGCATCTCGCAGCAACATCGTATGCACGTGGATTAATCAACAGTCTAATCTCCATCTAGATCTAGTCAGTCGCGTGGTCGAGCGGCTCGCCATGTGGTTCTCCGCTTCCCACGAGGAAAAGACTCTGCACCCGCTCGCTCAAAGAGGAATCGTTCGGCGGCCGCACGAGTAATGTAGGTCCCCTTTCCAATCCTTTATCATCTCCGGCTCCGCCATCGCATCGTCGCCCGGACCTGCTATCGTCCGCTCATCTGTGCTGCTTTTTTTTGCTTCTTCGGATCTGAAGTGATGCTTGACCTAGGAGGTTCTACAACTCTGCAGAGGCGAGCTTCAACGCAGGTATCCAACATGTCAAAGGGAACAATTACGCAGTCGTCGTCGCGATTGCTATGCGCGTCAAACGATGACCGACCGCAATCAAAGGTCGGTACTTGACTCCGGACATAACACCGGCTATAACAACAACATTTGCTTCTTTGTTCAACACCACTAACAGCTTCAAACAGGACCTCCAGGATCTCTTTTCCGCTCTCCTCGCCAGTCTTCTCCCTCTCGTCCCTCATCGCGTCCGCTTCATCAAGATCGAACATACATTCCTCGCTGAAGATGCTATCCACAACCTCGGCAATCTCAAACTTACCCAGTCAAATCGTATGCCCGATCCTAGCAACCCATCGGGCACCGTCGTCTCCACCTCCACAACAACCTTCTCTATGAACAAGAACACAGCCCGAAATTTGTGTCAGCAATTCGTCGATGCCCGATATATCGAGTCTGCCGATGGAAAGCCCGACCAGGTGTTTCAACAAAGAGGTGGAGTATGGAGACCAACGTCCAAGGGTATCATGATCTTTGACTGGTTCTGTCAATCAAATGGCCTTTACCAGGATCAGCTTAGCGAGCTGCATTGTCTCATTACAGGGCCTTTGTTGCATCTGGAACGAGATGTCAAGACCGATAAGTGCCATGTCGATCGAGCCACCACTGAGGTCGTCTTCTGTCGGTTGATCGGTGTTGACGGACGAGGCAAGAAGGGGCCTTACTCAGAAGGTGCAGCAGGTATCCGACTCCAGCCAGAACGCAAGGTGAATGGGAAGACATACCATGATACTTGCACTGGCCAAGTCATCGCTGAGTGGCTGCGAGACAACACGACATGCGTCGATCTACGAGAAGCCGTCAACATGGCAACCCACTTCGTGCACTACAACCTCATCGAGTCAGTGACAACAGACATGGCCTACATGAATCAATTTGCCGCCTGCAAACTCTTCCAACCTACTCCCATCGCAATCTACCAACTCTCCCAGCGCGGTCAAGACCTTGTCGAGACTAGCTCATCGAGTCGCTGCTCATCACAAGGCAAGACAGACTCATCATCAGCAAAGGGCGGCGTCAACGAAAGCAACCGCCACAAGCTTGAAAAGATCCTCCTCGACCCTACACTGCGATTGTTGTTCCGTGAGAACCTTCGAGAGACTTACTGTGAAGAGAGTCTTGCATTCTACGAGCAGGCTGATGAGATCATTCGGGACTCTAAGGCCATGCTCGAGACGATGCTAAAGGACAAGAAGGGCGATGATGCCGCGAATGAGCTTCTTTCTCAAGCCCATGTTGTCTTCAACACCTTCCTCGCACCCGGGTCACCGCGAGAGGTCAACGTCAACCACAAGATCCGATCAAGTCTTGCTCAACGAATGACCAAGGCTCAAGCTCTTGATGCCACGGTAGCAGATACCTTGAAAGAGGTGACATCGCTATTAGAGACTGCACAAGATGCCGTCTTCAAACTCATGGCCACTGTAAATAATTCCCCATACCGCTCTGCAACATCATACTAACGGATTTCAGGACTCTGTGCCCAAGTTCCTCAACAACCCAGCAGCCGAAAGCCGACTTGTTCAGGCCGGCGTGCGATGATACCCCTACTTTTCCTTGGAGACGGGATGTTCGATGTAATAAAGCGAGCGAGCATAGCTACACCAACCACATTACCATTATTCTAATGTTTTTATTTCCTTTGTCGCATAGCAATTGTACGATGGTCGGAAATGATTCCCCCATAGATTAAGATAGACGGAGATTTTAGGCTGAGCTGACTGTATGTCATACTGCAGGGATTGTTCAACGGCTGTGTTACTTGGCATAACGCATACTGCATAAATTTATATAAGGCTGTGAGCATCAATACCAGATTTTGAGCCCCTCCATTTTCGATCTTTTCGTGACATCATCTGAGTCTCCTACGAAATGGAGTCATCGCAAAGTCGTTTGTCGGCTTATTGGAAGGGTCCTCATAGAGCTGGGAGCTCGAACGCGTCTTCGGATCAAATTGAGCTCCTGTCACCATACGAATCTTTTAGAAACAGCAAGCCTCAGACCCCAGATCTCGCTAGACGGGCAGTGAAGACAAGCAGCAAATTCAGGTCTTCCACGACAGACGGAAGTTTCACCCAAATATGGAGCAAATACACTCTAAAACCGTGGAATATGTGTCTCTTGACAGTTCTTGGTACTGCATTAGCAAGCGGTCACCATCTTTTCTACTTAGCCTTGACGGACAAGAAGCCACCAGCCAATCTCTCATGCTGCGATATGGTACAATAATTGCCTTTTGCGCTAAAGCAAGCCTAGGAACTGCTGTCGCCATGGCCTTTCAGCAGCGAGCATGGCTAATCGCCCGCCATAAGATGGCGCGGCTCGAAACAGTTGATGCGGTCTTCACAGCCAATAACGACATCTTTTCCCTCCTGACATGGTCCTCCCTCAAGAACTCTAAGATCGGAACCCTGCTCGCTCTTTATTGTTGGATTACACCGTTGGTGGTAGTTCTCACAGCTGAGACACTAGCTGTCGTGGCCGGAGTTACGGAGGAGCTAGTATCGTGTCCTTCTGTCCGAACGCTAAATTTTGACAATGAGGCCAACTATGACTGCCGTGAGAGACCAGTAATCAATGGAAGGACACTCCGATCTGTGGCGCATTTCAATACTACTAGCAGGGAGACGAAGCCTAAAGACTTCAATTTGACGCATTTCGACTATTGGAATGCTGCGAGTACTATGTACAGGTCTGTTGTGTCGAACAAGGCGGTCTTCATGCGTGAACCCCTTGTGAGGGATGAGTCAGCTGAGGAGGTCTGTTCGGATGGCTGGAATTGCACTTATGTTGTTGAATTTCTGGCGCCAGGGTACAAATATGAAGAGGTGGCTTCTGGTGTTGGGTCGAAGGTGAAGAAGCTTGGTGACGCTGAGCCGCCTTTCAATACTTCGCTTCTTGCCCCAGAAGGTAACTATACTTACATGTCTATGGCTGCTAGGGAGAATTACACCACCTACAGTTAGCCACGGCCTAAGGACTTGGATGTCTTCAAAAATGAGCCCATCATCTGGATTGGCTATTCGACTGTCAAGAACATCAACGAGCAACAGCCAAAGAATAAGGAAGAAAAGGGCTGGGATATAGCCTATACGGCCGTTATCTTCGGCTGTGAGCATTATCAAGTCAACTACACTGTTAGATTCGACTACGTCAGAGGTGCCCAGTCATACAAGATTAAGAAACGTGAGTATGTCAGGAAGGTAGTCAACACAACTCCAGTCTCAGAAAATACCCCCGGAAAGACTTCAAAGAAGATTTCGGTCCCCGAAAGTAACTGGGTTCATCCTCAAGACTTTAAAGAGTATTGCCGAACGGCTGTATATCACGTAATCGGCAATGGACTCCGACGATATGTTGGAGGAAGCGTCAACACAGCAACCAACAAAACAACGACATATATTCTCCTCACATCCTTGGGGGCTAAGATAAACCCTCTTCCCATCACAGACCTGCATCAAGGTATTCAGAAGCTTTACGAGGATCTTGTCATGTCCCTGTTTTCTGAACCATCCTTTGTTGCTGTCGCTTGGGCGTCGAACGGGAAGCCATCAGGGACTGGTAAGGGAGACGCATCTACGAGGTATCCCTGCCGTCAGCAAAGACAAACCACGCTCTTTGTTTGCAAGCAGGTTCAGCTATTATGTGTTTACGCAGCGAGTATCTTATTAGCAGTCATCGGAGTATTGGTTGGTATACAAGCATATAGAGAAGCAGGCGTAATGCTTAATATGAAGCCTTCCTCGATTGTCGGTGCCTCAAAGAATGGGGCGTTGGGTGCAGAAAGTGGTGATGCTAGGACGGGATATGGTCTCGTACAAGACAGGGCTGAGACAAACCTCAGAGCTCCTGGAAGGGAAGGAAACATATCACAACAGCGGAGGCTATAGGCCTCGGGAGGGACAGCTTGTATATAATACTTCATGATACATGACTTTGATGACGGGAAACATGATGGACTCTTTGCCTATTGTCATCTTTTCCTTTTTTGAGCTTATTTTGCGTTAAACTTCTCGCCTTTGACCAAGAATGCCACCATGGCGCCTTCGCCCATCCGAAACTCAGGCGCCCCAATAACTTCTAGGATAGTAGATATGGTGAATGAGTGAGTGGTCAAAGCAATGCATGATCCCGAATCATGTCTCCAAACATCCTCAAGTAGTTCTTGTGTCCGGGCAATATGTGCTTCATTCGACTCTGATTGATCAGCATGCCATAACACATCTTCTTCGGCGAAGCCTGATTCCAACTCATAGTCGGGATAAGAGGCTTGAATCCACTGTCTCATCCTCCGCTTATCGCATGTATGATTGGTAAGTCGTTCTCGAAGATATTCTTTCACTATAGGCCTGAACTCAATCCCTTGTCCTACGATGATCTCTCTGAAAATCAGACTCGTTGTCTTGAGGCCTCGAGCAAGCGGGCTGGTATAGATAGTGTCGGGGACGGGGAAGCCCGCATGCCGGATGCCCTCGGCATACATCTTCCCGAGGTCTGTAGCTTGTTCGACTCCCTTTTCAACAAGCTCGGCATCAAGCCAAGTTCTATTTGCGTCACCGGGTAGCTTTGACCAATGATTCTATGGAGTATCAGCTTGCTATGATCATGTCCAAGCTACTGGGAGAGGCATACCTTCCATTCTTCTGACCCAACCTCCTCCATCACATCGTTGTGAACACCGTGGCCATGTCGCGCAACCAGCAAGATTTTATGTATGACATCTGAATTGTCCTGGTGATTTAATCTTTCGACGTGTTCAGTAAGTCTCGTCCATTCTCGATCATCAGGCAAACCGAGATTTGGCTGAGTGGTGAGCTTCGATCCAGGACATGAGTGGGAAATCACGGGATAGTCAACAAACCAACCAGGTTCGAAGGTGAACTTATACGAGCATTTAGGATCTGACATTGGGACAGATGAGAGAAGTGGTGATAATAAAGAACCTGGATGCATTGAAGGGGGTTGTCGGCAGGTGTATTAGAGGTCACCTTGACAAGTTAGACAGGCAATTGTAGTGAAGGCAAACTGAATGAAGCAACATGGAAAGCCTAGACCATAAGACTCACGACTCATCAAATATCGATAAAGACATGGCTGACTTCGTGAGGCAGTGAGACGGAGGCCCCCTCATTCAGCGGCCAATGACGCAACGCCAACAAATCCCGCGTCATGCAGATTAGACCAGCGTCTCAAAACACATGACAAATATCACTGGTAACACAAAGAGGAGACATTTCAACCGCAATCACTAGGGCGGGATCATAAGAGCTAGTGGATGGCTAAATCCTTTATCGCAGGTCTTCCTCCGGCCTTCATTCGCTTCTTTAGTCCAGAGCATCATTTTTACCAACATATTTCTATATTTTTCTTGCACATTAGGACCCCATGGCTCTAGACTATTCAAAGTTCCCAGTCAAAGCTGGTGAATTGCGTCTAGTGTCACTCGACAGTTGGGCTTCAGATATCACCAAAGCAGAATGGAAGCTAAGAGTAGTAAGCTTGCATGATCCATTGACACGCTACCACGCTCTTTCATATAGATGGGGAGCGCCAATCAACGAGGAGCCTTTCAAATCATATACAAACGAGCTTGTCGCGCCTATCAAAATTGGCAATGGGGAACTTAAGGTTGCTATAAACCTGCTGGACTTCCTAGTCCAGGTGAAGGAAGACCAAAGGTTGAAAGATAAGGAGTTCTGGATCGACGCGATATGCATAAATCAGAATGATAACGATGAGAGGAGTTATCAAGTCAGCAACATGATGGCTGAGATCTACAGAAGAGCAAATCCTGTCATTGCATGGCTTGGGGACTCGGATGCGCATACGAAGCGAGCTTTTGATCACATGGCTAAGGTAGCTGACCGGAACATCCTTCCATCCTTGGGTATACCAACTAGACGAACAGGTTCTGAGCATTCTGATGAAGACGAGGCCTGTTGGGAGGCCATTGGGAAGATCTTCGATCGTACCTACTGGAACAGATCATGGATCATCCAAGAACTCGTACTCCCGGAGCACGTAACTCTCCGCTGCGGAGCGTACTCAACAGATTGGGATGTATTCGTGAAGGCCTCACATAACATAGCAACAAGCCCTTTGAAGCAGTTCTACGATGGTCGACCCGCCGAGGGAACGTCATCTTCCACCAGCAGCTTGAAAGCGTCCCGTAACTACGGAGTGCCGGCGATTCTCGAGGCAACGAAATCAACTATGGCCACAGAGCACTGGGCCAATGTGCTATTATACACGCTGATACGATCCCGTGACTGCGAGGCTACAGAGCTTGGGGACAAAGCATACGCTCTGCTGGGTCTTATCCAAGGTCGTGAAGGTATTGAACAGTTGCCGCCGTTGCTGTGCCCGACGTATGGAAAGGATTGCAGTCCTGGAAAGACGTACCTCGACATCGCCACTCAACTTCTCACGGACTGTGAGGATCTGCTCGTCCTTTCTTGCGCAGAGGGTTTTCGCAATGTTAAGTTAGACGGCGCAGACCTTCCCTCCTGGGTTCCTGACTGGAGTGTCAGACATCCTCTTGGTCTCAGAGTCACAGGATATAAGAGATATCAAGCAGATTCATTCTTCTTTTCGCCGGATACGAACTTCTCACGTGAAGAGAAGCTCACCCTTTGGCCTGCTACGTTCGACAAGAGTGAGCTTACTATGACTATCCGCGGAATGCAAGTGGACAAGATCTCTTTCGTTGCAGAGTCAAAGCGCGATGTTTTGAATTGCAAACCTTTTCCAAGACTCTTGGATATGTTACTGAGGCTGCCTGAAAAGTATGGAGTCACTGGCGAAGGTCGAATGGAGGCTTTCTGGCGAACGGTGACTAAGAATACTTATGGAGAGGCCAGACTTCCTCCGCCAAGAGGATCATCAATGGGGCCTAGTTTCACAAAATGGTTAAAGGAGAGAATGCAGTCTGTGGTAGTGTCTCCAGAAAACGAAAATTATTGGACGAATCTCAAGGAAGCTTTCAATAAGTTCTGGCCCCATGATGCAGAATGGCTTGCCACCGCCAAAGGATGCGAGTCTGTCTCATCGATGGAGTTTGGCTCGCAATTTGCATATGGGGAGTACCTTCGACCCTTCATAACAGAGAAAGGGTACGTCGGACTTGGCTCACAGAATTTGCAGAAGGGAGATACAGTCTGGGTGGTGCCACGATCACGGGTGCTTTTGATATTCAGGCGTTTGGGCGAGTTTGATCCACAAGCGGATCACCATTGCCAGTTGATAGGAGGGGCCTATCTCCACGGGTTCATGGATGGTAGCTGGCGGGGAAAGAAAGCAACGAAAGATGACACGCAAGCTATCATAATTCACTGATCAATGACCCTAACACTATTTAGTGTATATAACGTACATAACTATGCATACTATGTAATCGAGCCACAAATTAAATACACTGACTAATTTGATAGTACGTTCATCCTCCGAAACATCCGACATAGACTCCAAAACTCTCACACGAACTAGTAGTTCGGTCCGTAGCACCCTCGCCCTCGCCAGTCTAAGATAGATTACACAGTCATCCTATTTTACGCGATGTACGTGTTCATGCAATCAGGACCATACCATTGCAGCGGTACTCGTTTGATCGCCGCTGACTGGGGCAAATAAGTAGCAGGGGTACACGAAGGGGCCAACCCATGCTGCCCGCATCTGTTTGCTCAGCTGGAGAGTTACCCTCTGAAAGCCGACATGGAATGAAAATTGTGTACTATTTTCTCTCTTTGTGAAGCTGCAATCACGTTTTTGACCATATTTCTCCTTTGTTTGTGGAAAGGCCTTGACGATCTTACATTTACGCGAATGTTAGTGGTTTCAGGATAAAGATTTCCCCGCCTCGAGAAATAAAGGAGTGTATTCGAGCTGTAGCGTGGTTTCAGGGCCGTGTAGTTAAATGACCATCTCATCGAGGCCAGGATTGATTGGAGCGGCTTCAGGCTTTCAGTTTAGACTTTTGGCTTGAGACTCCTGACCAGGCGCTTAATGTGGATTATTGCAGAGCAAGAAATTGATAAAAGTGTTTCTGATATGCTTACTTTCAGTTATCGGCTCCTGTACATTCATTCTTTCGTTCTGTCGTTTGCCAAGAGCCACGCTCGTTAACAATTTACATTCATTATGACACTCATTTACACCATCTTGTTTTCTTTTCTTTTCCCTCTTTCCTACGCTTTCACTCACCCCGGTCTGCTGGTCACCGACACCGATATTACTCGCATCAAAACCAAGCTCGCTGAGAAGAAAGAGCCTTGGACCGCGTCATGGAATAAGCTGACAAGCATTCCATTTGCCAGCGCTGACTACAAGAACAATGCAGTCAAAGAAGTGAACCGGGGCCAAAATGGGGAGGTCCTATGGCACGATGCAGCTGCTGCGTTCAACCTTGCTCTTCGCTGGAAAGTCAGTGGAGAAGACCAATACGCAGAAACCGCATCAGAGATCCTGATTGCTTGGGCCGATACTCTAGAGATCCTCAGCGGGGGCGACGACGCCTATCTTACCGCAGGATTGCAAGGTTATGAGCTTGCTAACGCCGCAGAACTTCTCCGTGACTACCAGCCATTTGCAAAGAACGGGCTATCCAGAGTTATCAATATGTTCAACAAAATATTCTTGCCAATGAATCTCGATTTCCTCAACCACGTCCTGGGGTCAGAGCACAATGTCAAGCACTTCTTTGCCAACTGGGAACAGTGCAACATTGCTTCTGCTATGGCTATCGCAGTCCTCACCGACAACCAAACCACCTGGGACTTTGCCGTTGACTACTTCAAGCATGGTGAGGGCAATGGGGCTATCAATAACGGCATTTCGAACATTGTTAAAGAACCTGGTACGGGCAAAGCACTTGGCCAAGGGCAAGAATCTGGCCGGGACCAAGGCCATTCGGCGATGAACTTCCAGGTGCTAGGTGCCATTGGACAGCAGGCATGGAACCAAGGGGAAGATCTCTTTGCTTACAATGACAGCCGCATCCTTCTCGGGTTCGTGAATCCCATTCCTATTTTAATTAGCTGCGATAAGGTCTTGTAAACTAACTTCTGTATACAGAGCTGAGTACTTTGCCCGATACAATCTTGGAAACGATGTACCATTCGAGCCCTACACAAACGGGATAGTCTCCTTCGATGTCATCAGCGAAGCCTCTCGCGGTGCGGTTCGACCTGCTTGGGAGCTGCTCTATAGTCATTACGTCAATATCAAAGGTCTTGACGCTCCTTGGACAAAAGCATACCTTAACAACTCTTTGGAATTCTTCGGAGGATTCGAGGGCGGAGCTGGATCTTGGGGAGAAGGCTCGGGCCACTATGATGGACTTGGCTGGGGCTCTCTTCTTCATCATCTGGATGAATCTGATATCCAAGCTGCGAAGTCCTCCGCTGCTGGCCCTGAACCAAGTACAACGACATCAGAGAGTCAGCCAACGTCAACAACTCTAGTGACAGTCCGTACTGCGTATGGATCAAAGACCGCAACAGTCGATGAGGGCGCCGAGACCGTTACAGTAAAGCCATCTGCCGTAAACGCCCATCGTTCTTCTACGACAACTGCCACAGCAATTCCTCAAATTACGGAAAAGCCAGGAAAGGGATGTCGTGCAAGGAGGCCGAAGAGCCGCAAGCATCACGTCGCGAACTAGGAAGTTGAGAGGGAAGAACTTTTGTCAAATAGCGGAGACCCCATCGGATAAGTGCCAAGAATATGCTGGGGATGGGTTTTGTTGGGATCTTGTTTCTTGTGTATATTAGAATTCTCGTAGCTGGTCTACAAGGGCAAAACAAGTGGTGCGAAGCTGAAGTTCGGTCACTATTGTTGAATATGAGGTAGCCTACAGTATATCAGTTGTGAGGCAGCTCACATGTCGCTTCACAAATTCCACTTCATATTTGCCAACACCACTCGATACCCATCAGCGTCCTCAAAAGTCTTTCCGCACTGATCCCAATACGGATTAAAGCTTGTGACAGAAACAATGCCCGCTTTCTCCATCCGCGCAACTGCATCATCGCATTCCTCTTTCTTAGGCAGGTAGAAAATCATGAGATTGTCCTGCGTAGGTGATCTACCGGCGTCATGCCCACGCTTCGCTGTGAACTCAAGATGATAGCCTGCACCCTCATGACCGAGCATTAGACCATCGAAGCCGTCGTGGTCACGAAATTCGCCGATCTTTTTAAACCCTAGACCGTCGACGTAAAAGGGCAGCAGGGCGTCGATGTTGTTTGTGGGGCGGGCCACGCGAAGGTGAGCTGATGCGATGGGAGCTGACATGTTTGTCTGTGGCGAATTTGAATGAAGCGGGAGTCCGGATAACTAAACCTCGATTTTAGGTCAGGCCTGGGTTTTCTTATACTCCAATCGGGGCCCACTTGACGATTTTCCGGGGTTGCCGATGACTCACCTTTAGTCCAACATCTTTTGGACCAAGGATCAAGGAACCAAAGGCGTTTGCCAAGCCTACAAAATCATATTTCTATCCAAAAATAAAATAACTGGCTCTCAAGATGTACTACGAGTCTCGTAGCGCTTCTATAGTCCTTGCACTGTTCAGGTCTCCATGATGATCAACTGCTACAGGAACTCAACGGCAGAGTAAAATATTATAGAGAAACAATAGAAACTACTTTTAAATCCTTGAGGTCTCCTTATAACTGGGCCATGACACATTTGTATCGATATTTGGTGCCAAGCCAATAATAACTCATTCGGTTCAAATTTGACGGTCTGACAATGAACTTGTCCACAGTAGATCCTGTCCATTTGGTCGACGTATGCCAGGTGAGGATAGCATACTGTTCAAATTTCCCTGCAGTGGTTCCACTGATTCACAGCTCTGACTTGTCCTCGCGATCCAAGGCCAAAGCCATGATCAACTCCAAGTAAGACATCACTGATTCACCGATTTGCTCTTGGTACATAAAGTCGGATTCTTTTCTTTGAAACTTTTAATTACCCATTATTCCTTGAACCCAAGAACTATAAGTGCAAGCAGACAATTTTCATTTTTCTCACTTATACTAGATCTTTTTCAATAAACATAATCATTAAAGGGAACAGAAATACCCCTCGTACTCACGAAGCGCAAATGCCGCCTCAACAAGGTTGCTGGGTCTGCCACGGAGTAGGCATCTACACACGTCGGCATTGCTGGCAGCAAAGTGTGCAATGTCCACATACTTCGCAGCATTGCCCTCATGGTGGTCACACAGCGGCATGCATCGCATTCCAGCAGACATATGGACGGCCACAGTGTCCTTGCTGTGTATGTCATGGGGCCGGACAAATTATGCAGTCCTCCTACCAAGATTACCATTATCAATGCAGTTGCATGGGTCATTACTAGACCTTTGCTTTTATGTTACAATGTTGGCGGCCACAGTAGAACCAGCCGATATATCCTCAGCGACATGGAAAGATTCATGTACCAATTTTGTTTTGGTCGATTAATCTATTTTAAGTTTCTTAAAGAGAAATATTAGTGTCAAGTGACTGCTAATCAGGCCTCAGCGAGCAAGAGAACTTCTGGTCGTAAGGCAAGATGCCAAGATTGACTACTCTAAGGCCCACTAAGTCTGCACTAAACTTACCTGAAGCTTTTTGTCATTCAGAATAAACGTCTCGAGTTTTGTTACCTTCCACACATGGGGATCTTGTTCATACAGGACACGCATTCATCCAAAACGGCATTCTACTCCTTTTTCAACCAAATCCTGGTTGTGAGGAATCAAATTTTGAGGTTAACTAGGTTTTCAGTTAATCTATGAGCCAGTGCATCAATTATCCAACGGCACAGTTAGTATTGAACAAGTCTAAAAAGTCGAGGGGGGTATTCGCGGATGAGGCCCAGGAAGGGGTAGGTCAAGGTACCTTACAGGATGTAGAGAGACAGTAACGGTGTGTTAAATATATAGAAACTTGTATTAACATCCATATTTCTTTCCTATTCCGTGTGGACTTTACTGTTTCGTACCATCGCGCACAGCAGTGACAGCAAACGGGTTGGCCGTGAAGGTTCCATTCGGGTCAGCCTTAGCCCTAGCCTTGCCAAGCCTCTTATACTTATCCGCATCTTCGTAGTATGCTTGCCAAATCTCAGGCTTACTCATATCCCAGTCTCCCCAAGAACCCCAGAGCACACGACGGTCCTGCTTACTGAAGGGGCTCTTGGCCCCAATCATGATAGTATCGTTAGTCTTCTGCCAGTTGAGAGCATACTCTCGGTACTTGGCACCGGGGTCGTGGAAGCAGTCTAGTGTTTGGACAACAGTGGAGTCTCGCCAACTGTAGGATGTGCCGTTGTCCTTGTTGAGCAAGAAGCGCGAATTCTTACCACCGAAACATTGGATCTGCACTGAGAGCTTGCAGTGATCGTATACTTCTCCTTCCTTGTCGCTCTTGTCGTTGTCGAGCTTCTGGTGAGGGTTGTATATCAGGTCCAAGCGCTTGACTACAGCATCAACCCAACCGTCCTTCTGAAGAGTCTGAGACTTTGTAGCGTAGGTACGCTTGACGTAGGGAAGCTCGAACTCTCGTCGCTTGGGGAAGATCCACTTTCCAGTCATGGTATCCATGCCCTCATCAAACTCATTGATCAAAAGGGTATGGTTGCTCCAGTCATTTTGAAGATCTCTGAACTGCTTGAACCAGTTGTCCACGGTAGAGTCGTACTTGTCGGTCTTGTTGGTAGGACACCATTGGGCATAGAGGACAATGATAGCAGGGAAGCTACCGTTAAGCAAATCAAGAACATCTTTGGCTAAAGCTGTCTTGATCTTCTGCTGGATCTTCTTCCAGATGTTGTCATCTCGGAGTGAAGGGAACAGCATGGTAACGGGGAAGTCTGTGCTGAGAACACTGCAGCAAAGGTCGTAGCCTCGTGGGGCAGTACCCTCGTCAGACATCTTGGCGATAAAGCCTAGCAGACGGCTGAGGACCTTAGGCTCATAAATCCAGAGGCCCTTCAAACCGTGGGGTCCCTGAAACTGTTAGCGTGATATTGCTTGTAGCTGGCAGTTTCTCATACCTTGAAGCCGTTAGGACCAGCGACAGTTCCCATGTAGCTGGAAGCGCGATAAACCTCAACGGTGTAATGAGTGATAATGCCGAAGTTGCCCGGGCTGCCACCGAGAATGGCGTAGAAGAGCTCAGAGTCACTCTGCTTGGTGACGTTCTGAATGGAGCCGTTGTGATCAATGAGACGGATCTTGATAATGTGATCGCCAAAGAGACCAAAACTGCGACCGAGTTGACCATAGCCACCAGTTTGGCCGTGACCACCGGTGCAGACGCTGAGGGGAATTAGCTTCATTAGTTTGCAGTAGCCTGTATAGTAGACTCACTAGGCACATTGTCCATGCGGCACGAATAGGTTGACCGAGCGAAGGTAGTCGTTAAAGTCTTGCAGTCTGTTGCTCACACCAGCCAACACCAGAGCTCTGTCATCAGGAACACCGTCTTCTTCCAGGACCATCATGTCCTTGTAAGTGTTGGTGAGGTCAATCTGGATGTTCTTGCCACCGGTGGAAGAGGCACCAGAATACTGATGACCACCCGACCTGACTGCGACGCTGACCTTGTTGTCCCTCGCCCATTGAACAGCTTTGATGACATCTTCATCTTCCTTGGGCTGCACAATGAGAGCTGGGTTCATGTCATGCTCTGTCTGGTAAGAGGTGGTAGCATATTGCTGATTGAAGAACTTGTAATCTTTTTGGCCAAATTGAGAAGAAGTGTCTCGGGAGTATTGCATCCCTTGGAAATCTTTGATCTTGAACATGATGAATGTGATGAGAGTTGAGTTTGTGGTGATTGGCAGAAGAATTGTGGCTTTAGACGTCCCTTATATTCTGCTTGCCTGCCAAGATCCCAAGAGGGGCGATGCTGGCCGCTGAACAAAACAGCGGCTGATCACACTGGCTTTTCAAAATTATTGAGCACATGTGCGGACGGTTCGCACTAGAGATTAGCGGTCTATCATTCCTAACAAGCTGAGACATGCGTAGTGGCTGCAATGGTTGGGGATGCGGCTGAGCTTGATATCAGGGATCATTTCTGAATAAGCAACCAATGGAGCTATTGAACTGATGTTACAAGTGAATCCTCTAACCTGGTTTTCATCTTTCACTAGAGTGAGACTGTGAGACACCGGCACTTGTAGCGTGAGGATCATGTGAATTCTGACTGTAATTTGACGTAGGTACACGTAAGACTTACTGTACTGCACATGCGTGTAAGATTGGGTGGTAGTACAAACACCTTTCTCAACCAATCAGCAATAGCCTTTCATAGCAGAACCGTATTCAGCCAGCCACTTTCTAGGGATGTTTCAACCTACCACGAGGTCCGACTTCCGACATTTTACGGATAGCTCTGCTCAAGTGCGGGGGAAACAGACACTTCGAGACTGTTTGCGGAGGTGACGGCTTGCATGAGACATAAGCTCAGTCGCACTATTGATGTCAAGGTTGTGACAGCGGGACGGAGATCGCGAGAATATTACGCGCGTCTAGTACCGTTTGCAGCACGGTAGTCATCATGCACTGCAGGAGGCTGAATGAGAGGAGGGGAAACAAAAACATGGCGTTGATATGGTGATTGAGTGGCCAAAAGAAAGGTGAGACATTAACGGTAAAGGGCAGATTCTTCGACTATCCCTTGGAAATGCAATTAAAGTTCGAGGGATTGCTCTTTTGAAGAATAACGTTCAACTACTCTGTAATAAGCGGCTTCTAAATACGATGGTTCGCCAAATGCAGTAACAAGCTATTCACACTAAAAGGTGCTCACGCACGACAGAACTGTGCCGCTCCAAGTGGCTTTCGCAAGGGAGAACAAACGGTCTAAAAAACACCGTATTTTGGTGATGGCTGTTCAATAGCTTGAGCCACAGAGTTC